CAAGGAAACCTCTTGAAGAATTTCCATCACGGTTTCTATGTCCGAGTCGTAAATCGAAGAGGAGTTCGGTTGAGCTAGGAAAAGTCTTGTCCTCTCTCAGTAGTTGTTCAACATTGTGGGAAGACCACCGCCAAGAACTTTTTCCTGTATATATCTTCTTCTTGCAACACAGCATTTAATATACTAGTTGAAAGTACATAATAGAAGTATATTATTACAATAGTTCTATGTATTGGATGAATTGTTAGGTAGAACAAAATCTAACAGGTATACTTTGTTATAACATTAATAATTCATTTACAATGTGTCGACAAAGTTTTGCAAAAAAGAATAATTCAATTATGTAATCATCTAAGAATTTTGTGACCTATAATAATCTCACGTTAATAGTTAAAGTTTTTGTATAATTTCAAGAAGAGCAAGCTAATCAATTTCATTTGTTTTTCTTTCAGACTACAAAAAAAAGGACATTTGGACATGGACAAAATATAATCAGTCGTCATGTAAGACACTTTGTATGACGTTAGCGCGAGGAAAAAGTTTCCTTTCGAAGCGTGCTATCCTCTCAAAAGGTCAATGATCGAAAAATGACCTGCATCTCTTCGTGCAGATCCCCTCTACTTCTACCTCATGTTCTTTTTCTTTTCTACTTCGTTTTCTTCTTATTTTTCTCTTTGAAGTACGACGTAGCACAAAACATGCATCTTCTAATGGAACTTAACCCTTAAACGGTGAAACAAAGGGTTCCCTTTTCTTAAGAATTCTATGAAAATGATCTTAAAGGTTTATAAGGTTTTCTTGGAATATTACTTTGAAGAATCTTGTGGCTGTTTATCATTTAATTTAATAGTACTGTTAGCTCAATTGCGGTTTTAAATTTAAAGTATATACTTCTCGGTTATTTTATTTACATTTCTTACTTGTTAAGAATTTGATTAATCGTATAAGAGGAATTAAAATTATTTTCTTAAATCTTCTGTGTGCTACATTTTTGAGAATGATTAATAACAGTTATTATAGAAGAAAGTACTTTGCTAACGTATAACACAAGTTCACACTTAATAATACAAATAACCAATCTCTTACGTACAGGTAATGAACTTCTTAAGGAAATAAAAAAATAAAAATAAAAAAAAGAAAGAAAAGATTTTCAAGGCTCACATCCATTTAATCCTTTTAAAGGCACAAAAAGAGAAAAGATAATAATATCGTGCGAAAAGAAAAGAGAAGAGATGATAAAAGATAAAAGATAGAAGATAGAAAAAGATGAGACGATATCAAATAAGAGAGAGAGGGTGAGACAGCCTAGAGAAAGAGATACACGAGGTGAGGAATAAGAAACTGTAATTGCCAGGCAATGACTTTGCTGCAGAAATTGCTTCAGCGTCGCGTGGAAACGTTGGTGTTAAAGTAGCGTGGAAAGAAGCTCCCTTTCTCTTTCTCTCTTTCTGAGAAACAGGATAAATCCGAAGAGAGAAAACGCTCCTCCGGTACAAAGTACTGGAACTCGCACAAGAAATTGTGGAACTGAGCTTCGCGAACGAATATTCGCGCGATTAAGAAAAAGAGAAGGAAAAAGGGATAGAAAGAGAACGGGTTAGTATATAGGAGCAATCTCGTGCTCAACATGTGTCCTGTACTTTACTCTTTATTACCTGTAAATGGTTCTTCGCCACGCCTCTAAAGAGACACGGTCCCTTTCAACTCAACGGCTTTTGACAATTTTTTATCTTCCATTGGCACATTTATTTTATATTATATTTTTTTCCTTCTTCTTTTTTATTGTATTTTATTTTATTTTTATCTTTATACATATTCTCAATCGGCTAATAAATATTGGCCATATTTTTATTGCACAAAGTACTCCCCAAAAATACTTAATTTAACAAGCTCGACATTTTAAATACAAAATATTAATTCAACCGGGCATTCTATAGAACAGGGGTGGTCAGCTTTCGTGTACGTAAGATTTACTTTTATCTTAACTAGGGTTTTATATTAATGATTCATTTATCATGTAGTCTAATAGATTTAATTCTAAAAATAGTTCATCGTTAAAATTTAAATTCGCGAATACATTTGTAACTCACCTAACTAACAATAAGATCAATGGCGAGAGAAGACAAAAGGAGAAGAAATAGAAAAGAGTTACAAGCACAGTCTCGCGTATGGTAGTCATGAATCATGGAAAACCATATATCGTAATAAAGGGATGTGTCTCTCTCGTGTTGTTCTTTTTTTTTTCTTTTTCTTTTGCGACAGTGTGAGAAAGAAACTTTCCGGTTATTTAGCGCAATTATAAGTCTCTCGTTCATGGTCCTGACTCTGATTGTAAATTACGATCTTCGAATGAGACGAGAGAACATGATCACTAGATCATCTGCTTCTTTTAAAGTTTTATTCGTGTACAAATCATTAATACAACAACACTATAGATCTCAATATATTTGTTTTAATCATGAACTTATAATATTCAACACAGAATCATTAAGCGTACTAACGTTTACTTTTTTCTGCTTTAGGTCAAATAAAAATGATGGTTAAAACAAAGAAGATTGGAAAAGAATGAAGGTAACTTAAAAGGAGAAAAAAAAAGGATAGGAAAGAAAAAGGGAGGGTTGCGAAAATTTCGAAGGGAACGACTTAATAATGCATCAGAACTCGTTGCACCTGTGGCAAGTACATACTACTCTCTGAATCCTAACTTCTCTTGTGCTTGCTTTCTTAGCGTATGCATTAAACGCACGTACATCAGCCTGGGGCCAACAGCTTCTCTCTGGGTTCGGTTGGACTTGCTTGCACCGGCAATCACGATAATCGTGAAGTTTATCGAGAAGCTTGGCTGTGATTAACGAGGATCGCTTTAAATCTTCTGAGAGAAGGAAGACTACGTGATATGGTGTTGTTGCGTGGTGGTGGTGGTGGTGGTGATGATGTTGGATGGTGTTGTTTTCATTGAAATATACGTCACCACTTTTTTTCTCTTTCTTTCTCTCTCTCTCTCTCTCTCTCTCTCTAGTAAATTTGTAAAATTACTGATGAATATTCTTACAACTTTTGTCAACGTCCGAAGAGTACTGTTAACCAGATTCAAGGCGTTTGAATTTCAACGTTTAACATCAATCCCAAGGGAAATTAAATTGATTGACTTCAATTGAAATTTAATTGAATGCCTAGCGTAGATCAAATTTCATTTACAAAATTGCAATTGCAAATTAAGTTTTTCGTCTTGGAATCATTCGCTTGTTTTATAAAAACAAAATATGAGAAATAAGTAATTCAACATGACTTAGTACATTGTTTTCAGGTTTAGAAAAAAAATCATTGCTATGAAATAACAAAACAAAAAAAAATATAGGTATCTATGAGATGTACAATTGCGTTTAAAAAGTTTAAATAGCATCTTTGGCTGTTGCAGTATCATTGACGATCCGGACGACCGTGAAAACGCTGACGCAGCTGCGGCCGATCTTACCGCGGGCTTCGATCTCGATCCGCCCTCGGCAAGAGGCTCGACCTGCATCGCCATTTTTAGTCACGATCGAAAGAAAGAGAGAAAAGCAACCTCTCATCCTCTCCCTTCTCTTCTTCTTCTTCTTCTTCGTCGTCGTCGTCGTCGTCGTCGTCGTCCACCTCCTCCTCCTCCTCTTTATACGAACGCTACTTCTGCAGCCAAGGCCATTTTAATAGCGCAGCGCATTTATCATTTGGGCGAAAACAACGTCGATCGAGGCTAGCGATAGGAACGAATTGCCATGTCGATTCAACCGCTAACTTAATTCTGAAGCTAACAGCAAGGTAGTAGTTACTGCTCTTTCCTAACGTCCTAGCATTATCGCCCAGAAACGATTATATCCTTTCTATAAACTTTCCCTTTTGTATTATTGCAGCCAACACTTCCCTTTCAATATTATTTATATTCTTAAAACGTTAATTAGCTTCTGAATTGATTATTCTTACATTTATGATTTAACAAACAGTATTTATATTTGTCAAAGGATCTTCTTTTTTTACATGAAAATTTTGGGCCAAGAGAAAATAGTAATTAATGTCAATTAATTTCCTAAATATATATTGTAGATTGTTTATTGTTAATGTGATATTAATGTATGATGTTTGTAGGTAAAAAAGAAAGAAGAATTAAGAGAGGAAGAGGAAACTCGGTAGTGTCGCGTGACACGAAAAAGTCGATGCCCCCATGGTTGTTGGTCGGGCAAGAAGCCGGAGGCTTGAGCGTGGCTAGATTCACCCAGAGATCGTTGCTATCGCAGCGTCGTCTCGTTATCCGACACCGCGAGTACACACGCCGGGGCACCGACTTCTAGCTTTACCTTCAACGACGACACTGTTGCTAAGGGAATCCGATTACGTCTCTTCTTCTTACAATTACAATCGATCTAATCTACTAGCTTCCAACCGTTTCTGACACGCTTCTATTATAAACAAAGGCTATGTCTTAATAACACACACAATAACGCTTTAATTAATTAAAAATAAACTATGTAAAGTAACTGTGTATGCGCATGTGTGTTTGTATGTGTACATTTTGTTTAATAATTTTAAAGAACAATTTTTTAATAATAAATGAATTATTTTTATAGATATGAGAATCCAAGAGGGTGGAGAGGAACGTTTGACATTAATTTATAGGACACAACCGAATGGATCCACGGACAATAATCGATTTATTCGAATCACGCGTTGCGGAATCAATCGGCGTTGATGGCGTGTGGACTAAATTGATTTTCTCGTTCCATGTTGAAAGTGTCTTCCTCTTTTGGTCCAGCACAAGCACCATCATCAGTACCAGTCCCTCTTCCTTCCCCTCCGTCATACGGCTTTTGACTAGAAAGCACAAAAAGGAAAAAAGAATAAAAACAAGAAGAAGAAGAAGAAGAAGATGACGAAAAGAAAAAAGAAAAAGAAAATGAAAAAAAAGGAATAAGAGAAAGAGGGTGGACAGATGAAGAAAAAGAAAAAGAAAAAAACAAGAAGTACAAGAAGAAGAAGAAGAAGAAGACGTCGAGAGAGAACTGGCGAGAATGAAGAAGTCGGTGGAAGGAGGAGTAGGAGTAAAAGAAGAGGGGGCCAGGAGGAAGAAGTAAAGGGGAGGAACGTGATGGCGATGGACGAAGAAGAAGAAGTCGAAGAAGAAGGTGCAGAGCCACGCCGTAGGAATATTAAAACTAACTCTCGCGTTCGCACTCCACCTTCTCTCTTTCTTCTCTTCTCTTCTCTACTCTTCTCTTCTCTGTGCTCTGTTGGGCTCGCTTGTTTTCTTTCGTCTTCTTTCACCTCCTTTATTTTGTCAGCTCTCGCACCCGAAGATTTCAGTCTCTTTTCTTCTTCTTCTTCTTCTCCTCTTCTTCTTCTTCTTCTTCTTCTTTTACGTTTGAACAAGAGGTTGCATCTTCCTTTCGTTCTTATTCTTTCTCTTTCTTTCTCTGTTCCACTCGTTACTCGAAGCCTTTGTTCGTCCCCATTTCTCGACTCCCATCTTAAGCCGCTGTCACGGTCCGACGACAAAACGTCCAGCGACCAATCCGCGTGATTTCGTTGGCATCCTTTCGAAACGGATTTAAGGTCGCTTCAAATACCCGTCGAACGAAAATGAATAGATGGATGGATGGATAGATGGATGGATAGATGGGTGAATGAATAATGAATGAGATCTCAAAATCCTTCTTCATTTTGTTTATTTGAATTTTACATTTAGTCAATTTTTATTCATGACACTTTTGTTATATTGTAATTTCGTTCAATGTATGTGTGTGTGTGTGATCTGTATACATTAAAATTATATATTTATTTTTAGGTCAGTTATTGATTCGGATTGCATGTAATTTATAAATTTAAAAAGAAAAAGAGAAGGAGAGGAGAGCTGGTCAGAAAGGATTATTTTCTTCATGATTTCTGATCCAGTGCCAAACGGCGTTAATGGAACAAGACCGGCAGCCGTCCGGTTTCAGTGCCGCTTTTGTAGACTCGTGCGCGCGCGCACGCTTGGAATAACCCTTCAAAATACTTTGGCGTAAATTTATCAGTGACGTCCGTCCAGTTGAAAAATATATACCTACCTTCTCGTCTCTGCCATTTTTCGCTACCGCTTTTGCTTCCAAGATAACACGTTACGATGATATACCTCAAATCATCGAAATTAAATGGACAAAAAAAAGTAGAAGAAAAAGGTATATTTTTTAAAATGTGAAATTCTAAGCGATAGAATGAGAAATGAAATTGAAAATAATTCTGAATAATTAAATACATGTATATATTTCTGTGGTTTTTGTATATACAGGTGGAGGCTAATTCATTACGCAACGGTGTTTTACTCGCCAGATCAAACAGATTTATTAAACATACGAGGGCATATTTTCAAATGCTAATTCGCATTCTGAATTATTGCTAGCCTAACCAAATGATTAAGATAATCAATAACAAAATAAAATATATTGGATATAAATATAGGAACATAATAAAAAGAAAAAAAAAGGATTTTTTTTTTAATATAACATATACCCTTTGAGATAAAAAAGAAGATAATACGTTATTATGAAGGTATAATTAAGACCATTTATTGTTATAATCTCGAATCTTTGCAATCTTGCACCAGAACACCCATGCACCCTTAAGAAGGAGAAGAAGAAGAAGAAGAAAAGAAATAACAAGAAAAAGAGAGAAGAAAGATAAAAGGGTGAGAGCGAGAAAGAGGGAAGGAAGATAATGGCGACGAGGTCGAAGAGGGTGAATATTCTTTTGAGGCAGCTTAACATCCAGCACACCACTTCGCATATTTAAAATGCAAATCCGTACGCCAATAAATCTCTTGTACATGGTTCGAGCGGTATGTGCGAGGGAGAGAATCCCTTCTCTTCTTTTTCTTATTTCTCTTATTCTTATTCTTCTTTGGATCCTCTTTCGGATCCTTTATTTCTCTAGAGCGTCCTCCTCATCTCGAAGAGACGTCAGGATTCCTTCTCTCACCGTGACCATTATTAACCCGCAGTTAATTGAATCGCCACAGCCTCGTGCTCGAGAAATTTTTCGACGAGTACTCCTCCGTAATTCTTAAGAAAGGGAAACAGAGAGAGAGAGAGAGAAAAAGAGAAATATGATGAAACAATCGAACGACAAAGTTTAATAAAAAAATTAATTTATTTTTTAGAAAGAGAGAGAGAAAGAGAAGAGTGTAAATCCTCTTTTTAAAAAATGACTTCTTTCCATATAACGCTCTTCTCTCTTCAGAAAATTATATTTAATCCTGTATTTATGTTAGCACATAATTTAGCCTTTTCAAGAAGCAGAACTCGAGACTGTGAACGTTTTATTATCCACATATATCCGTCAACATATATACATAAACATAATATATAGGGTGAGTCGATAATAACTTAGTATTCCAAAAAAAAAAATGAAATTCTTTTTATAATATATTCCAAAATTATTGAAACACTAACTTTTAATATATTTCAATCATCTTCATCAACCTAACATTTTATTTAAAATATTTTTATTTTACTTGTAACAAATATAAAATCACGTATACTCGAAATGAAAGTAATTATTAACTCACCCTGTAGATATGTGAGTCCAAACTTATTGTTAGTATTTCAAATGTATGAGCAAAGAATTGCATGACATTTCTAAAAGCTTCTTTAACACTATGTTTCCTCTCTTTCCCTCATTCGTGCGACCATATGATCTTTTTGACCTTCTTGTAAAAGGCTGCATTAGTGACGTCACTATTCTGCTATACATACTTACTTATACTACTTGTCTACGATATAACCGACACGCATACGGGAGAAAAGTGGTCGCAAGCATTCTTGAAAGCACGCGTATTAACACGCTCACGAGGAGTCTTGCTCGTACCCTTTACGACGTGTAAATCACAACTGTGAAACGCCAAGGATCTCTCTTTCTCTCTCTCTCTCTCTCTCTCTCTCTCTTGCTTTTTTTTACCACCCCTCAAATATTCGTCCGTGTAATAAAGTATCCACTTTAAACTCTTAGTGACAAAACTAAATCCTTTCAAGATCAGCCGAATTGAATGCTTTTGTTGTTGAAAAGTTTCGGGTTGTTTCTTTTTCCATTCTCTTTTATTTTAAATAATAATTAAATCAAATTTATTGCAATACTTCTTATTGCGAAGAATTATTAACTGAATTGAAAAATGAATATTCAGTACTAATAGATATATATATATTTGTTGCTTTTAGAAAACGCATCTCACTAATGCTCTTGGAATGTTAGATAGAACCCAACGTTACGCAACACAGCCGAATTCTTTTCGAGCAAGGCCACAAATCTAGAATGTAAAGGAGGCCTTTGGCTTGTGCTTGAATATCTTTCAAACGTAAAACTACCAAGAATGTGAATGACAAGAAAAACAACCCAAAAAAAGAAGAAGAAGAAGGGAATCGACCTAATTGCGAATCGAATGAGTTTTACATTGATCTTTATGTAAAAAAAAATAATACCAACTAACGTAGGTGTTCTGTTTACTCGAGAAACGATGAATGAGAAAAAAAAGTAGGGAAAGATGAATCTTTGAAAAGCAACGTGATGAGAATCCTATAATATACAAGGTGTCTAGGTAAGTTAGAGAGAAAGAAAACACGATGAAGAAAAAGAAGAAGAAAAGGATAAAAGTAGACGGATAAGAAGACAGGGAAGAGATGCATTCTGCAAGTATACTACAAGGTGTGTCTTGGTTGGTTGGTTGGTTGGTTGGTTGGTTGGTTGGTTGGTAGTATGTTGGCTACTCAACTTAAAGTAAAGGCGATTACGTCAAATCAAGACTCCATACGAGAGGATTTTTAACCTAACGTCCTTCTCTTCTTCTTCTTTCTTCTCTTTACAAACTATATACATTGTATTACTATTGCTGAGAATGCCATTGAAACGTAGGATACAAGAAGAAACGATGTTGAGATCTGACTAAAGGTCTTATGCTGCTGTATATCAAGATACTTTAACCTTTCCGTACGCTTAATGGGAAATTATACACAGTAAATTGTTTTTTATTTATCATTCATGTTATTTCATGGCGAAGATCGAAAGTATTAGAATTATAGGGTATATGAATTAATTTTTTAATACTGTTAGATGTAAGAAAATGTAGGTCAATGTTTCAGGTCATCGATCTTGTTGTTTATCTCTTTACACAAAATATGTAAATGCATGAGTTATCCTCGTCTATATTTTATACAACGATTTAAGAAAAAATAATATTAAAAAAGATTCTAATCGACTCATTTATTTCTTTCAGACTATTCGTTCGTCGACCAAGGTAAAGAATTATAAAAAGTAAGAAAGACGATGAAGACTCGATAACAAATCATCATTTCCATCCGTTGTAACGTAGGTATATTCTACGTAGCAAGTCAAGAAAAAGAAGAAGAAGAAAAAGAGAGAGAAAGAAAGTCGAGTTAATTACAACCTAACATACACAAGTTTACATTGTATCCATATATTCCTTTTTTCTTTTCGTAGAAGAAGTTCTTTTACTGTCAGTGTGAGAGAAGAAGAAGAAGAAGAAGAAAATAAGATGTGGGGGAAGGAAAGAATGATTTCAGGATCAGTGGGGGGTTGTTCAGCAAAGAGGAGGGCATCGCAAGATTCGACGATTTTAATCTCTTCTCTTCTGATATCCTCCTCCTTGGTACCTCCTGGAAACTTCTGCAAACCTGTCCTCTTTTAACAGCCAAGCTTGTCCTCTTTCTATCTCTTTCTTTTTCTTTCTTTCGTAATATCTTCTCTTTTCTCCTGTTCCTTCTTCTTCTTCTTCTTCTCCTCCTTCCTCTTGTACTTTTTATTTCTTCAACGTAACTCATCCCTTTACCTCCTTCAAACTCCTCCTTCTACTCTTTCTTCTCTTTCTTTTGTTCATCCTCCTCCCCCTTTCTCACCGTTTCGAACGCTATTACGTGCAACGGCTACCGGCAGGCACGAAGCCAAGCTACATCAGCAACAGGACTACCGATCTCTTCTGCCAAGAGAGGAGACCTCTCCCCGAGAGAAGGGAACTTACAATTAGGCAATTTAAATCAACAGTTCCGATCTCCGACGTTGACGTCGATTACCATTTTTCGTATTAGCACCGGTCACCCTTTCTCTTTCTTTCTCTCTCTCTTTCTTTTATTTTATTGTCCCTCGCTCTACCTTTTACCTCCCCTTGAAGAAAAGAAGAGGATGATGTGCTTTAATAATACGAGCTCCCTGAATTTCTTCTTGCCTACCGGAGATACTCTCATCGTAAGCTTTCAATCTGCCTGCTACACCTTTATATTTTTGTTTAGAAATTAATTAAACCATTTATTTTGAATTATTATTATTTTTTATTTATTCTATAGATATCAAGGTACCAAAAAGACATTGCTGAAAAATGACGAATATAATAAATTGATTAATTAAGATTAAAATGAAATAATCGGATCTTGATTAATGTGATAAAGTTGAAAATAATTCGAATCGGATCAGTCATTTTCAGAGCAATCATCTTTAAAATGAGATGAAATTACAAATCTCTTTTGATGATTAACAATCTCATTCAAGGGAGGACACTTAAATTACATCTATTTTCTCGAATAATAATAATAATAATAATAATAATAATAATAATAATAATAATAAGGATAAATAATAGTCTCCGATATTACCTACAAATAACAAACAAGACTCACAATCAGTAATGTACTTACTTACTTCGTAAAGAAAGCACTTTGAGTATCTGGTTTCTTGAAATCGTAGGCTAAAAGAGGTTGCTGCAAGAGTGAAGAAGAATAAAAAAAAAAAAACAATATGGGAAAGATGTAATAAAGTTACTGAATAAAGGATATTATGGCGCATATATATATATAACGATTGAAATACAAGGATAGAAGCTACTATATATTCTTTTTCTTTGAAGTTGGAAAGAAGAAAGAAGCCCGAAGGTAAAGTCGTTGTTCACTATGTTTATATTCGCCATTCGTGTGCGTCTCTATTTGATTATCTTCTCCCTTTTTCCTCCTCCCCATCTTCCTGTTCTTCCTCCTTCCTATTTTGCTTCCATTTTCCCGGAGGTGTCTCGTTCTGCTCTTCTTTTCTGAATCCTGCGATGCAGTGGTCAGCAGTACACACACCGGTTGTTGTTGCTCTTACTCTCCCTTTTCTTTACTCTCTATTTCTTCTTCTCCGGTTCACTTTCTCTCCGGTTCCGCATCTCTCCCTCTACTCTCCTTCTTCTTTTATTCCTTTTTATCTCCTCTCTCTCTCTCTCTCTGTTTTTCTCTTTTTATCTCTTGTTGCTCTAAACAGTAACCAGTAGTAGAAGCAAAAAGAGATCCGGGAAGATTTGTAAAGTTACATTCTTAGACTTGTAATACTTTTTTTTTCTGAAATAATTTTTTTCTATAACACGTAATAATTATTTTCTTTTATTTTCTTATAAACAGGCAAAAAATGTCGTGAGATAAGTTCTTTTTCATAAATTGGATGAAAGAAAAAAAAATAATAATAAAACGCATATGAAAGAAGAGTGTTGCATCAAAAGGACCTTGACATCGAGTGGTTATCAGTTTGCTTTCTTCAACACTACGCCATTCTCCTCTTCCTCCTCCTCCTTCTCCTCCTTCTCCTTCTTTTACTCATCTTCTTTAAAAGAAGAAACGAAGCTTTGGAGTAGCCACACGTGCACGTAAGCGGCGAAAGTCGATGCACACACGTTGCACATCGTACTACGTCTTACCATACTGTACCATTACTACACCATGAGTCTTGTGATGAGAAGGCGAGGGAGGAGGGAAGAAAAAGAGGAGGAGTTCGGAAAGAAAAAGAGAGAGAGAGAGAGAGAGAGAGAGAGAGAGATGAGCAAACTGGAAAAAGAAATGGCGGGGCAAGGGGTGAAGGGAAGGAGGAAAGGGAGAGAGCCGTTTTGCCCCTTTTGCCAGTTCTGCCTTTTTTTTTCTTGTCCTCTTCTTTCCTCATCCACCGTCCTCCTCCTCCTCCTCCTTCTCTTCTTCTTCCTCCTTCTCCTACTCCTCACACTCTTCTTCACCATCTTTGCTGTAAAACAGGGACGGACCGATCAACTGACAGAGAGAAATTTTACATATTTCTTTAGTTTGCATATATTTTAAATAGATCGAAATTATGCTTAACAATGATTGATGTTTGGGTAATACTGAGAAAATTTATTTACATAGGCAAAAGTAATTTGTTTTCAACGAAAATACAATTGATTAAACAATACGGCATATTGTTAATTAAAATAGATCAGTATTTAAAGTAAAAAAATGTATATTTGTATTACAGATACCAAACATGTCTCTCATGGAAATGAAGATAACATGAAATGTTACCGTTTTAACTGTTAAACGTCTAACGTTCGTGAAGATCCGTTACACTTAGTTCTACTTTTCGTTGGCTTCTCTCTGTTCCTCTCACGTCGAATGAATTTAAATCGAACGACAGGCAGGTGACGAGTCAAATTACGGAAGTCATTGAAGCACTGCGGTTATGAACGTGCAAGTTACACATCTCTCGAAAGAAAGAAGAAAAGAGGAGAGAGATAAACAGAGAAGAAATGGAAGACGTGCCACAACCACATCCGTCGTTACAGCCGGCTTTACGTTTTCTTTGCTACACGAGAGATCTCCTCTTTTTATATCCCTCTTCTCATCCCCTTGAAGAAAATGAAACATCGATTTTATTCTCGTTATCGATCAATCAACCACTTAAATGTTCTAAGAAAACAAAATTAATTGATGTTAGTTGTCAAACATTTGTCTAACTAAATATTTTCTTTCAGTATTCTTTGGAATGATCGCTTTTAATCACATTTTGATATCACATCGAACGTGGGATAATTTCTAATTAAGGATCTCCAATATAAATTAGTGAATTTATTAACGAAAAGAAAAGAATAAAAATGAAATCAAAGGACCCTAAATCAGTGTACTATCTTTTTGGGTTGATAAGAAGAAAAACAAAATATATGGATAAATTTTATCTTTCCAATTATTTCATACCAATTTATCTGTTACAAAGCGATAAGACTATAACGTATCTCTCTTTGATCTTTTATTTCTGTACTTAACAAAACCGGTAATTACCGTAATGCGGCAACTCGCCTTAACCGACCGTAATTTGCATGCCGACCTTTGATCGCGTCATATATTCCCTGGCCATGCATTCGATAGCGCACAGCAACTATTTTCCCGTTTACGGATTAACGTAATTACCTCTATGAAGAGTAGAAAAATATCTTCTGCGAGTGAAATTGCTTACGTATGCGTGTACATGGGAAAAAAAAAGAAGAACGTTAGCTCATTTTGTATATCTAATATGAAATCAAAATGAAATTAATTTTATCATGTACAAAAATGATATTAATACATGACTAATGTGTAACAATATTTTTACAGAAACGAAGAAGACGAATCTTGACTGGATTTGTTTCATTTCAAGAGAAATTGTTTGAAATAATATAACAATTGTAAAAAGAAAAAGATGCTATAACAACTATGAGAAAAGAAAAATAAAAAGTAGGCCAAAGTTTCGATCGGATAAGAGCAACGAAATAAGTTTAACACTTCGTATCTCGTTGCTTGAGCGAGATCAATTACATGGGTCGTTCCTTTTCTTCAGGTCCGATCGGTGTATGTATCTGCTTCTTGCTAACGCTGTGCGTCCCTCGTCTTCGATCGAACTTCAAGTCAAACTCGTTCTCGACAACAGAGTAACATGAAGATGCGAGCCGGTGCTTCTACGATACGTTTGTATTAAAAACAAAAACAAAAAGAATATGAAGAAGAGGAAGAAGAATAAAATGATCCACCAAGAAGACGATGAGCATGATAATTAAAAATTTTAGAAACTTTCTGGAGGATAAAATTGAAAGATCAAAACTCTCATTTTAATTATCAAATTCTATTGCAAAACATCAGAAGAATGAAACGAGGATAGATGAAAGATTACAAAATGTATAAGAAAAAGTAATGAATGATCTAATGAGACTAATTTCTAGATAGTCAAATATTATGATAACTAGTTTTTTAATCATCAAATCCGTGTCAGTCGGCATAAGGCACGAAAGTTTGCACCTTACATCCCTGGAGTCTTCTTCTTCTTCTCCTTCTCCTTCTCCTTCTTCTTCTTCTACTTCTTCTTCTTCTTCTTCTTCTTCTTCTTTTACTATACCTATATATATATTGTGTATATATACATGTCTCTCCTTCTTTTTCTCTCTTATTCTTTTCTCTTTTGCCCTCTCAACCAAACCAATGACCTATCCTTTTCCGTTTGCCCCGAAGGCCCGTTTTTTTCCTCCTTTTTCTTCCTTAGATCCGTTGCTCTCTTTGTACGGCGTCACGGTTGCTCTTGTTGCTCCTCGCATTCTCTTTCTCTTTCTCTCTTATTCTTTGAGAAGTAAGAGAAAGAGAGAGAAAGAGAAAATACGGTCCTCTTCAAGAGATGTTCTCTCTTCAGTTCCTCTCTCGTACACCCATCCAGTTCTTTTTTTTTCTTCTTCTTTTTTTTTCTCTTTCTATCTTCTTCTCTGTTTTTCTTTCCTTGTTTCTTTTTCTCTCTTTCGCTTGCTCACTCATGTTAGTGAAAAACAAAAGGAACAACTGGTCAATCCAGAATGAGAAAGAACGAGATGGTGGCTTAACACACGAGTGAGTAAGAAAGAAAGAGATAGAAACTCTTGAAGAGGGACTTGGAGGGACCGTGAAAGAATACACAAAAGAGAGAGAGAAAGAAAAAGGAGGAGAAGAAGTGGGGGGGACACAGGGAAGAGGGAAGGAACACAGTTGAGCGAAGCGTGTCTCGACACGCGAGATGCTGGATCGGATTCGACCCACGGATCCGGATTCACGAAAGTCTCGATCTCTTGGATCATTCTCCTCGGTTCCCCCTTTTCTTTTTCTATTTTAACTTGTCTTTTATTTTATTTTATTTCTTTTTTCTTCCTTCGATTTGACGTTGACAGAAAAAGGTTGTTCCCCGAGAAAGCTTGTTCTCTCTCTCTTTTTCATTCTCCTAAACTTATCAGGAACATTCAGTTTATAAGCACGTTTTGGAGAACGCGTTCGGTTTTGTATAAATTAGGATTCATTCGATCATAAATATGATCTTGGAAATAAATTTTTATTTATCTTAAAAAAGAAAGAATAACTAATGTTAATATTATACGATTGAAAATAAATTCTAACATATAAGTTGTCTTCTTTAATATTTTAAATTCAAGGTATTTAAAAACCTTTAAAAAATTATTTCTCTTCATCTAAATTTAACTTCATAATTAGTAAATTTATATTATCACTAATTAAAGAAATTCGTTTTTTTTTTTTTCAGATCACCAAAAGAACTTTACATAATGACTAATTCCCATGCGAAGGCGAGCATTGTTACTTCCAGAATAGTGTTACCTTTGTCGAGTCATCTTTAACACGAAAGACATCTAAACGATATTATTTTATCCACGATATTGTTTGTTACGTTGTGTCAAATATATAGAGACAGGCAGGTAGACAAACAGACGGACAGACAGATAGAGATAAAAAAGTTGGCACACAGTTGTTAAATTTACTTTGGCTTCATTGGTGTGCAGTAACCCAGGTAAGATCGTGAGCATCGAAGAGGAGAACTAAGGGAACCGGTTTAATCTTATAAATTTGCGATCGAATGATCTCTTAAGAAAGAAAGAGAAAGAGAAGATTTCGCACACTCACCTAGTTTTCTACCCCCTTTTGCTTGCTTGCTTGCTTGCTTGCTTGCTTGCTTGCTGGCTTGCTGGTCCCATCTTCCTCTCGCGTTACCATTTACGGCTTCACTCTGACTCCACGTGGTTATCATCATGTATTCTCTCTATCCTTCTTTCTCTCTCTCTCTTTCTCTCTAGTTTACTCTTTGAGTACTCGACACGGAGTCTTGGAAGTTACCAAGCGATTCTCGAGTACGAGTTAACCACCTCGTTTCACCACTAGACTCTTTTCTTCTTTCTTTCTCCTTTTTTATTTCTTTTTGTCCGTCTGTCTGTCTCTCTCTTTCTTTCTTTCTTTCTCTTTGTTTCTTTCTTTTGCTTTTTATTTCATCCTTTCTTTATTTCCTTTCTCTCCACCCGCCAAATCGTAAATTCAGGGGACTCGTAAATTGTTACTCCTTTTTTCCCTCTACCTTTCTTTCGTTTCCTCTCAAACATTCTTCTTATTGCTTTCTTAAGAGAGAAAGAGAAGAAATATCAAAGAGCCATGGGGTAAGGGGTTTGTGGTATCACTGTGGTATACATATTTATGGTTTTGTATTTATCACCTTGCATTTAACTTTGATTTCTTGCACATTCTCTGATTTTCTTGCAAAATATTTTCCTGTATATTTATACATTATTTTAATCTGGTAGTTTAAATAATCTAATCAGAATACCTGCGAGAAACATTTCTATTCATTATACGTGCTCTATTCTTTACAGGTTACAAGACAATAATCAATGAAGTTGTAAACGCGGTGTCTACCCTCTTATCTATTCAAAGATAACAGGACTTGGAGAAAATGAAGAAAAAAAAAGAAAGATAGAGATAATAAAGAGAAGGATGTTGAGGGGAACAGAGAGACAGATAGAAAGACAGACAGACAGGCAGGCAGACCATTTTAAATTCTGATTTCCATAAATAAAAACATTTCCCTCGGTAAGAATTTAACTTGGAGTTCATTAACGTCACGTCTCTATTATTATCACTGTTCTCTCACGTAATATCTAGCGGAATTTCAAGCCGTGAGATTTACTTAACTATGTAATGGATATGGTAAAGAGGGGTTCGAGTGAAGAAAACGATCGGGAGATTTCAATTCATTTGCCTAGCACGTCGTTGCATTTTCTTTCCATAATTCACGATCATATAGGTAAGTATACACATACGAGACGGTTTATGGGAGAAGAGAATATACAAAATTCATATCACGTTGTTTTACTATGGCTAAAGGGGAGAAGATATTCTCTGTGTTGGAGGGTTGATACTCAACTTGAATGTCAAATTTTCTTTCAGAGAAAGTTTCAAAGAATTGTATTTGCAATCGTCGTTAGAACTTGTATTTGATAAATTCAATTCGAATTTAAACAAAACAAAAAAAAGCGTAATAATAAAGTACTTTCATTTTATAATTCATATAAATGCATATATTAGTTTTGTACTTTTTTAGATTTGCCGCCCATATTGAAATCACTTTAATAAAATCAAATCAACAACTATTTAAATAATCTGCGAGTTGTTGATTTGACTGAAACAGCGGTAACCTGCGCGCGGCAACATGCGCGCGGCAAATTTAAAAAAAACAATTCAAGTGTCAGTACTTTATAATGAAAATATTTCTTTCTCTCTTTTCAGAAATCTTCCCCATTACAATCGCCCACGTTATATACTCTCACACCATCGGATTCGCCGATTATTTTATAAACTCTTAGAGAGCGTTCCAGAGTTCCTCCTTGGAAGCTTAGGTACCTATAATTTTCTCTACTTCTTACTCGCGTTTCTCCTTTATACAGTCTTGTTTCCGATTTACCGTGGCTCGGCTTTATGGTAGTTAAACGTTTTGCTTCGCTCATGTATCCTTCCTACCAACCTTACCTCCTTCGTACATATATATGTATATATAAAAATATGTGCGTACATTTGAATGTATGTATTATGCATGTATATAAGTACATATATATATATATATATATAGGTAGTTAAGCGTGCGCGTTTTATCAAGGGTGAATGCGACACACGAAGCTTACCAGGTCTAAAGTGGAATAGTAAAAGCGAGCATTACGCCTTGGACACGTGGTAATTTACAACTGGTGCGTACGAGCCACGGATAGTTCGTAAACACAGAGCGCTTTGTGAGCGACTCTGCGGCTCTTGCTTCTTCTTCCTTCTTCTTCTTCTTCTTCTTCTTCTTCTTCTTATTTTTTTTTTATTTTTTTTTTTTTTCTTACTATTGGATAGTCATTTCTCTTTGCCTCTTCTCTTACGCCATCCTTTTTTTATACATTTTTTTTTTCTTTACTTTGTTTTCTCTTCTTTTATTATATGTATTACAAATATGTATGTGTGTACATGCACGTAAATAATATATGAAAATTTTTGTTCTCAGTATAAAAAAGTCGAAATAGTCCTAATGTATAAAAAGTTTTCTTGCTGGTAAATTATATCAAGGCTCGTAGAAGGAATCACCAGTTGAAATGAAAGAAATGCAAGGAAGAGGAAAAACTTAACTACGCGAACTTACGTTCACATTTGCAGTCATTACGAATGATCCTTTACGTCCGCACAACGTGCTGAAGGTAACCATAAGGTTGTTCTTTCATTTCTTTACACTCTTTATAACTAATGATAATAATACTCTGCATGGTTGATAGAAAAAAGAAGAAAATATAAAAAAAAGGAGTGAGATAAAGGGAATAAGTTTTTCAAAATGAAAACCATGTGTGTAGACAAATTCAAATATTCAAGCTACTTCCAACAATAATATTGAAATAAAAAATGCATAAGCATATTCGTGACATTGTTAAAAGAAGACCGATACATTATAAACGAGGATTAAAACGATAGCGTTTAATGCGACACGCGTGTCGACGTCGACGAATAATCTATCTCTCTCACGCTATCATTCTATCTCTATCTTTCGCATGTAAATAGCTTCCTAACTCCGCGTAGGTGGAATAAAATCGTGCTCAATGACTCTAACGCAAGCTTTATACTCTTTATACTCTTTTCGATGTCTTAAAAAATATTCTTTTTCTTTAAAAATATCACAAAATAAAATATTGAAGTTTTCATTTGTTAAAATCTATTTAAATTATCTCGAGACGTTATGTTGAATTTTAAAAAATCGTGCAAAAATATGAAATTAATATTTTCTTCTATAAAACTAGATAGAGAGAAAAAGAGAAAAATAGAAATCTTTTCGCTTTCATTCTTTCGGTATTCTTCTTGCTAGCATCGACGATGTTTTATCGAGTCCTATCTTGTATAAACACGTTCCACCTGGACCCGTCACGACCCACGCCATTTTCTACCGTCGTACTGCCCACGTCGCTTCGTAACTTTCCACAAGATCGCTTTATCTCTTATGTGTGTTCTATATATACATATACATATATAATATGTATAATAATATATTATAAACTATTTAACTACTTTGAATTTTTCAAACAGTTTGAAAATAATCGATTAATCATCGATTAATCATCGATATATCGTTAACTCCAAGATGGCGTTACTGACCTAGTCAAATTAACATCAATTAATTACTAATAATAATTAATTAAAAGACACACGTTTCAAATTCGATGTATAATAGTATCTATCTTTGAAAATTATCAAGGAAAAGAATATTAAATTTCTAATATGTATTATATTCATACATATATATGTAAATTTCCGACACACGCGTAGCTTCCGATCTCTGGATCTCTTTTTCCCTTTGCCATCTATTCTTCTTCCTCGCTTTGGTCTTCTAAGACGATCGAATTACAGCGTTATAGAAATACGTTGGGCTTATATTGTGGGTCTGATGTTGGATGGTTGAAACCGCCTGTAGTCCCGTAATCCAGGCTTACGGTTCGCGCGTCCTGGACGTGCTTTAATATGATTTAAACCCACCACCGTGTTGGCTACCGTGTTACGACCGTTCGAACTCGTACGAGCTGCCGCTCCTGTTCCTGCTGCTGCTCTTGCTGCTGCTCCTTTTGCTGTTGCATGGACCTTCTCGCGAAGACCTTGAAATGTAAAAGAGTGTGAAAGAGAGAGAAAGATATGGACGCGTGCGTATACGCAAGAAAGTGGCGTAAAATATGTAGGCGAGTTATGCTTTTTTTTTCCTTCTCTTTTCCTGCTCGGCCTTCTTGGAATTTTTAAATTTCCCGCCTTCGCACATTCGCTCATTACTTTTAACGTGCGATAATTGTATTTATTTTTTACGTTAACGTTATCCTTACCATTATCGATAAATACATCGACAAAGTTTACAAGGAATCCTTATTGCTCGTCGTTGCTAGCTAAATATGAAGAATCGATAAGAAAATTAGGTTAGTGGGGCAAATCAACTGGACGTATACATAGGAAGACATTATTTACCGAACGTTGGATGTATCATTATCGACCGAACCCTTTACCAAATGATTACTAAATCTATATATACAAGTCGACTTCAAAATACGTAATAAAACGTATCTCCTGATTATACTAATTTACTTAAAATATAACAAGTTTTTTACATTTTTTTTTCTATAAAAAAACATTTAGTTCGTGTTTTGACCTACTATGTCATGAAAAAAGAGAGAACTTTGAAGCCCGTCAGCCATTTTGATTTCTTCTCTTTTTCTCTTTTCCTCGCTCTTTTTGTCGTCTTCTTTTAATCTTAATTAATGTCTTTAAGATAGCCGACAGAAGGCACAGGGCGACCTAGAAACAAGATACCTCAGTGTATGTAGGGGAGGCCATGCGGCCCGAGCTACGGCAAAAGTGACAAGGCCCCAGCAATTATAACGGGTGGCGCAAAAAAATGGCGCCGTGAATCGGCGTCTCGACCAGCTACTGTTTGTTGCTTCTATCTCTTTCTTTCTTTCTTTCTCTCTCTTTCCCTTTCCTCTTTTTTTTTTATCCTCTTTACATCACAGTCACCTTTGAATCACGTATACGTACATCTCGTGAATTGCAATATCGATCATTCGATATCTCTATTGTTTTTCGAGATACAATTGTTCAATTTAACTTCAAAAACTTACGAATGTGCCTAATATTTTGATAAAAACAACAATAGAAGTATAAATCTAATCAATGATCATTAAATTCGTATCATCAATAACAAAAAATACATAAGTATAGATATATGTATCTGAGAAAGATAATAGAATGTTCGATTTACTAATTGTTGCCTTTCAAGATGATTAACCGAGTGTATCAATAATGATCTTCTCGGAATGATTGAAACATACATACATATATAATATAAAAATGAAAATAAATCATATAGACGTGTTGTATCGAAAATACATTATCTAGATTACGCTTTCCGAGAGTATATACTATATACGAGATATCGATAAAGAAGGAATCTTTTTAAACGATAAATATAAACTTGAATAAAATGGGCTAACTTCTTTCCTTGAACCTTGACGATAATTACACCCTTTTGAAGTTCGTTCATCATCGTTATAATATCGTATGTTAACTCTTTCATATTATCGGAGCATATATCTTGTACGTATGTAAATATACGTGTGCATACTTATGTATACACATGTGTATGTGTGCAATGGCAAACGACACGTAACGATGTAACATCCGTTTACATCGTTTCGATATGCTCAATATTCGCGCTCTTATCATTTTCGAATCTCCAACGTGAGTCAATTATATGTCAGAAATATTTCTAATTCAGCTTACGTTAGCAACAATATGAATCATTTTTCTTGTTATACTTATGAATTACAGTTAAAATTTATTACTTTTATTAGTTTAATGAGCATGTGTTTAACCCTTAAATATGTTAAATGGTATGTTGTTTTTATACTATGTCAAATTTGTGTAATTCATGATTGAACAATTTATATTTTTTCTTCGAATTAAATTTGTTTGTTAGGTTATATAAATTCGTTCAAAATTCACAAAAAAAGTATTATGATGCGCCATCTATTAATAATATAAGAAAAAAATAGAAAGAAAGTTTCTTTTTTTTCCAATAGATGGTAGAAAGAAAGTTTCTTTTATTTAACATATATTATTAATAATTAGGTTATAAAATAATATTATTCATTCATATTATACATATTTCTATAAAAGTATATAAAATTATAATAAGTTTCATCAGTAATAACATAATTAATTTAAAATAAAAATAATTGTTTTATATATACGCGCCACAATGAATATACTGCTAAATTCAGAAAAGCATTTTAATAATAAATTCTTGCTCTTCATATTTTGCACATAATGATTATTAAAAATTAATTTATATTGGTATTTCCTTTTTCATTATATATTAAAGAAAATTATACCCGAATTATCACGTGAAAAATAATTTAGTAGCTACAACGGTTGATTTTTTTTAAATATGTATTTGACTGATAAGTCAGTAAAATTAGCGGGAAACAGTCGTCCATTTCGCATAACTACTGTGTTGGTTTTATTTCTCTATGCGTTCTAAAAAATATTTCTGCTTTCATTATGGAGCCGATAAAAAATAAATTTTCGAGTATAGATTATGCAAAGGGTAATGTAATAGAACAAATAAACAAACAGTTTAAATATTCGGATAAACAAATAATAGATGAAATTGTAGATTCCATTGGTATGTATTACAAGCTCTATTATAAACTTTAATAATTGTTATTTATTGTCTTTAATAAATCATTCAAATTAAAATAATCTTCAATAGTCAGATAATGCAATTATTTGGAATATATATATTTGGTCCAAATGATAGGTTATGAATAATTGTAATATTTCAACGATAACCTTGAAAACAAGGAACTTACTAATGAAATTATTGTTTGTTATTTTAAAAGTTGTGTATTATTTATTCTAAATGATTGACTTGCTTTTAATCTTGTTATTATTCCAGAATCTATAAATGAGTCAATGGAATCCATCAATCAAAATCAAGACATGTTCTTAAAAGTCAACAAGGCATTGTCATTATACGTAGCAAAGTGTGAAAAGGAACGAAAAGAAAGAAACTTTAATGAAAAAACAAACATTAATATTAAAAATTTTGAAGAAAGATTAAAAGAAAGTCTGACTAAATCATCACAGGGATCTGAAGATAAAACTTAGTTAAATTACTATACGTATACCCGAACAAATATGTTCTACGATGAAGTATGTTGCAGTATTTTTATAGTGTACATTTTTAATTTTAAGATATAGGTTATTCTTTCAACTATAGATTAATTTCAAATCATATTTATTTTTGTATATATGTATAATTCAAATATTTATTTATATTTAAAATATATTTTATATAAATCTAGATAAAAAGAACAAAAGAGACATGAGTAAGATTTATACAACAGTATCTACATTTGTAACTATATCACAAAGTTCTATGATATGTCAAAATGCAGCGTATCGAGCCAAATAACAATAGTTAAATAGATAATACTTAATGTTTATTTAAATACTAATTGTAAAATTGTATAGCTTAACATATTCACTACCAGTGCCACATATCTGTGACACACCGCTTACCATTGAAAACCTAGTGTCATATTTATGACTGTAAGCAATGTGAAAAATAAGTTCTGGGCTGTAGTTGAAATCTTTTGTCTGCGGCATGGTAATAATCTAATAAATTAAATAATATGAATATGAAAGTCTCATAAATATAAGCGTTACTAGGTAAAAAGGAGTTGTCTATTGTTGATCGTTTTGCCAAGTTCAATTAATCTAATTTTCATTTATATTCTGGATCATCCTTATGCTGGCGTCTTGGATCTGATGCATCCAAATGCACTATCACAGGTGGGACGCTCTCAGGCCTTTCAGTTTGGTCGAACCTGTATCCGGACTTTCTCGATATATCACCAAACCTTGATAATATTGGAACTTGTCGACACCTTAAAGAAATGTTATTTCTATTAGAACATTATTCAGCTGATAAGACTCTCTTTATAACTTTATATTAATGATAAGTAATTGTTAATAAGAAAATATAAATGTTAAACATATATTAAAAATAATGTAAATAGCATAAAAACAAATCGACAATATTAGTATTAAATAACAGTAAGATTAGTAGTTAAGTAATTTGTAGAAGAAGATGAAGAGTACAGAAAAGAAAGCAAAAAAGTTTAGTGGAAAGACATAAATATTCAATGCTGAGAGATAAACAAGAAAAAATATAACTACTGATTATGCTAAATAGTCTAAATGGTTTTGACATTTAAGTATGATGTCAAGGCAATCGTCTTTAGTAAAAATCAATAGTTTTTAGATGTCGCTCATCGTTTATTACAAAATTATAAGCAAACGAAACTCGGTAAATTTTATGCAACTTTTTATAATCGTTTTATAATACATCTATTATTATACTCATTTTTTCAAACATATTACCAGTTAACGAGACTAACAAGAGCTTGGTCGATGAAAAAAAAAAGAACTACAGAAGAACACGTTCTGTAGGACGCAAATATAAATAAACAGTAGATTGTGGGATACATGAGAAGGATAAAAGATATTTACAGATTTATGTTAACGAGGGGAGAGATTGTGTCTTTCTTCTAAACAGGGATACATTATATATATTCGATTTACTATCCATAAATAAATTTACATACTAATTATAAGATACATTCACTTAAACACCCATGAAATCAAATGAATGCATTTTATTTAATAAACTTTTTTTACCAGTAAAGATTTATTAAACAACGAACGACAGCTAAAAAACATTTTGATTGATGCTCAGAATTGTAATTCTTGTATATAATTCAAAATCACGATTATTAAATCTAATTAAAAAAAGTTTTACCAAAGAAAAGGATATAAATTAAATATGAAATTATATTTAAGTACATTCCATGCATTTGAGAGCTTACAAGATAATAATAGAGAGAAGAATAGACGTTTAATAGTGTAGAATTTTTCCTTTTAGTACAGTTTCCTTTTAATTTTGATGTTCACACCTGCACGTATTGTTGTCGAAATAAAAGCCTGTTGAACATATTTCATTCTCTCTGCAAGCACACGTACAGGTTTCACTGTCCCAGATTTTAACGGCTTTATTTGCCTTGCATTTGTTTTCTTCGTCGATGTTCATACAAACGCAGCTACATTCGTTTCTTCTGTAGGCTTGTTTCTTGTTGCAATGCTAAGAATTATAATAATATAATGTTTATTTAAATAATATAAAAATATATTTTTTAAATATAACAAGCTAAGCATCGATTAAACGCATTGATATTAACTTTTTCGTTATGGCTTGTTTTTTTTCGATACTCTGATTTAATATCAGGATAGTATATAAAATAAAGGAAGTTTATCAAGTAAGAAGCAAAAGAAATATCGTCATTTCTAAGTCGCTATTTAAAGATCCAGAAAACAATAAAAATTGTTCGTACAATTAAATCTCGACAATTACCTGTGCCTTAATTTTGCAATCACATTTGCATTTCGTGTGTTCCTCAATCGGGATAATTTCTTTATTCTTATATGACACTGTTGAATCCGCATTGAGTTCCGAAACTATTACCTTTGATATATTAAAAAAGAAACACATGAATTATTAAAAATAAAATATTAAACAAAAATTAATTTATATTGAATCGATCAAAATAACTCACCTCAAAATTTCGAGTTTCAGTTTCAATTGGTTGACAACTGAGTAGATAATGTCCACAACATCCACCGCATCTTTTAACTCTTGTACAAGAAGGATAATAAAATGTTGAAAATTTATTTTCTGGTCTCAAAGATACCGTTTGATTTTCCGGTATACAACCAGCTGGCTTTGGTCGTTCGGCGTTCGATTTTTCTCCGCCACCTCCGATTCTACCTAATTACAAATTAAATTTCTGTAATTAAAATTTGACTTTTTAAATAATTCGGAATTAACCGAACATTAAATATGTTCGGAATAAATAATAACTTATTAATAATTTTAAATAGATTTTTAGTATTTCTGTTTACTGAATAAATATTTTATTTTCAGGTGGCGAGCGAATAATATTGCTGATAAATATATCCGAGCAATATCATTAATTAACGCTTAAAACCGATGGCCATCATTGATTATGAAAAGAAACCATTGGAGAACAGGTAATAATCTATTTAATGATTCACTTTTTCATATATATCGAATGTGATTTCGCAATCTACTTTCCCATATCTTCTCAGAAATCACGATTGATCAGATTAAAAGAAAGTTGCCTAATTTAAAATTAGACATCTTTAATATCAATTTGTATGCATATGACTCAGTTAGGAAACGAGATCTTTTGAAATCGAAGAGACGCAAGGAAGAAGGAAAAATGAAATATAAATTTAAATACAATTTTCTAAAGAGGAAAGAATATTATGATATATAAAGTACGCGTACATGTGTGTGTGTCTGTTAAAATGAAGGTGATTTGTGCAATCTTTTGAAGCTTTAGAACGTACAAAGAGAGAAGAGCATCAATAGAATAAAATTGGAAGAGGAAATGGCACCAATGAGATCAGGACCATTAGAATGAACACAAGCAAGAAGATCGTACGTTTGGTACGAACCAAGCGTAGTAGACTACGATAAAATATAGGGTGTGCTAAAAAAATTCTTATGATTCATTTTTTAAATCAATTATTTTTACTTTGAATGATTATATTTTTTAAAATGTAAAACTGTAAGCCTTATGATAATGTTCATGTTTAGAATGTTTATGTATCGTTCCATTACACAATCTTTCCGATTTAATCTTAATTTAGGTTTAAGTAATTATAAAATATAATTATATTTAATATTTTAACATTTTTTAAATGTTTTTTATATACTTCCTTTTTTTTACTTTTTTTTTTATATCTCATTAGAACAATTTGAAATATCGAATAAGATGTTTGGAAGAGACGTCACATAGCAATAATTTATCGGATGATCTCATATTTTTACTGATAACGTTCAGATACACGTTTGGATAAGTGATTCTTTTGTAATATACACACGTGTGTGTATTTTATTTGTAATTAAAAACATTTACCTTCTCTTTTTTTAAAATAGTAATAATCTTCACATTCATCAGCAAACATATAGCAAAGCCATGTTCCTTTTTTATTTTTGATATCGTAAAAAAAAAAAAAAAAATAAAAAAAAAAGTTTTACATTAAATCATAATTATAAAATAATTACTTAATTAATTAATTAAATTAAATACTTACTAGCTATTAGAACTTTTTTTTCTGGAGGCACATTGATAAATTTGAGAAATTCTTCGTACGTTGACATCGAATTTATTTTTTGAGCAATTTCTAATGAAGTCTAGAAAGATAACAAAATGCTAGAAATAATGAAGTAAATCAATTTATATATTTTATATTAAATAATGTGTTAAATTTAAAAATTGTTTCTAATGATTTATTATTGTCTGATCATTTTAAACTTATTTGATTCTTCATTGTATAAATCACGTATTCGTCACACGTATTAATCTATTAAACATATTCAACTATTTCAAATATCTCTCGTAAATGCTATTCTAACGCAAGCACACGTATTCTTTTGAAAAGTCAGTCATATATTTTAATGAAGGAAAAATAAAACAAAAATAATACCTGAGGTAGAAAAAGAAATACGTAAGATAATTCTTAACGTTTTAAAAAAAACATTCTTTCATATGCTTGGCAATATTTTGTGACGCATAGTACCAACGATAATCTTATTGTCTACTTTATAAATTGCACTTTACCGTGTTACCCACGCAAGAATTTTCTCTCTCTCTGTATGTACATATGTATGTGTATAATACACTAAATCTACCAACAAATAATAATACCTATTTCTCTAATTTTCTTATCAAATGCAATAAGAAAATCGTTTACTTAGATAATTTATTGTAAGCATATAAAAGAAGAAGATCATAAAATCATTCTTTACAATACTACTATTTATCTATTTACTTTATTAATCATTAATAAAACTTTGTGTTTATCTCAGAGTTTATCTCCAAAATGAATTAGTTCTATCAGAAGATAATCTATTGGGTTGACCAATAAGTGGTGTTGAAATTCTCGAATTCTCGATGAAAAAAAAACTTTTGTGTTATTTATTTTGATCGAGAATTTCAACATTACTTATTGGTCAACTTAATAAGGAATGTACTTTTGAATATTATAATTCAAAATTAAATAAGAAAAGATTTTTCTCTAAAATTAAACAAATTATCTTATCTTATTAAAAATGTCATTTTATCGTCTATCTTTTTCTTTTTTCCTCATATATGTATGATATATATATATATATATATATATATATATATATATATATATATTTCTGTTTACAGCTTGAAATACATCAAGTATACCGATTTGAGAAAAAAAGAAAATGTGAAAATATAAAAAAAGTATTAAAACTAAAACTTGATGCACCGGTATCAGGGTATTCCCAGTACTAACCAATTTCTGAGTCATCGTCTTCGATCGCGGATACTGTCGTGACTAAGGTGATAATTATCTTTTAAATCGATTTCTTAGGTCAATAATCCGTAAAGTTAAAAAAAAAAAAAAAAATGAGAGGAAACATTTCATGTAAAAATATATTTTTACGCGAATCTTTTTGATAATTAAATTACAGTGATAATTAACAAGACCTGTAATTTAAATATATTAAATTATTGATCAGCATGCAACGTCTGATTACTCTGATTACTTTCTTACTTAATAATCAACTATTTTATGATACGATATTATCAAAGTTACTTCATAGATTATTAATTTGTTTTCCAATAAGAAAAATAAAAAAAATTGCATAATTACAATGTTAGATTGTTTCTTGATAATATCATTACGCGTTATAATAAAAATAAGTCTCATATTGAGTGAAGGTCGTTTGATAAATGCAATGATCTGTGATGTCGACTTACGTATGACGATGACATTGAAAAATAATTGAACCGGTACTAAAACAACTTCGTGTTTCATATTTATCGTTTCAACTGAATACAATCGATTAAACTTATCAATTACAGGTGAAAATAATGAGAGTAATAATTCAAATATTATATTTCCAGGAACAACAATATTACATTGGTGATATTATTAGATTCAATGCAAAGATAGCTTAGCACTTTTGATAAAATACGTATTTTCTTACTAGCAAGATTCTGCAACCACGAAATCCGGTCAGTAATCAAGAGGAGAACCTGTTCTTGAACTCGTTTGAATATTCTGATAAATATCAGTTCTACACAATAAGAACGAGTTCTTACTTTAAAAATATCTACAAAATAATATTGCAGAAATATTCATCTCTTCTGTGATTATTAATTTAATAATTAAAATACATAGAACAATTATTAATATTAATATTTTGTTGCAGGTAAGAAATTGTTGCGAGAAGAAACGATTACGGGACAGTTCAACTGGAATTTAAAATAATACTTATCAAACTGGGGATGACGTGTTGGTATGAAACGAAGACTCAAATTGTTTAAACATCATTCACATTCATTTGTTAACGATGTTTCATGAATGCAACAATGAAATATTATTGGTATGTAATTACATACGTACATATATGTTAATAATATGATTATACTAATGAAATGAAATGTAAGAATGCAAAGTTCAAGTGTTACAAGATGCCATGCTAGTTCATTTAAACAAAGGTGACAAAGTTGGTCAATATTCGCGGATTAACGTATCCGGTTAATTCAAATCTAGCAAGAATGCAAAATTTCCTTCGTCCTTGTAGGAAGCTGCAACGATGAGATTAGATAAGATTAACGATAATCGGCCAACTTGATTATCATTCGGGATCGTGACTTGTTTGAACTAGTTTTTTTTTCCGACAATTGAATAACAAATTAATATACGATTGGATTTTTACATAAAACAGAAAATATAAAACATATATGTATGTAGTTAAACATAATTTGTACTTTTAATTGATTTTTTATAGTTATAATTAATATATTTTATAATTTTTGTACAGATCCAATTACTAATACATAGATGACAAATCTTCTTTCTGTGTATAACATTTTAATCGACTCAACTTGATGATATAACAAGCAAGAGAATAACGAATGCATACTTTCACTTTTGACGACATATAATTCTGATGAACTTTCCAGGAAAATTATGAGAAGTATTTTAAAAGTAGATAAGGATTTTTATCAACGATAAAAAAAACGTATGCGTGACAAATATGGAATTTACACAATTGTTATACCGTCTATCGTTTGGATAATTAAGTATTATATATATATATATATCGAACAGAGTATGGTCGACATCGTGAAAAGAATTCACAAGTATGATACATCTATACTAATACACGTTTGCAGATTCTACTAGGTAATCGAAGGTGTACATATGTCCTCGACATTAGCTACAATTTGGCCTTCGACGTCATCCTGGGTCTAAATAGAAAACGAATGTTGCTCTTGGAATGAAACAAGACACGCGTTTTACATTCAATATCATTTACTTAGCAACCTTTCAATCGAAACAGTATACCTGTCTACCTGTGTACAGGTACACACTCTGTACCTGAATAACTATGTTACAGTGCAACTGTGCAACTGTGTCACCGTGTAAACAAATACGTGTAAATAATGTCAAAACAAAAGAATAAATAACACGTCGATGAAGAAAAGAACGAAATTCTAAACAGATCCAATTTTCGCGGGAAGGATATTACGCAAGTTACAAATGCAAAGCTTTGTATATCGTAAATATCTTGTAAACAGCATTTCGAGGAAAAAGTTTCAATTGGAATGACAACGGCGTTTTTAATGATCATTTCTTTTTTCCTTATCTCTCTTTTTTCTTTTATTTTTTTTTTTTTATTTATCTATGAAAGATTTTTTTAAATATCGAAATTACATCAGAAAGAGATGTTATTACGTTTAATGATCTATAGTCTTGTTTCTTTTTTTTTACTTTCTTTATATAATTTTGTAATTATTATTATTGATGCAATTAACTTTGTATTAATTATTTGCACGTAAACGAAAGTGTATAAATATTGTACGTAAATATTAATTTACCATTAATAAGTTGTCATCTAATTCCGAAGGTACTGTGGATCTTTTTACATTACCGATCGCATCTTGGTCAGTATGTTCAGGGAAAACGATCCTTTCTGAATTATCGATCTTTCTATTATCACTTTGACTGAAAACAATTCCACACACGAGCAAAAAAACAGCCAGTTTCATTTCGAAGTACGACATATTTCTTCTGGTGAAGGAAACGTGTTTTCTATGTAACTGTATTCTTATGAATAACGAAAAAAAAGTATGAACTTACAATTTATATACTACTCTATGCTTATAAAAAAATTATTATTTTCACGTTTTCGATATTTTTAGTATTCTTTTTATATTATTTTTTTTTTTTTTAAATGATACAGATATTATAATGTACGATTCTTTTGGAAAATTTGTTTGGATCCACGTGTATCACGACATACAATAACTTCTCTATCACTTTTGCAATTTTAATGTTAAAATAATGCTATAAACGCACACCTAAGCGTTCCGTGATCGACTGCTAGATCGAATAAGTCGACGCACGTATTTATGTATTTTGTGTCTCTCTTCTTTCTTGCCGAGAACGTAAGCGCGCTGTAATGAATCGCACGATTAGACGAATCACTTGCAATATATCTGTCTTATCAAGAAAAATCAAATTTTGTATATTTTACTTATCAAATAATTGACCATTGTATCGAAGGATATAATCAAAATTCAATCTCCAACACAATCAAATGGTTTCTTTACGAATTAATTTTAAATTAACTTTATTTAAAAACAATTTTCACGGTATTAAATTTATTTATAATTTTACATCTTAATTAAAACGTTGACAATTATTTGTATTAGCACGACAGAATATTTTAACGATGGTGATTTATAAAAACAATTACATTGTAGGTTTATTTTGGATTCAAAAAGAAGAAAAATTTAAATCCTTCGAAAGTTGGCGCGCTACGATTTGATGCGACACTAGCGCCACCACTTCGTAGTCGAGTGTCAAAGTATGCGAATAATGCTGGCAAAAATCTGTGAGTAATTTATTATTAAAATATTTATACATATATAAATAAAAATGTATTTATACATATATAAATAAAAATGTATTTAATACATATGTAAATATAATGTAATACATATGTAAAAAAAAAACAGAATATTTTTTACGTGGGTGATTATAACCAAATTATTAGCTCGAGATATCTCTTCGTTTATTGCATGGTGCATAACATTGATACAAATTTTATACTTCAAAGAAATACTCATTTCTTATGTCTTTTTATTTTATTTTCAGTGCTATAATTCCTTTATGGATAAATGCAGAGAAGTATTGAAGATGCCATGGATAAAAGCTGTGCAAGAAATTTCAAATTATTTTCAAAAGGTTATGTTACAAGAAGAAATGAAATATTTACCAATACAGTGATAGTAGTGTAGCATATAACTCTGTATATTGTGCCCATGTAATATATTTCAAGTTTCAATGGTGTTAAGCATCCAGGACGATAGGTGTTCCATGGTGTTGGGTAAGACAAACATAACTTTTGACTAAGAATAATAATCGTTTTTGTTTTATATTAGAAATTTATACGCGTTAGTCTTTATCATATTATTTTTTCACCTGTTTGATACCGCAGATACATTATATTCATTGATAGATGATATGCAACAAGATATGGGAATATGGCAAATGTAAATGCCTAAAAGATTTCTAGAATCCATCTGATCGATTTTTAAATTAGTTTCTTCGACAATCTTTTCGTCTTTACACCAATCCAAATTTCCTTTCACTCCACAACATTTAAACTTTGTTATATGGAATAGATTTATAAAATATTTATCTAGTTATCATACATTGTTAATTTATTTAAAAAATAATACATACCATTATATGAAATTTATCTAAAATAGACGAAGAAAGGTAGATTGTTTTTGAATCGATCATTGATAGCATACTCATTTCTACATTTTTCAAAATATTTGTCTCTACTCTATTTTGCATGGAAGCAACGAATAACATAATTAATGCCATGATGAAAGAACAAGCTGCATGCTGAAGAAAGGAAATACATGTTTAATACAGAAAAGGAATAAGATGCAATGCTTATATCATAACTAACTGTTGCTCTTCTTTTTTGTCCTTTGCGAAGAAAGTAAAGTGCGATAATAGAATAAATTAATAGTACTAAGGATAAAATTATAAATGTCGTTCGTATTAAAGTATGTATTTCTTGTTTCATTATCATCAGTATAAGGTTTTCGTGCACCACCAAAATTATAGCTGCAGCCAAATGAATAAATCCTGCTACCTAAAGATAATATAATTATATAATATTTGTTGTGTAGAGCGTTAATAAACGTTTTACCCACCAAAATAATACAATCGAGTGTAATTTCTATGACATGCATATTATATATTAAAGTCCATATTCTATACATTCTTTGCCATTTCATATTTTCCTTAGGCAATGCCGTTACCAATGCTGCCTTTTGGTGATCGACTTTTAAATCAGGAGTGGAAGCAGTGCGACTTCTATGCCGAGTTGTATTCATTACTGTATGTAATTTAAGATCGGTAAGACTATATTGGAATATATTAAAATATTATTTATTAATGTATAACACACAATATTACGAAAAAATGTCACACTTTTAGGAATTATCATGGATCTTGTTTTTCTTATAGATCTTAAAGTATTGGTGTCAGTGATTCCTTGCCTAAATGAAGGTGGTTGAGGTGAAACGTGTCTATGTACGATTGATTTCTGTTGGAAATTTGGACTGATTTCACTTGAAGACGATGCAATTGTAGTATACGTCTGCTTGAAGTGAAAATAATCTTATGATGAATCGATGGACAAAATTAATCAATTAGTATTACAATATACATACTTGATGTGTCGATAACCAATGGATTGGAGTTTTCATATATCGTTGATTATTCCAGCATCCTTCAGTTTCACTGGAAAGACTAGAAAGGTGAACTATTTATATAAATTATTAATAAGATTAATTCTCTTAAATGTTCCAAGCCCCAGATAAAGGGGAGTTTAGTTTAGGATAACAGGACGAAGTCCTGAGAAGAAGAAGAAGAAGAAGGAGAAAAATTTTCTTAAAAAGAATTGCAATGAACCATTCTTATTCATCAGGATTTAAAGAACAATTGTTTTTTATTCAGTAAATCGTAACACCTTGTCAAAGCATCAGATGTTATTTCCTCGGGTGACAAAATTTGATCTTGTTTTTTTAACAATTGATTCATAATCACAGATGTATTCATAGAACTTTTATAATCATTTTTCTCGTCATTTTTATCACAAATTCTTGAATTAGAGGTTGAGCAATAATCTACCATTTTGTAAATTATGAACATATACACATAAATGTCATGGATGACAATTGACAATTGATAATCACTTGAAATTGCTTTTTAAATATTTTAATAACTAATAAATAGCTTATATATAAATATCAATAGTTAATTATTTGACCGATGAAAGTACCATGAAGTATGAACTAGAAGTTCGCAGAATCTTAAAGAATATTTTAAAATCAGTTAAAAAGATTATATGAATATATACATTTGTTATACTAAATTTAGCTTACAGTTGAAAAACCATCCAGACAGTAGGTAAATATTTTTCCAGCAGTTAGCCGAGAAGGTTCAAGACTTCTTCTCATTATCAATATTAGTAATTTACGTACTTCAATAGGTGCCTCGTACCAGAAACCACTGTAACTATAAATACAAGAAATAATTTCTTCATTCATTTCAGATTATGTTTGCTTCAATCAACTACATATTACTTACGCTTTGAAATAAACTTCGCTGCTGTAGTCTATTATAGTTTGGCCTGATAAACTAGCAATAAATAAATGGAATAACTCACCAACGACAAATGCAATAAATTTAACTATTTCTATGGATTGACCGTACAATACTACTATCTGTAATAAAAAATGCAATTTTCTTTTTATAGAAATGAATAGAAGCATTATGAAAAAAAGAAAATATGTGAATTATAATTGAGGCTTACTTGATACAGACACATGCTCATACAAATAATGTTCAAGCCGCATTGCAATAGTAAAGAATACGAAAATGATGATTCCATGCGCTTGACGAACCTTTGTTTAAAAAATTCATTCGTTAATCACGACAAGATATTGCCGTAATTAATTAACATAATTTCTTTCTTTTATAATACTAACTCTAAAGCTCTTTTGTGTCCTTTAATAGATAGGGAAACATGTTTATAACATTCTTTCCTTTGAAGATCTGTCAATCCACGTAGATCTGTGTCCTTTTCCAAGAAATTTTCCAAACGAAAACTACAATAAATAAATGTATCTTGTTCAAGCAAAACTTAAAGTAGTAAAAAAAAAAGAAAATTAATCACAAATTTTATTCTCACCCTATGACTGCAAATACACCACTAACGTGACAACAAAAAACCATAAGTTGGGTATCAGTGGCAACTAAAGACGTAACATTGATCATTATCGAAAGGGATATGTGAAAATAAAACAAGTAAAAATAATCCTCATTGTTAACAAAGTATTCGGCATAGACGGGTAATTCCATAGGACGACTCTCGTTTAAAGGTATAATTATATCCATTAAGGGTGGTATGAATGTCACCAAAAGAAAAAGTGATGCAATGATGAATATGTATACTAAAAATATAAAAGAAAGTAAAAGAAAATTACATTAAATTTGGTATTTCTTTTTTCAGCATAAAAGAGAAGCCTTTGATATTCCCACCTGTATATCCAATAGTATACATTCTTCCTAAATGAGCAAACTTCTCCATGATTTTAATTTCTTCCTTGGACTTCCACATATCCCAATCTTTGATCATATTATCCATAAGTAATTTAATCTACCAACGTAAGTAAATTATATATTTGCCATTTAACATTTCAATATTTAAATTATTATAAACTTACATCGAATATACCAAGATCAAAGAAATAATATTTAATAGAGGCAGCTAATGATGCCATTAAAATCGGTATAACTTCTTTCAGTATATCAAAGTTTCCGTTGGAAGTACATATTTTAAAAAACTAAAATCAATAAGGCAGATAAGTCTAATATTTTTCTAGAATTTATTAAAAGAATAAAGAGTTACCTGTGTTATGTTGAACAAAAAAACTGGAATATTTATAATACACATACGAAATAAACGAGATTTTTCGTATGGCCACAAACCGACAGCGGATAAGAGACGATAATTAAGTTTATAGAAACGATTCTCAAAGATATCCATAACGTCGATAGAATAGTAGATTGTCTGAAGAACATTTTCTAAGAAGTTAAAAGGTAGTTTTCCTATATTAAATATTCAAGAAGATTTCAATCAAGAATATGGCAGACATATTACATCAAGTAAAAGTCCCCTTCAACTGTTATTATCACGAATACGAGATAATTACTAGTGTAGTATTGAAATTCTATCACGTTATAGACATCTATCTAGTTATACAAAGGGAGAATTTTACAAGTTTTAATTATAAGTTCGGACTCCCTTGTATTGTCATAAGAAATAAATGTCTTTAGTTGAAGAAATAAAACTTAGGTGAGAGTATTACTTTGATAACAAGCATTTGACACGTGGTAATGATTTACCATCAGTTTATCTACTTCAGCAGTATTGGCATACATACATTCTTCTAACAGTATATAATGTCTCTAACATTACTTTGAATAGTACTGTTTAAAGGAGAATTATAAATTCTTTCTCTTTATACATTGTAGTTGATTTTCCAATATTTACATTTACATTTTTCATATTATTCATTTGAAGTGTTAAAGAAGAAATTGTGTTAATCCAAGTTTTGATTTATTATTATCGTTAACAATTAATTTACCGAGGACAGCACCATAAAGTATGAGGTAGATGTATGAACAATCTTTAAAAGAAATTACATAACATTAATTATTCGAAAGATATTAATCTGTATGATTAGGTAATTAATTTACCGTTGAAAAACCTTTTAGACAAAAGACAAATACTTTTCCACCAGTCAATCGAGTAGGTTCAATGCTTCGTCTTATCACCAAGAGTAATAATTTTCTAATTTCTATCGGTGCTTCGTACCATAAACCATTGTATCTTTAAAGGTATGCATAAAATTATCTTAAATATTGTATTATCGTTTAATTGCTTTTACACTTACGCTTTTAATAAAGTTTCACTGCTATGATCTATAATCCTTTGTCCACAATAACAAATACAAAATATATGAAACAATTGTGCAGCCAAAAATGCAATGTATTTGAACATTTCCGTGGATATGTCCAGTAATGTTTTCATCTGTAAGTTGATTTAATAATATTAATTATTCTGAATTTATTTATTTTCAATTTAAATAGTTAACAAGGATAAACTAACTCGATATAAGGAGACGCTCAAGCAAGCTATATTTATTCCACATTGTATAAGCAATGGAGTCGAGAAAGAAGATTCGATGAGATTTGCAAACCTTCATTGAAAAAATGTCATTCTCAACTAGTCAACGTCATAGCTATGAGTATTTCGATTGATCATACTAACTCTATAGCTCTGCTATGGCCTTTGATGGATAGTACAACGTGTTTGAAATATCTTCGTTCATCGAAATATTTCTTCATAGTATTATCATCTTTCATTAATCGTTCCAAACGAAATCTAAAATTCATTCATTTTTACCAATTATTTATATATGATTTTAATTATTGCGAAATTTACGAAGTTAAAATACAGTATACCCGACTATTGAAAAAACTCCACAAGCATGACAAGTAAAAACGAAGAATTGAGTATCTGTTGCTATAATAATTGTCATAGCGATTAAAATTGTAAAAGCCATGTGACAGAAGATTAAATAAAAATGTTTTTGCTGATCGATAAAATATTCTCCCAAGACGATTGGTTGCAAAGGACGAGATTCGTTTAATGGTAAAACAACATCCAGAAGAAATGGTAAAAATGATATCGATAAAAATAATGCAGTACTGATGTATATGTATACTGAAAACAATAATATAATCTAGATCATTTAAAAAATATATATATATGTATATATTAAATAATCTTACGAAATAAGATATATGAAATCTTTACAGGTGTATGCCAGAGTATAAAGACGACCCTCTTCAGCATATTTCTTCAATATTTCTATTTCTTCCTTGGAATTCCATATCTTCCAATCTACTATCATCTTATCCAAAAGTTTTCTTATCTAATCAGAACACCATAAAGCAATTCAAACTCGTTGAAAACTTATTAGAATTGTTACACAAACTTACATTGAACATACCAATGTAATAGGTATAATATTTGATTGCCATGTTAGTCATTGTTGCCATGGTTGGTACAACTTCAATAATTATATCAAAATTACCTTTAGAAGTATACAATTGAAATATCTGTATAAAATGAATGACAAAATGAAATATAATTAATTTTATTATGCTTATAGATGAAATATCAGTGCTCACCTGAGTTATATTGAAAGACATTACTGCGATATTTAGAAAGTATACACGAAATAAACGTGATTTATTATCCTGATATGGCCATAAACCTACTAAGGATAATAATTGATAATTAAGCTTATAGAAATAACGTTGAAAAATATCCATATCTCCGTATGATGTTGTAAAACATTCTAAAGAATAGAATTTCTAGAAGAAACTAAAAAGAAAATTCTCTTACAACCCTTTGTAATGGGCGTTTCTTTAATTAAATATTCAAAAACTTTTTCTGCTAAAGGATACCAAGCACAACCGTGCCGTACGAGAGAAACGAGTTATTAAATCATTGAAGAATGACAGATAAATAACAGGCATCTATGTAAGTTCATTATTTTCTTTCTATGAAGTTAACAGAAGGGACAGGTTTTAATTATCGCTTTTATAGGGGACGTTTTATTTTCTTCTAAAGTGAAAGTCTTTGTAACGAGCAATCAATGATATGAGAAACGTCATTTTCTGTGGAATCTAACAAGTATGTAAGTACTACTTCATCATCAATTAATCATTTGACTGATACCTCGGCTTGTAACTATATGTATCACCTTACTTCAGTTCACGTTAGTTTGTCGTTTGTCTTTGATAATTCCAAGAGAGAAATTGTTAGAAATGTGCGTGTGTGAAGTTATTCTTCAATATTTTTTTGCTGTTGATATGTTTTTCTTTTATATCAAAATATGGTATATATAAGTGTTTAAAAAAATTGATTAAGATATATATATATATATATATATATATATATATATATATATACATTTAGGGAATTAATGTGTTTTGTTAATTATATAGAAATGATTTCTTTTCGAGTAATTAGAAATATTTTACATTCTATTATTATATAATAAAAAGTATAAGTCTTTTAAGATCCTTTACGATTATTGTACTGACGATAGTACCATGAAGTATGAGATTGATGTATGTAAGATCTTAAAAAAAGAAAATAATATATTACAAGATTTGTTTGTATTTGTTCTTTAATTGACGAAGTTAAGTAAAATTACCGATGAAAAACTTTTGATGCAAAATATAAAGATTTTTCCAGCAGTCAAATTCGAAGGTTCGATACTTTTTCTCATTATTAATAATAGTAATTTATTTATTTCCATTGGTGCTTCGTACCACATTGAATTGTATCTAAAAATATTATAATAAGCAACATTTTTTATTTTTTTTTTTATTTTAATTTAACTTACGCCTTTTCGCCTATATTAATACTATGATCTATCATCATTTGTCCAACATAACAAGAACAAAATATGTGAAATAGTTGAACAATTATAAAGCCAGTATATTGTAAAAGTTCATCCAATTGATCGGTTATTTCTTCCGTTATCTATAATGTCCATGCGATTGTTATATAATTGTCAATAATTTTCATTATTTCATTGGATTGCCAATTCCAATACAAAAAGTTCTAGCATTATTTATTGACCAACTTAAATAATATAAATAAAATACTTACTTGATATAAAGAAATGGCCATACAAATAATGTTGAAACCGCATTGCATCAGCAAAGAATATGAAAAAGAAGATTCGATACAATTGGCAAACCTTCGGTAGAAAGAAATCATTTTAAAAATGTTATTTTTATTGACACATGCGATATCTGTTTTTATACTAACTCTATAGCCCTTTTGTGACCATTAATGGAAAGCACGAGATTTTTAATATATTTCTTACGTCGATGATTACTCCAATTGTCCATTGTATGAGCATCCTTTAGAAAATGTTCCAGACGATATCTATGATTTATAAGATCATCTCTTCTTCTGATTTTTAGCTAAAAGGATCGAAGATCCTCTAATTCAAAATAATTCAAATTAGGATTTATCATCTTACCCTACTACCGTAAATATACTGCAAACGTGGCAAGTAAGGATCATAAGTTGAGTATCGACAGCTATTAAAATTGTAACAGCGAATAATAGTGAACAAAAGTTTAAGGCATAAAGTAGATAAAAATGTTCCTCTTGATCGAGAAAGTATTCGGACAAAATGGGTAGTTTCAAAAGACGAGATTCATTTAAAGGTTTAATTACATCCATCAAACGTGGCACAAAAGCAAATCCCAAATATGCTATCGAGATAAAATATACAAATCCTAATAATAAAAAAAAAAAAAAATAAGAAAAACATTCTTAGAAGAAGTTCAAATATTCTTTAAATAATTCGTATGATCTAAAAATTAATTTTACCTGCGTATAATAAAGTATTCGACCGTCCTTCCTTTGCATACTTCTTTATAATATCTATTTCTTCTTTCGAATTCCACATTTGCCAATCTATAATAATATTATTTAATAATGCTCTTATCTAGAAAAAAAAAACAAATCACTGTAAACTTAGCATTTCTCTTATAATTAATCACATTCAAATGATCACACACTTACATTACACAACCCTAATTGACACGTATAATATTTAATAATCATATTCATTGCAGTACTCCAAAAAGGAATAACTCTTAATATAATTTTGAAATCTCCTCTTGAAGTCCATAATTTTAAAGACTAGAATTAATTTTGTAATGTAATTAATGTTTATTGTTACAGGATATTCGGGAACAAGAGTAATCAGTCACCTGAGGTAAATTAAAGACCAATAACATTATATTAGATATATAAAAACGATATGAACGAGATTTTTGATAAGGCCATAATCCAATAAAAGATAATATACGATAGTTAAAATTATACAAGCCACCCTCGAAGATGTCCATGTCACGCCAACGACACGATTCATTCTAAATGAAATTTTCTAAGGAGCATAAGGTAACTTTCCTTTACTAAGAGAAGGCGGTTTCATGTAAAATATTCAGAACCACCCTTTGTTCATGCTTCCGTTACAGGTCGTACGCGTCCTCTGTGTATCCCAAAGAGGATTTTACACAAAAGCTATTATTATCTTGGACGTAGTTGATAATTAGTAATATGACTGAAGTTTGAACATTTTCATTGTCTCTTTCATTTCAAACGTTTCATTATACCAGTTTAGAAACGAGACTATTTTAATTGTACGTCTGTTAGAAACTAGAGTTGAAAATACACATAACATTTTATCTTTACAGCAAACCCGTAAAATGTAGCAACTCGTTTGATCGTGTAATTTTCTTAGTACTTTGTATTTCTGTTTTAAGTATACGATAATCGTTAGTGTTTTTGAGAAAATATCAGTTGTTCCTTAGGACGAAATCCATTCTTCAGATGTAAGAAATCTATACTCGTGCTTGTTACATTCATCTTTATTTTATTAAATCATTAACTTAGTGATTTAATAAATTAATCAGAAGATTTCGGGAAGAGAAAATCAATAGTTTATCAATATATTTAGAACTACTAATAAAATATATATATTTACATATGCCTCTCTCTTTTTTTCTATGATACTAATTGCATTTTAAGTTCATTTTGTTACTCTTGGTACTTGCAAAAAGATGAAAAAAAAAAAAAAAAAACAAGAAGAAAATATCACAAAAGAAAAGACAAGAAATTTTGTACAACGAATGAACGAAATATTTTCAAATAAAAGACGTGTGTGAAAATTAGTTATATTTTAACAACTACTACGATTCTTTAACATCATCATTAGCATACTATTGCGTCGATACAATTACCATGAAATACGAGCCGGAAGTTTGGACGATCTTAAAAAAGACAAATGAATGTATTAAATTGTTAAATGAATGTTAAACACAGCAAATGGATCTTTTTTTTTTTTTTGTAAATTTATCTACCTTCGCAAAAGTTTCTAAACAAAATATGAATGTTTTTCCAGCAGTCAGGCAACAAGGTTCTAAACTTCTTCGTATTACTAATAATAATAATCTATGAATTTCAGTTGGTGCCTCATACCATAATCCACTATATCTACAAGAAAATATAGATTTTTTTATATTTTAAATATTAATATAATATAATAGTTTCATTCTATGATATTAGATAAACTTACGCTTTAAAAAATATTGCAGTACTGTAATCTATCATTCTTTGACCAGGATAACATATACATAAAAGATGAGTAAACTGAGCACATGCAAAAATTAAAAATGTAAATGCTTCTGCTTTTTTATCCAACAATATTAATATCTACGTATAATGATAAATATAAAGAATGACCAAAAATTCGTTCCAAAATTATGAGTAGTACAAAAAGAAGAATATTGGAGGATACTTACTTGAAACATAGAAACACTTAAACATATCAATCCCATAAAAGCCTGCATTAGAAAAGATACCGAATAAGAAGATTCAATAAGTTTTGCAAACCTTTTGAAAAAAGATTTCAATAAATTACAAAAAGGAGTAAATTCATTCGTGTAAGCAACTATATATCTTATTTTCTATAAATTTAAATTCTTTAATTATACTTATACTAACTCTAATGCTCTTTTATGATTTTTAATAGAATGTACAATGTTATCGAAATACATTTTTCTAATTTGATGATGATCCAATAAAACTTGAGACTGGAGCCGATCGTTCAACAAATGTTCTAGACGAAATCTACAGTGTTATCAAGAATTAATCTAATCGTAAAGTATCCATGAAAATTTCTATTAAAATAAACAAATGTTATCTTACCCTACTGCAGAAAATAAACCGCATATGTGTGAATTAAAAGTCAAAAATTGACTATCCGTAGCAACTAATACAGTAATTCCAACTGTAATTTCAATACTCATGTGACAATGAATATAATAAAAATACTTCTGTTCGTCGACAAAATAATAACTTTTAACAGTAGCTCTCAAAGGGCGAGACTCGTTCAAAGGTATCAAGATATCCATGAAGCGAGGAAAAAGTGGCATTGTTAAAAACAAAACCATACACGTGTAAATATATGCTGCAACAAAAAGGTATTGATAAATTTTAATTTAAAATACACAAAAAATGTTATCTAATGAAATTGTATCAAATATTTACATATGTAAAGCAACGTAAAGAATCTCCCTTCTACTGCAAATTCATGCATGATATTCAATTCTTCTCGAGTTTCCCATATTTGCCAATTGTTTAGCATATTTTTCAAAAGATCCTTTATCTGAAACAATTATTTCTACATTAAAAAATACTTTACATTTATTGTTACTAATATTAAAAAAAAAAAAAAATAATAATGTAAAAGAAATTTTAAATTATTTATTATATGTCTTTGAATTATTAAATCAATTCAAGGAAAACTTACATTATTTTTTTGAAACTGATATGTATAATATTTCATTACCATAGCTATAAAAACACATATAAATGGTACACTTTGAAGTATCACATCGATGTCTCCTTTACAGGTATAAATCAACGCTATCTGTCGATAATCTTATAGTTAAAACAATAATTAATTGTAAATTTAAATTCCCTTAAATAAGTACATGCACACATTCACACACACACACACACACAAGTTTATTTTAAATCTATGATATACCTGTGTAATACCAAAAGTAATAAATATGAAATTCACAAAGCACCTACGGAAAAAACGTTCATATGAATTCTGATAAGGCCATTGTCCTATCAGCCTTAGAAAACGTTTGTTAACTTTATAGTAAGGGTGCTCGAAACTGACCATAGCGTGTCAAAAGCGTAAAGCATTCTAATGTTATCAAACTAAGGACAGGCTTCCCCTTTTAATGGGCGGATCAGCATAAAATAATCATAGCTTTTTCTTCTTACAGAAAACTCCTATCTATTGCTTACACATTGAGTATGATTGAACGAGAAAGGGGAAATAAGGACAAGTATTAATTTGCTTTCAACTTTGCTTGAGGAAAAAATAATTTCAATGGGACAGAGTGCTTGAAAGTATGTAATTTCATATTTTTTAAATTCTATTATATATGTTTGTTGCATGCTACATACACATACTCGAGTTATTGTTTCATTGATTTTTTTTCTCTTATGGATAAATATATTCACTTACACCTTATCGTATACATAGTTTTTTGCTTTTATCGTACTTTTCGGCTAACTTTTAATTAATGTTTGTTTAATTATATTTTATTTCAGTTAATAAAAATGTAATCTAAATCTGCAAATAGAAGATGTTCATAGTTTTAAATCACGTAAGGATTATTAAACATAATTAACCCGATACCAATAGATAAACATAACACAAAGTTTTATTATTATATGAATAGAAACATTGCATTATATAACTACTAATAAAATATTATTTTCACAGTTAATGTACCGTTGAAATTACCATGAAATACGAGGTAGCAGTCTGCACGATCTTAAAAAAGAAATTGATACTTGTTAAATGAATCAATTTGTTCGTATATCATTTATATTTATATATATGCATACCGTCGAAAAGCTTTCGAAACAAAAATTAAATGTTTTCCCAGCAGTTAAATAACAAGGCTGGAAACTTCTTCTAATTATCAATAATACTAATTTATGTATTTCAATTGGTGCCTCGTACCACTTTCCACTATATCTGTATAATATATTGAAACAAAATGATTAATATAATCAATGAAATATTCACAGAATAAGAAAAGATTATTTATGATTGTATTACTAACGCTTTAACATGGATATCGGTGCTATAATCGATCAATTTTTGGCCAGGATAACACATGCAAAAAATGTGAACAATTTGTGCAGCTGTAAAAGCGATGTATCTGAACCCTTCGGTAGATGTTTTATACACTATTACTATCTATAAGAATAATAAAATATAATTTAATAACAACAACAATAAAAAATAAAAAAATAGAACGAGAGAAATATTTAAAACTTACTTGAAATAAAGATAGAGTCATACACGCTAAACTAGAACCAACTTGGATAAATAAAAAAAACGAATAAGAAGATTCAATGAGGTCGGCGAACCTTATGAGAAAAAGAAACCAAAAAGAAGAAACAAAAGGATACAAAAAAAAGAATAATACTCTAAATATAATGAATTATCTAAATTGCATAAAATTGTTCGCCTTTATCTACTAACTCTAATGCCTTTTTATGTATTTCAATGGTACGGACAATGTGTTCAAAGCACATCCTTCGAGACTGATGATTTAACAAAATTTGTGGACCAATTTGATCCTTTAACAAATGTTCCAGGCGAAATCTGTAATCAATAGAGTTATAACACACAAGAAAAATAAGAAAATAATAATATTAAAGAAAATGAAGTTACCCCACTGCTGTGAATAAACCACAAACGTGTGAGTTGAGTAGCAAAAGAAGAACATCATTTGAAATTAACACTGTTATTCCGGTAACGATGACTATACTCATGTGAAAATAGATTGAAAAGAAGTGTTGATCCTCGTCAATATAATATTCACTTTTAAATATAGGATTCAAAGAACGAGATTCGTTCAAAGGTATGATTATATCCATAAAGAATGGAAAAAATGGCATTATAAGGAACAACGTCATACACGAATATATATAAGCTATATAATAGATAAAAATATAAATATATTAATAATATTGTTTCAATGCGATACAAGAGTATAAATAATCTACATTAATCTCACAGGCATAGTAAAAAGTTAATAATTTTCCTTGCTCACTATATTTGTGCATGATATCCATCTCTTCTTTGGACTCCCATAATTTCCAATTTTCTATTATACGATCGAAAAGATTTTTAATCTATGAAAGAAGAAAAATCTAAATAGTGACAAACATTAATATATAAATCTTCATTTTAATGTGAGAAAATAAAGTTAACTCACTTTATTTCTGCATATATAAGACATAGAATATTTGGAAGAGATCGATAATACCGTAGTTAATCCAGGTATAATTTCAAGAAAAGTGTCAACATCTCCATTTGTAATGAACAAGAATACCTATCGTTCATTTGACAAGTTAAATATTTTTAATAAATATGTTCACTTATTTGAAATTGATATTACTTAAGAAGAGTAAATATAAATTACCTGACAAGCAGTAAAACTAATCAGCAAGCTAATCACAATGCACATACGAAAACGACGTTCATTCATATTTTGATAAGGCCATTGTCCTATCATTGACAAGAGACGTTTGTTAAGCCTATAGTAAGAATGTTCAAAAATCTGTTCGTCCATGGTGTTTTAGAAACATCAACTGTTCTCAAGTTATCAAAAAATCTAAAAAAAAAAGGCTATTCCCTTTATTATTGAGAGAAGGTGACATAAAATAATCAGAGATAAGCCATGTTTATTCTGAAAATATGATTCTATAGAATCAAAAAGAAAAGAACAAGTATATATTATCCCTCGAACGAGTTTAACACATGGTAAGATGTGTTTATCTCTAAAACTACATATTGAAACTTGCTGTTAGGTAAAATGGTATATAATTTTCTTGGTGTCAAACGTAAAATGTAGAAGGAATGAAGTAAATGTAACAGATTTATTATTCAACCGATTCGATATTGGATTTTTAACCCAGTATATGTAGATACTAGTCTCTTTATACTATCATTTTATTATATTTTCGTTTCCTCGTACTTTTGTCGGGGAGAAAAAATCGAAGATTTTATTCTAAGGTAAATTCTTTTTTATTCATTTCTTTTCTTTATAAAAACTCTAAATATTCAATTATAAAAATTTTATTTATCCTAATTAGGTTTAATATTATAAACCTTCTTTTTTTTTTTTTTTTAAATACTATTCAGTATTTAATTTGAATAAGTCAAACAATTATTATTGGTGAATAGAAACGTTGTATATTTCAAAACTACAATCTATTAGTATTATTATTATAATATTTATAATTATTGAGCGGATGAAATTACCATAAAATATGAAGTAGAAGTTTGTAAAATCTGAAAAGAAAAACAAACGTAATATTAATAGTCAATTATTTAAATAGAATATTTATATTTGTAATAATTATAGTTCATACTGTAGCAAAACTTTCTAAACAAAATACAAATATTTTTCCAGCAGTCAAGCAAGATGGTTCCAAACTTTTTCGTATTATCAATATTAAAAATTTGTGAATTGCCAATGGTGCTTTATACCATAGTCCATTGTATCTAGAAATAAATAAATATACGCGGTTTGTATTAAACAATTAAAGTATTTAATTAACAAATATGAATATATTATAATTACGCTTTAATACGTATATCGGTGCTATAATCTATCATTCTTTGACCAGGATAACACATACAAAAAAGATGAACCAATTGAGCAATGGCAAAAATGACAAACCTCACCGATTCTGCTGATGTTTTAAGAACTATTAGTATCTATGCAAGAATACAGAGATATTAGAAGTTATTCCTAATAATAAGAAAAGAAAAAGAAAAGAAATAATATTTATAATAATTACTTGATACAAAGAGATGCTCATACAAACCAAACTTAAGCCAGCTTGTAGAAGTAATGATATTGAGAAGCAAGACTCAATGAGTTCAGCAAACCTTTTCAATAAACAATATATAATATATTAAATATAATAATTAATTATTATATACATATATGTGTAATATATGGTATACAAACTTTAATGCATTTGCATGATTTCTTATAGAATAGCGAATATTTTCCAAACACTTGTGATTTGATAATTGATCTAAGGAAGATATGGAATCAGTTTGATCCTTTAAAAAATTTTCCAAACGAAATCTGTAATTATATCTGATTAAATTATTTAATTACACATCATTGAGACTGAAAAAATATTAGAACGCGATCATGGATTAAATTTTTCTTACCCAACTGCTGCAAATATACTACAAATGTGTGAATTACACATAAGAAATAGATTATCTGCTGTAATTAACGTTGTTATAGCAATTACTATAGTTACGCTCATGTGTAAATAAATTGGAAAAAAATTTTCATCCTCGTTGATAAAGTATTCGCCTTTGAATATTGGTTTTAAAGAACGAGATTCATTCAATGGTACTACGATATCCATGATACATGGTAAAAATGGTAATACGAGAAACATTGTCATACATGAATATATGTATACTTTCAAAAAAACAATATATATATTATTAATATTAACAATATGCAATATATCAGCAAAGAAGGAATATTCTACATTATTTCTAGTAAATTGTAATCTTACTTGTATACCCAAAAGTAAGTAATTTAGTTTCTCTTCCAAATTTATGCATAATTTCCAATTCTTCTCTAGTTCTACATAATTTCCAATTATTTATTAAATGTTCCAGAAGTTGTTTTATCTATGAGAGAGAAAGAGAGAGAAATAGAGAGAAATAAAATATATTAAAATTATAAATAACAAATGTAGTACAACAAACTTACATTATCTCTCTTGAATTCAACGGTGTAGTATTTAAAAGCGCAAACCAATAATGCAGAAATAGGTGCCATAGATTGGATAATAATTTGAACGTCTCCGTTACAGGTGCAAAGCAATGTTATCTATTACTAATAGTATGTAATTGGGACTTAATGAATACACACACACAGGTACAATATAAAAAAAGATATTATTTTTATTACCTGTGGTAATAAGAAACTAAGTAAAGCGATGCTCACTATGGAAACACGAAAACGATGTTCACTGGTATCCTGATAAGGCCATTGTCCTAGAAGTAATAATAGTCTTTTATTGAGCCTATAGTAGGGGTGATCGAAAGCGTCCATAGCGTTTCAAAAATACCAAGTATTCTGAAGTGATCGAAGTTAAAAAGAAGTCTTATTGGGAGGAGTCGACATAAAATAATCAGAGAAGATTTACATTTATCCGAAAATATGATTGTATAGAACCAAAAAGAAGGAAACAAGTATCAATCATCCAATTGTGTTTGCCACACAAATAAGATATTGTTTGAAGAACCAAACTTATTGTTAGGGATAGAAGGTATGTAATTTTCTTAATGCCAAACATATAGGACTTATAGAATCGAGTATATGTCGTCGGTTTATTATTCAACTAAGTATACTTAGAGACAGTATATACCCATGGATTACTCTTATTTTTGACAAATGTATAATTTTATTTTGCTAACTTTTACATATTATTTGTGTTTTTTTTTTCATGGAAAATTGAGTCAGCTTTTATTCAAAGATACATTTTATTTTTTATTTTTTACAGTGTAACTTAAAAGCGTATTTATCAATTTTATACGTGTATTTGTTTTTAAAGAGTTCTACTATTATTAAAGATTTTATGTTTTATAATATATATAATAAATATAAATATTAATTAAGGTATGAAGTAGATTTTAATATTTATTATTTAACTATTATATTGTTTAATAAAATAATTATTTATTTATTTATACATTTTTATTCATTCATAAAAGGAATACGCGCATATTAGTTCTTTTTTTTCTTCAAATGTCGCGCTAATCGTTTACGCATGCGCATTCTTTTGCGCATGCGCATTAGTTCGCGCATGCGTACTCGTCTGCGCATGCGCACTAGTCTGCGCATGCGCACTCGTTTGCAAAATCATATGTATGACTCAGTAGAGGCTTAACTGTTAGTGGTGAAGGTTGTCTCGTCTTTTATATCTTTTTAATACGTGTTTATTTAACAATTTATTTAATTGGTAAGAATTATTTAATTACATTTATTAAATTTAATTAAATAAATATAATAAATTATTAAATTTAATTAAAATTATTAATAATTTTATGTTTTATATCGTTATTCTATAAACTAAAAAATCTATAAATTGTATACATTAAATAATAATTTATAGGTTAAAATGGCGTCTGATGAAGAAATGTCTTCACGTAAAAAGTCACATAAGAGTTTAAACGATAAAAAAAGGAAACATAGTAAAAAACAAGATAAGGAAAGTAGGAAGAAGATGAAACGTAGTCCCTCAACTTCCAGTAATGTAAATATTAATTCATAAAATGCTCAGTCTTATTGTCTCCATACCATTTGTAATTTCTAACTTTTGTATGTATATTATTATATTTTAGACTAGTAGTGGCAGTGACAATGAAGTTTGGGTTGAAAAAACTATTGAAACTATACAATCTGTACAAAAAACTACTTCAGATAATAATACAAAAGAGTCTCTTAAGAGAGACGAATGGATGACTCTTGGAAATTTATTTCCATGTATATCTCGGTCTGATTTACAAAGTAGTAAACAGGAATTACAGAAGAAAGATAATAATACTTCGTCAATCCTTGATAAGCCAGGACAAAGTAATAAGGAATTAAATCCTTATTGGAAAGATGGAGGTACTGGTTTACCTCAAAATGAACCTGACAAATTCGTCAATAAAAAAGTAATGGATCCTATTTGGTTAAAAAGGTCATTGCAACGTGCTAAAGAACAAGCTTTGGAGGAAGGAAAATCTTTAGAAGAAATAGCTGCCGAAAGATGGGGTGTAAGTATATAGACAAATATCATTTATATTTCTTCAATATTTATCTGATATTTTTTTTCATTAATATTCAATATTCATTTTCTTATATAGTCTCTAGAAACTATAAATGCAATGATAGCAGAAGCGGAACAATCATCCTCCAAGTATAATAAAAATTATGAACCTAATAATAGTCGTTATCGTGATAGATACTCTAATAGATATAGAGAATCAGAAAAGGATCGTTCTTGGTATAAATCACGAAATCGGGATAATGAACAAAAACGTGAACCTTATAGATCTGATAAACCATTGCGTAAACCAAATTATCAAAAACCTGCAGATGATAATGATTATCGTTACACATCATCAGCAGCTTCAAATAAGTCAAATTCACATCGTTCAAAAAATTGGAAAAAAGATAATGGTACTAGAAATCAATCGGAATTAAATGTAGAAGAAACAGTTACTGAAAAAATTGTGGAAAAGGACGAACAAACTTTTGAATCAAACATACAATCAAGTGATATTTTAACCAAAGAAGAAATGAATAAATTAGGAGCAAAAATTATCAAAGCTGAACTAATGGGTGATAATGAATTAGCAAATCGTTTAAAGGAACAATTAGAAAAAGCAAGAGAATGTTCAAATCAAGCAGATAAATCTGAAACGGAAAATATTATTCTTTCAAGAACAGATTCAAAAGGTACAAGTATTGATATACACTTAATATTAGATTTTTTTATTTTTTTATTGTTTTTGATCATTATTCTAATACAAAATTTGATCTAATAGGTGTTACAAGACCCATACAACCAAGGTGTCAACCTAAAGATTCTTCAACTAAATCTAAAAAGAATAAGAACGTGGAAACACATGTTTCTGGTGAACGAGTTCGTTACTTCGGTGATGACGATAAATATTCATTGCAACAACTGGTAAGAATAAAAAAAAATAGTGAAATTATTGTAAAATTAATATTAAAAGTATGAATATACTTTAGATACTAATGATAACATTTTATCAATAGTTTCAGCGCGAAAAAGGACGTTCTGTGGATGATGACAATGCTGCGTTTGTTAAAATTGCATCTAAGAACATGGATATGAACGATATATTTGAAGAAAAAATTGCACGAGCAGATACGGATAGTAGACAAGATGATCGAGATAAAGCGAGGGCGATTAAAGAACATAAAAGAATATCGAAAAGTCTGGAAGGATGTTCGTGGTGCTTAGAATCCAAAAATATGATCAAGCATATGATTGTTGCAATGGACTCTAACATTTGTCTTAGTCTTCCGACCAGAGTATCATTAGTAACTGGACATTGTATATTAACACCTTTACAACATGTATCTTGTCAATTGCAATTAGACGAAGATGTTTGGGAGAATATGAAGATTTTTAAACAAACATTAATTAAAATGTTTATGGATTCCGAACAAACTCCAGTATTTTTTGAAATCTATAAAAATCGTCATAGATTTCCACACATGCAATTGGAATGTGTTCCAATGCCCAATGAAAGTGCAGATTTAGCACCCATGTACTTCAAGGTAAGAAATTGTATTTTTTGAAATCTAATTAAGCACTTAAGATCTCTGTATGACAATATTTTTAATAATTAATTTTATTTATAGAAAGCCTTGTTAGAATGTGAAACTGAATGGAGCATCAACAAAAAACTTATTGATTTACAAAACAAGGATTTACGTAGATCAATACCAAAAGGATTACCATATTTTATGGTAGAATTTGGAGATAAGGATGGATATGCCCATGTAATTGAAGATGAACGCATGTTCCCGACCAATTTTGCTGAGGTAATTAACGCTCTGCTTATGATTTATAAAGAAAATATATTACATATTAGTTTTATATATTTAATAAATAATTTGCTCTTTTTCTTTTCTTTCATTTCTTTGTTAATCTTTATTGTAGGAAATAATTGGTGGAATATTAGATTTGGATCATAATCTATGGAGAAAACCAAAAAGGGAAACTTTTGAACAACAAAGAGAAAAGGTATTAAATTTTAAGAAAACATGGGACAAATATAAACATTAATTAGTTAACAATTATGTAAATACATTTGATAAAAATGTATGGGTTAATATTTAACTCTTTGCATTCGAGAGGTTACTCTCGGTCTGTATATAAGAAGATATTATTATATGTTATTATGGGTTAATATTTAACTCTTTGCACTCGAGAGGTTACTCTCGGTCTGTATATATGAAGATATTATTGCAATAGAAGAAGAACGTGAAAATAATTTTCATTTGTAAATAATGTTGCACTGTTACAGGGGGAAATATAAAATTTTCAAAAAATTTATTTTTATTTTTGTAATTGCTCATTTTTATTTTCTTGTTTAAATCCATCGACTTTCCATTTGTCCATATATTTACTTAAAACATAAGGAAATAGCGATAATACTTTAAAACGTTCTCCCATTTTATCAGCATCCATTATCATGTGATATCCTGACAATATTTGTTCCTTTTGAACATCGGTTGAGTTCTTTAAAATCATTTCTAATCTTAAATCAATTCCAAGATTTTTTAAAAATGTTCTTTGACTTATTGGACCAAAAGATATTACTCTGTTATCTTTTAATGCAATTTTTTGTATTAACGAAAAATCAACATCCGCAGTTAAGTCAGCTGAACCAGGATTTAATAAAGGATCATGCAATTTGTGCTTTCTAAAAGCACGAAAGGTATCTGTTTTATCAGCTATGTGACCATAATCAATAATTAATGCAAAACCTCCACATTCCATCAAAAATGATGATATATAATCTATTATGACTAAACTTTGAGGGCTTATTTCAACGTGATCTCTCGATTCATCCTCCTGAAATATAATTGATTTATATAATTCATATATATATATATATTGTATAAATGAAATGAAATTATAAATATATATATATAAATGAAAATATACAGATATATAAACTCTAGCTGCAGGAGTCAACCCTTTGGATAAAACGTAACGAAATTTCTCTTCTTCTATTCCTGGAATCACGTCCACTAAGACTTCACTCCAGCCTTGATCCGTTTTCTAAAATTTGATTGCAACAACCATATGCAGTGAATCGTTACAAGTAAGAACAAAAAGTGAAACACTTTTTATATTTTTACATTTCAAGTACCTGAAACTTATGTATTGGTAATGCATCAAAAAATTCATGTGCAAGAAATATACTGAATTTTTTAGGAATATCCGTAACCGAATAATACCAATATATTTCTATGCCATCTTCTGTAATACCTTTTTTATAATGACCTATAGAATTTTCTTTAATTTGTGTCTTAGAATCAGCAAGATTAATTTCTTCTACATGTGTACATAAATTCTGTGCTTGAATTTTAGATAAAGCTGGACTGATTTCTACTAAATGTATAGATATTTTGTTAAGAAATTGTAACTTTTTAAATACCTATAAAATATAACATTTGTTAATTAACAATAAGAGTAAGTTATAATATTATAATTAACAAATATGTACCCGTAAAACATCTTGTATCAATGTTCCCTTTCCAGGACCTAATTCGACAAGCTGAAAGGGATCTTTAGAAATTTTAATCCATTCGTTAATAATCCAAACAGCTATTATCTACAAAATAATACATAATCTTATGAATATATCACAAGAGGACAAAAATAATTTCATTTAAATTACACACTTCTCCAAACAGTTGAGATATTTCTGGAGAAGTTATGAAATCTCCTTTAAGACCAAAAACATCTTTTGTCATGTAATAACCGACATTAGGATGAGTTAAAATTTCTTTCATATATTCAGCCACGGACAATGGTCCACAAGTCATCATTTTAGAATACAATTGACGATACAAAGGTGATTTCTTATTCTTAACATTAGAAGAATTTTCAGATGAGTAATAATATTTTGTTAAATTTATCACGGATCTAAGATTTTGTTTCAACAATATATTAGTTGATGATCCATGATTTAAAAGTATTTTATTAAATATACGTAAAATTTTTGTCATCTTTGTATTATCGTTGTTTGTTTGTTTGTTTGTTGTTTTTTTTCTATAATAAAAAAAATTAATGATTATAAACTACGATTATAACCTAACAAGTTTGTATATATACCGACAGAGTAATCGCATGGTAGGAATACTGTCCTCCTCCTTTGTTCCCCTATTGCACTTTAGTTCATATTTTGTCTGCACGTGTCGTTGAAATCGTACACGCTTTAAATTAATAGGGGGTGAGCACTTATGAATTCTGTGAGTACTTATAACAATCGTATATTATAGGGAACATTATATGTTTTTTCTATTGTACATTGTTATTCTGTCCTTGATTCTAGTCTAATTTCAAATTTTAAATTGAAGATCAACGACTGATATAAAAGATCGTTTCATACTATCAGAAAAGTTAAACAGAAGAGAAATATTTTCTATTATATTTCAAAAAATAACCATGGCATTTTTTCCACTGAATGATCAAATTCATATCAAATCTTTTACTCCTAGAGAATACCAAGTAAGTTTTTATTTTAATATTTTATTATCTTTATAATATATAATGAGATACATTGCATTTTATCAAATTATAATAAAAAAAATCATTTTCTATTTCTTTATATTTTCTTTGTATATTATTTTAGGTAGAGATATTTTATGAGGGTAAACAAAATAATATTATCTTTTGCTTGGAAAGTAATTATGATCAACTTTTTATTGCTTTAAAATTAGTACAAGAATATGCTACTAATAACAGAAGGTAAATTGTTTTTAAATTAATTAAATACTTCATAGAAAAGTAGAAAGAGAGAAATATTTGTTAGATTGAAACTGTATAAAATTCAAAACAATTAACTTATGCTTTATTTAATTTAGCGTTAATGGAAAGAAGAAAAAACACATAATTTATATGATATCAGATATAGAAAGATGTCGTCTGCGAACTGTATATGTCACTGAGTTTACAGATATCAAAGCATTATTCCTCGATGAATGTACAAATTTACCAAAAGAAGTCCCAAATTACACGGTAAATTATAGATTTCTATATACATTTGATTATCTTGATAGATACGTACAGGGTGTCATTTAATAATGTCATTATAATATACTTTTATTTTAGGTATTAATAGGAACTCCTAAAATATGCTTGCATCTATTTAAAAAAAAAATACTCGCTGGTTATGATGTATGTCTACTCATAATTGATAACTGCCATAAATTCATAAAAGATAAAACCGTTGGTGCTATTGTGAGAAAATTTGCATTTGGTATAAATGGTCCTAGAATAATTGGTATAGCTGTACCTTTGTATAATTTAACATTAGAACCAGGAAGGCTCGGAGTAGAGATATACAGAGCGGAAAGAGCTTTCAGATGTAAACTTGAATCAAATAGTGAAATAATATCAATACTCAGGTAAGATAATTTACATTATTTGTATACATATATAATATTTATATACATGTATGTACTATTTATTTATTTATGTTTATATGTACCCTATAATAGGTATTGTCCTAAACCTAAAGAATATTTAATAGAATATGGTAAAGGAAAACTGGATGAACTGAGTAAAAGAATGGAAGGATGTGTATTAGATGCTAGAGATTTTTTACAAGATCATCGCTTTGATCCATTTGAAATTTATGATGAATCATATATCGAGGACATTAAAAAAATGGCTGATCCCACAATCAAACCACGCCAAATAATAGAAGAATTTTTATTAATATTAAGAAATCTTGGAGCATGGTGTGCAGATCGTGCAGCATATTATCTTTTAATACTAATAGAAAAGTTAAAAGTTAGTACACCTTACGAGAGGAATTTCCTTCTCTTAAATATATTGACAACAACTTTTACTAAAATAAGGTAAACAAAAATATTATATGATATATCAATTAAATTCCATCATGATAATATCATCTCGATGAATAAAATAATTGATTTGTGTGTTTTACAAATTACAGAGCTATTTTTCATTACGAATTGGAACATTATGAGAAAGATGATATGGCATATAAATTTAGTACTCCGAAAATTCATCGAGTTTTAGATGTATTAAATATATACACTCCATTTTATTCCAGATATAAAGATATTATAGATACAATGCGGACCGTTGGTAAAAAACATATTTCATGATTTATTCCAATATTATTGTTTAACATTGTATTACATATGTCATTTGTTTTACGTAATGAAAAAATAGTTCCTAAGGAAACTGCTAAAGGAAAAAAACAGGCCGATGATGTCCGTAGAAGAGCATATAGAACGCAACGTTATCTTCGTGGAATCATGGATCCTGATTTACTATGTGGAATTATTTTTGTAAAAAAATCATTTACTGCTAAAGTTATAGCATCTTTTCTAAATGTATGTTTATGAAAACAAGTAGTATATTATGTCCTATATATCGCAAGGATAAATAACGTATAAACAAAATAAAATATGATTTTCTTTATTTTTTTTTAATATTTCAACGTTTTATAGGATGTATCTAAATACGATGACAGATTTAGTTTTATCACTTGTCTTCATTTGATCGAAAGTAATTCTGATGATTTTGGTTATTTTAAAGATGTAGAAATACAACTTAAAAAGCAAGAAGAAGTTTTGAAAAAATTTCGAATGCACGAATGTAATTTATTAGTAGCTACTAAGATTTTAGAAGAAGGTTCGTATCTAAATCTTCATTAAATTAATATTTATTATTTTTTTAACGATACATTTAAAGAATGTATAACAAATGAAATATCATTTTTAAAGGTATTGATATTCCAAAATGTAATTTGGTACTGAGATACGATTTTCCCAAAGAGTATCAATCCTATGTACAATGTAAAACCAAAGCTAGAGCTGTGGATCCGATACATGTATTATTGTTACCGAAAATATCAGCCAAGAGACTTATTTGGAAATTTGCTCTATTCGGTGCCACAGAAAAGGTATTTTAAAAAACAATTAAATCTATTTATTTCATATAACTTTTACATCTATGTATAACAGTTTAAATATCAATCTTTAAGACAATTCATTTCAATTCTAATACAAATGTAAAGTTTTAATGAAAGACCATCTCTATATATACGTTTTGTAGAAATTAATATCAAAAACTACAAGTTATGAGCCAAGTGATGAAGAAGAACGTGAAGCAGATATGTACGCTGATATGATACCGCATTTTCAACCACTTGATACGCCTGGTGCAGTTAAAGTCACTTTCAATTCGGCTATTTCATTAATAAACAAGTAATTTGCGTTTGTGCAGTGATTTATCTTATTATATTTTAGTATTTTCAAAGCAATATTTAAATGTTTTTTCTCTTTGTAGATATTGCGCAAAATTACCCAGTGATACTTTCACAAGATTAACACCAGAATGGATTATTAATCCTGTAAAAATAGAAAATTCAACTTATTATGAATGTAGTTTACGATTGCCTATAAATTCACCACTGAAATACGTTATTACGGTATAATATAATATTTATTTTCATATAAATTTATAAATAGTAGCAAATATTAGAAAATATTTTTATTCAATATATTTATAATTATGTATTGATTTATATCAATTTAGTCCTATCCAATGCCTAATAAAGCTATGGCTAGACGTATGGCTGCATTACAATATTGCATTGAATTGCATAGAAAAGATGAACTAGATGATAATTTATTACCTATCGGAAAAGAAAATTTTAAAGCCAAACCCGAAGATGCTGAGTTACCTGCTTTGCCAGATGAAACTGAATTAGATGAAATAGAAGCTCGACCTGGTACAACTAAACGTAGACAATATTACGACAAAAAGGTATTGCTTTCATAATTTCAAATGAATTCTTATTAAATATATACAACAATTAAATTATGCATTGCAGACAGCAAAGGTATTAACAGAGTGCAGACCAACAGCTGGTTCGGAAGCATATCTATATCATATAAATATGGTACTAAATTGTCCTTTACCAGAAGAACAAAATACAAGAGGACGTAAAATATATCCTCCGGAAGAATCCTCTATAGGTTTTGGTATTCTCACACTTAAAAAAATACCAAAGGTAATAATATCAATATGAATATTATTAATACGAAACAATATTATCTGTATCATCTTATTTCAGTTATGCCCATTTCCTATTTATACAAGATCCGGTGAAGTTCACGTTAACTTAGAATTATCTAAGAAGACTATAGTTTTAACTGAAACTCAAATAGAAAGAATAGCTATATTTCTTAAGTATACCTTCACAAATGTGTTGAGATTGCAAAAATATTTAATGTATTTTGATATGGATATTTCAGAAGATTCTTATATTATTGTACCAATTAAATTAGGTAAATGCATGAAATATTTTCTTCATTACCTTATAAATCAAAATATGTCAATTCGGCTTGCATTATCATCAATTTTAAAAGTCAAATTTACATTTATCTGTTCAAAATGATAAATAAATTTATGTAATTATAGCTGCTGAACGTAAAAATTCCGATATTAATATTGATTGGGATTTTTTGGATTGTATTTATGATAATCAAGATACATTTCCTGCCGAAGTACCTGAAAAAAAAAGAAAGGAATTCAAATTTGATTCGTCAAAATATAATGATGCTGTAATCATGCCATGGTACAGAAGTCAAGATCAACCACAGGTCTGTTATCAATCTAAACACATATGTAATAAATACAGTGGGTGATCGATTAATGAACATTATCTTTGAATGAATTATGCTTGTTAACTGATTAATCACCCACTGTATTTATTATAAATAGATACTTAAATTAATATCTCTATCATTTTAGTATTTTTATGTTGCTGAAATTTGTACCAATTTAAATCCCAAATCTGCATTTCCTGGTGATGATTACATTAGTTTTGAAGAATATTATCTAAAGAAATATAATGTACAAATACAAAATTTAGAACAACCTTTATTAGATGTAGACCATACGTCTGCTAGATTAAATTTTTTAACTCCCAGGTAAATGTCCTTTTCATAATTTGTCTATACAAGGCATTTGTATAATAAATAATCCATGTTTTTTTTTTTTTTTTTTTTTCAATTATTTTTAAATCATATTTCAGATATGTAAATCGTAAAGGTGTAGCATTGCCGACAAGTAGTGAAGAAACAAAACGAGCAAAAAGAGAAAATTTAGAACAAAAACAAATTCTTGTACCTGAATTATGCGTAATTCATCCATTTCCAGCTTCCTTGTGGAGACAAGCAGTTTGTTTACCATGTATTTTATATAGAATTAATGCATTATTACTTGCCGATCAAATACGTTGTGAAGTTGCACAAACGATTAATTTAGGAAAAGCTAATTTAAAACCAGGTATGTATATATATATATATATAACAAATATCATTTTCTTGTCAGTCTAGCATAATCATGCAATATTGATTGCTCTACAGATTTTGAATGGCCACCGCTAAACTTTGGATGGAGTTTGGCAGAGGTATTAAAAAAATCGAAAGAAGCTGAGAAAGAAAAACTTCAAGCATCTACGACCAAGCTTCCAATTTTAGAACAGGAAGATTCTATTGACGTGAGTGACTTTGAAGAAGACTTTCATCCTCATAGTTCTGACAAACAAGATGATATACAACCAAAAAAAGATGATATACAACCAAAAAAAGATGATGAATTGGAAATAGGTGTTTGGTCAAATGACATGGTTACAGATGATATGAAATTATTGGATGAGTCATTCTTTCCAATAGGACATATAATTAAATGGGATATTACGGAGTTACAGCTTGGTCATTCTGAAGCTTCACGGAAAGCCGATTCAATAAGCGATTCTGCTAGTAATGTGTCTGATAATTCTGATAACGAAAATACAGGACTAAGAATTTCTTATATGAGTGCTAATACAGCCGAAGCTGTGGAAGATCCGGAACAAATCCGAATACGAGAGAGGAATAAAGAAATGTTGGCGGTGTTAGAAAAAGAACGGAAAATATTTATGGACCAATATTGGATATATGTCGAGGGAAGCGGTGGAGGTTTACTTAGGAAGCATGCGCAAGAACTTTATGATGAGGCGGCCAAAATTCGAAGAATATTCATGAAATCTGAATATTACATTCCTATGCAAAAAGAAACTAAAGTCAGTAGAAAAAGAGACAAAGCTGAAGCTGATACAATACACGAGAATTTACCAGGGGAAAAAAAATCATATAAACACAAGGATTACATAAGTAATATTGTAGAGAAGTTTAATAATGAAATATTAACTACAGATTACGTCAAGCCACCAATGAAGAAGGAAACCAAAGTAGAAATAACATATATTAAAGATAATGATCTTTTTAGTTTTGATTTTCAACCAGAATTGAAGGATCACCCAGGACCAAGTCCTAGTTTAATTTTACAAGCTTTAACTATGTCTAATGCTAATGATGGAATCAATTTAGAACGTTTAGAGACTATCGGTGATTCTTTTCTCAAGTATGCAATAACAACATATTTATATTGTACCTATGAGAATATTCATGAAGGCAAACTTAGCCATTTACGATCGAAACATGTAAAATATTATTTCAACATTGATATATATATATATATACATATATATATACACATATATATTTTTATAAATTTGGCTTTAGTTTTTATTAATATTTCATATATATTTTTTCAGGTTAGCAATTTAAATTTGTATCGATTAGGAAAGAAAAAAGAATTAGGTGAAAATATGATAGCTACAAAATTTGAGCCACACGACAATTGGTTACCACCTTGTTATTATGTTCCAAAAGAGCTTGAACAAAGTATGATTCAAACAAATGTCACCTCTGAAAAGTGGAGCCGACCTAGTACTCCAACTGAATCTGATTTAGTTGATGCAGACGAACAAGAACTTGCTCTTATAAAAGATGAATTTTCTAGTGAGAAGAAAAAGAAAAAAAAAGATAACTTGCCACAATACATGCCATACAATTTAATTACGCAGCACAGTATTCCAGATAAAAGTATTGCTGATTGCGTAGAAGCATTGATCGGTGCGTATTTAATTGCATGCGGTCCAAGAGGTGCTCTTTTGTTCATGACTTGGTTAGGGATTCATGTTTTACCATCAGAAGAAATTTGTGTCGTACAAAAAAATAAACCGAAAGATGATTTTGAGCCAGGAACCACACCTTATGAGAAAAAAATTACTGAAGATCGTAAAACCACTTGGGTACGAGTAAGTATAAAATTTGAAAAGTGATATTATTATGAATTTTTAATAAACTTTATTATATAAATTATATTTCATTGATATATAATAGATTAAATATGGGAAACTAGAAGAACCGCAAAATCTATTAAATACTTACATTCCTAATATGGAAACTGAATTACAAACAATGCTCGACGGATATGATGAATTAGAAAAAAGTATAGGATATAAGTTCAACAATGTTAGTTATCTTTTACAAGCATTTACACATGCATCTTATCAATTAAACAATTTAACAGATTGTTATCAACGTTTAGAATTCCTTGGAGATGCTGTTTTAGGTATTTACTTATTTGAAACAGTATTTAATAACAATATGTGTATGAAGTAGTGTAAATATCTTTATTATATTTTTAGATTATTTAATAACAAGACATTTGTATGAGGATGCTCGACAACATTCACCAGGTGCTTTAACAGATTTAAGATCAGCATTAGTAAACAATACAATATTTGCTTCATTAGCCGTTAGATGTGGATTTCATAAATATTTTCGTCATCTCTCACCCGGTTTAAATATCGTTATTAATCGTTTTGTGAGAATTCAAGAAGCGAATGGACATTCCATTAGCGAAGAGGTTTATACATATTTGTTTTTAATACTTAAGATCAAAATTTTATAATTATAATGCAATATTACTTATATGTATATTTTTATCCTTTACACAATATGTTTTTACACAAATAGTATTACTTAATTGGAGGATCTGAGTTTGAAGAAGCTGAAGATATTGAAGTGCCAAAAGCTTTAGGTGATGTTTTTGAATCTTTAGCTGGTGCAATTTATTTGGATAGCGGTATGTCTCTTGATGCTGTTTGGAGCGTTTATTATAACATAATGAAAACAGAAATTGGTAAGTTATTTCATTATGTCTTCTTTAAAGAAAGAAAGAAAGAAACAAACAAACAAAGAGTAAGTTAATGCAAATCTTATAATATTTTTCTTTTTTCCTCCAGAATTATTCAGTATAAATGTTCCTAAATCTCCAATTAGAGAATTGTTAGAATTGGAACCAGAAACAGCCAAATTCGGCAATCCAGAAAAATTGGCTGATGGACGTAGGGTAAGAGTAACAGTGGATGTTATTAATAAAGGTGTCTTTAAAGGAATCGGAAGAAATTATAGAATTGCCAAATGCACAGCAGCTAAATGTGCTCTAAAACAATTGAAAAAAAATTTTCCGAAGTCAGGAGGATATTGATGTTTTATTTATATTAATATATAAAAAATGTATGATCAAAACTAATATAATTCAAAAAGCTTTAATATATGTATACATAAATGAAGATGAAAAAGATTAATCTTGTAAGATCAAGATTACTTTTGTATTCATTTATACATATGTAAAAATAATTTACATTTATTTATTATCAATATGTAATAAATAATTTATATTTTTAAATATATATAATCAGTACTGCAGTAAATACAATTTAAATAATTTATCTAAAAAAACATGCACCAATGAGCCAGTGTTTTTCGTAAATTCAACTTTTGATTGGTTAACTCACGAAGGCTAGATTACAATTATAAAACCAAAAAATAAAAAAAAAATAAAATTTGTAGATTATATATATTATAAATATTATTATAAATATTAGTTTTATTAGCATAATTTTAGATAATTAATTACAAAAGAATAATACAAAATAACTTGAACGAAAGATTAATACAAGATTCTTATTGGTGCGTCAAGCAGACCAATCGGCTGTCGCGTGACTTTTAAATTAGCCTTGTGTATGATGACGTCACAACATGGTATCCACGAGTGTTAAATAGAAAAAAGTTTAGACACTAACGCGCTCTAGTGGCAAAAAATCTGTCTCCTCACCGTGGGTTACCTGTAATTTGAATGTAAATGGCGGAAGCAATACTAAAGAATATGTAAATATAAATACATTTTTTGGTTGGTAGCATGTAAAATTTGTTTAATATTCGTTATGTGCTTTGTGAATGTTCATTGAAACTATTTATGTCTGATGTGAATTAAAATCGTAATAGATTAGAAAAATAAAAAGTAAGAAAACTGATACAGTGATTTATGCAATGAATAAGGTTAATCATGGATTTATTGCTGTCCATGTTGGTAGGTTATTTATTTGTTATTGTTTTTATAAAGTGAGTGAACGAATTTTTATACAAAAAATTAATATCTTTTATTATATTCTTATGTAAATATAGGTGCAGGACAGCATTCTGATTCAACTAAAGACAAATATCAAAAGTTATGTCGGAATGCTTGTAAAATAGTAAGTTTCTTTTTAAATCCTACATTTACAAATTTGTATTAAACCCTTATTGATTTTATTATATATACCTAAATCATGAAAATAAATATTTTAGGGTATTCAAAATATTAAATCTGGTGGTAGTGCGCTAGACGCAGTGGTAGATGCTACAATTGTGTTAGAAGATTCTCCTTTGACAAATGCTGGATATGGTTCTAACCTTACAATTAATGGAACGGTAGAATGTGATGCCAGTGTAATGGACGGTACTAATTTGCAGTTTGGTGCAGTCGGTGCAGTTAGTGGTATAAAAAATCCGGTCTTTCTTGCTAAGCGTTTATGCGAACAACAGTCAAAAAAAATTGGATATGGAAGAATTCCACCGAGGTAGATTTAAACAAAATTTCGTATTCATAATTATTAATGAATATATTTATTTATAATTATTTTAACTATCTTTTATTAGCTTCTTGGTCGGACATGGGGCGCATACGTGGGCACAAGAAATGGGTATACAAATATTATCTCCTGACCAGTTAATATCAAGTATGTATAAATAAATAGATACAGCGAGTGATCAGTTAACAAATATAATTCATGCAAAGACATTCTAACTATTCATTAACCGATCATTCAATTTATTATTATATCGAATTATATTATTTGTTATTCAATGTATTTATCAATTTGTAGAAAAAGCAGAAAAAATATACAAGTATTATAAAAGACAAGTAGAGAATAGTGAAAACGAAGTTCATAAGGTATTGATAACTAATACTGCAACAACAAATTAATTATTTTAAGATTACAAATATTTTGTCTTACATTTGCAGTATGCTAAAAGACGAATGGATACAGTTGGTGCTATATGTGTAGATAAAAATGGAAATATAGCATCGGCTTGTTCTAGCGGTGGTATTATTTTAAAATACCCAGGAAGAGTGGGTCAAGTATGTAATTGATAATTGATATTTATACTAATTTTATATTCATTTTCAATAATTCCATTTAATTTTGAATATATTCTCTCTCTCTCTCTCAATTACTCATTCGTTCTTAATCAATTCATTAAATTTGCAATTTTTATTTGTCAGGAGATTATATTACATGTTTTACCATTTTAGCTCTTAGCCTAATTCTTTTTAGGCTGGAGTTTGGGGATGTGGTACTTGGGCATGTAAGGATAAGTATTCAGTTGGTACAAGTACATCAGGTTGTGGAGAACATCTCATTCGTACTACGCTTGCAAGATCAATAGCGGAAGCAATTGTAAATACATCCTGTCCAACAACTAGCTTGCATCAAGCTATGAAAATTAATTTTATAGGTGTAAATTTTGATCAAACATATATTCATTTCTTTTTGTTTTTTTTTTTTAATTATGTTAATAATTTAAAAAAATTGATTATTTTTAGAATCTAGATTCTTAAATGAAATCGAAAAGAAATTAGGTGGAGTTATTGCAATTCGTTATTCACCCCAGGAAAAACTTGGAGATTTTCTTTGGAGTTATTCTACCAATTCGATGATCATAGGCTATATGAATTCTAATGAACGAACATCAATAGTAATACATTAAAAAATAAGAATATTATATTATTTTCTTCAAAAAATGTTAATAGTTATATATAACATATATAAATATTTTATTTTAGAGTCATATGTCAGTTTTACCTTCAATTGAAGTTGGAAAAAAGGCTGTGGTCGAAGGGGTCTGTTTTCGAATGTAAGCAATTGAAATTTAAATTAAAACATAAAACTTTTATAAAATCAGGGAATCAATTGAAAAGAACAATTATTATTATTAGTTTATAAACTTATATTATACAATAAAATTTGTATTTTTATTTTAAAAAATTGTTCAGAATAATTTATTCATTGGGATGAATTGTAAAGGAAATTAATACAGAAATATATATCAGAATAGATATTTATCACAGACGGAGTTAAAGTTTAAAATGAAATCGCAATTAAATTAATTTTATGGATAAATATTACAATGATAATCGCATAAATATTTATGCGTGTTTGTTTTTGATAAATTTTTATAGAAATATCGAGCGATTAAATAATTGCATTTTCTTTCGTAATACATTTATTATTACAATTTTTGTAATAATTGTATTTATCTAACCATTTATTTTTTGTTTTGTTTTGTTATTATCAATATAAGATTAACGCGAAATTATTTACATATAGAAATTTAAATAAATTTTCATTGCGATTTCACATTAAATGTTAATAAAAATATGAGCATGAGAAACATAATTATAACAATTCATAAATCCTACAATATATAGTTATTCCTATAGAAAACTAATTAAATTAATGTGATGTGTCTTGTTATAGTATTTCAAAAGTCATTTATCTATTCGTTACTATGCTATCTCATCATTTGTCGAAATTTATCCAATTCAAATATACTTTCTGATAATCTGAAAAAAAAAAAAAAACATGACATCCATCAAATATTAATATATCAATTTTATAAAATGTATCACATTATAAATCTTACCTTCCAAATCCGTTAATAAGAGCTACAATTTCACTTCTTTCCAAAAAAAATTGTTTTCTACTAAAATTATGTAACGTTGATTCCCATTTATCAAATTTGCCAGAGAAAAGAATTTTTAATGCAGTTCCTAAGCCTTGTATTTGCAATTTGCCCCAGAGTTTACATTTATCGCATCCAACACAATCCATTATGCGAGATATATTTCTAAAGTGTTGTCTAAATTCTTCTTTTAATATCTTTGCATGAGCACCTCCAGAAAACATGACTGTTTCATTAAAATGTTCAGGAAATGATCTGAAATGATACACGTACAATGATAATATTGATTTGTGAGTAGATTTTATAAAAAGATAAATACTATGTTTAGAATATACTAACTTAACAGTTTTTAGAACGTCATGAATAGCTAAACGTGTATCTTTATCGTCAATTTCATTGCCAGTATAATATTCTTCTCTTTCTAGATAAGGTGCAGCCTTAGCTAAAGCTCTTAATTCAAGCAAATATATGAAATATAAATTTTTTAACCAATTGGGTCCTTCATCACCAGTTGTTTCAGGAGAAAATCGTCTTTGCAATTCTCCTAGATTAGGGCCCCATTTTGCACCTGATACAGCAGTCAAGCCATCTCCAGAAGATAATAAATATTTTGAACATAAGTGAATATTAATACTTGCATGTAATCCTGATATAACACGATAGAATACTCTCTTTTCTAAACACATTCCTGGGATACATAAAATAATTTAAGTACAAATATATTCTATATAAAATTCAATACATATTAAATTATTGATAAACATACCATTTATTGTAGATGATTGTATAAAATTATGAGGAGAATTTTTAGGTCTGAAACAAACATATCAAATGAATAATAAGTTAATTGAAATTTTATCAAAGGAATAAGATTATCATAGGTGTATACCTAAAACAATTTTCCATGTAAATACTTCGCCATATTCTATGAGCACTTGGTCCTTTATATCCTGTATATCGTTCTGGATTGAGTAGAAGATCGACATATTCACCAGGACTGGATTCTTTTACGCAGAAATTATCTTGAGCATCGTCGTATTGTTGCCAACGTTCAAATTCTTTATAATTTTCAGAACTAAAAGAAATGACATTTTCTCGTTTATCATGAATATTGATAATTTGATTTATTTTTATTACCTGATAGTAGTATTGAGATAACCCAATTCCATATTATAATCTTTTGCATTTTGATTACAATTTGCTAATTGTGTCGATAATTTATACTTGTCAGTAGGGCTTTCGTTGAAATGTACATTTCTAGGAACTTCTCCTTTCAATCCTTCTGGAATATCATCCTATGACAAAGAAGAAGATTAAATGTTGTTATCCATGTTAAAATGATAAATCAAATATGATATGATGATGAAATATAATCCTTACATCATGACAAGGTTGTATATGACAATAACGTATAGCACATTTACTGTCATCCGCCCAAAAAGGACACTGTTGTTTCAGATTAACTCTATAAAATCTAAAATAATCCTTCAATAGAAGACTTTGCAATCTAGGATATATCTTTACATTGTTAAAATAATCCACTGTATCTACATTACAGCTACAATCATCTATTGATCCTTTTAACTGAAACAAACATTATAATTATGATAATAATGATGATGATGATGATATTGTTGAATATACAACATGCAAGACGTGACAGAGAAACATGTAAAAAAAAAAAAAAGACAAAATAAAAATGAAAAAAAGAAAAGATCATGTACAATATCCACGTAATAATGTTCCTGATAGTTACATGTATGTAAAAGGTTATAAATTGAGTGTCTTTAAAGTTGCATCATTCTAATAACAAATTCGTAACAATTAATTCAAATACACAAATAGATTTTATTTTAATATATAATTTATTTACCTTGCAGAAGCACTGATCGTCCGTTCGTGCATTGGTTCCAAAATAATTACCGTGCACTCTGACATTAGAAAAATTGGTTAGAACAATTAGAAGGAAAAAGATTGAGGAAAACATCGTTCGTGCTAAAAAGTTCAATTTCAATTCTATTATGCGATAAAAAGTCGAGAAACAAACTGCACTGACGTGTGACCTTTACAAGTTCTTTTCTTTTCTCTTCCTTTTTTTTCACATTGGTGAAAAATGACGACGACGACGACGACGACGACGACAAAGATAAGCGATTATCGCTTGATCTTTGAAACTATCTTTAAGGAAATCGTGACTTTCATTTGGACAGGATGTCTACGTGACTTTTAACAATAAAGAGAAACAATTTAACGGGACACACAAGTCGTCGTAGTTGAATACGCCGCGAATGTGTCAACTTCGAATACAATGCCAAAGCACGCCGATTAATCGCGCGCTGTCAAAGGAAGAGAGAGAGAGCGAGAGAGAGAGAGAGCGAGAGAGAGAGAGAGAGACAAATGACCGATAATGATGCAAAAAGGGTGGCAAAAGTGGAGGGAGGTTGACGAGCAAGTCATCAGAGTAGGGGAAAAGGGGCGTACTCAATTCAAGAAGGTCAACACGATTAATGCACCGAAATGATAGATTTTAATCGATATACACACCTCCTTCTATAGTTTATTTTTCTATTTTTTTTTTTTTTTTTAAATACATATATCTTTTTTTGAGCTCATTTTTACAGTTATCATTTTTAGAAAGTATGTATTACTTTTAATAAATTTTCATTCATTAAAAATACGATGACGCGTAAATGCAATGTATATGTAAATAAATAGAAAAATACGACCACGTTATTACCCCCACCACTTTTTGGTCGATTTGTGTTACACGTGGTCGTACTCTATCCGTTGATTTCTCTTATTCAAGTATTTCTTCTCACACATAAGTTCTTACTGTTTTAAATTGTGATACATACATATATGTATATATTTTTCATTGGACTTTTGAAATTTCTTTTTCATCGAATAATTTATTCACATTTTGAAATTTGCATATTGAAAGCATACAAGAAATTGATGATGTGTGTATATTTTAAGCATGTGTTTATTATAACTAGAAGGTGGTAAAGTCAGATTAAATATGTTATCTGGTGCGATGCTTGCCAATAATCATTTTGTATGTATAAATATACAAAATACCAGCTGTTTTAGTTTAATTTTGTAAAAGAAAAAGAGTGGAAATGAATAACGCAAATGCTAGCACACGATCGTGTCAATTAGGTATATCAAAATATCATAACGATCAAGGTTATTAATATTTAATTTTTGATATCTCACAATATGTGTTTTCATTCGATTTGATAAAACATTTTTCTATTTGATTGTTATCAGTCGTATAAATGCATCGATTGGATTAACGTAATCGCAACATTTCTCTTTTACAATGTAAAACTCGTCGTCTCCATTTAGATATTAATTTTTTTCTCATCGAATTTGTAATTATATTCTTTTTACTCTTTCACGACTTTTTAAAATACGTTTGTTCTTCTTTTATATATATAGAAAATATTTATATATATATTTTAGTATATTCAAATAATCGCGCCAAATTTCTTTCGAGATTTTTCACTTCTCGATATATCGAAAGTCGTTCAAGTACTCTCAATAGTAAGCAATCTCAGAGGTGTTGTGAACAATGGCGACGTTTCGACTAAAGTGACATCCTACTGGGCAAATGTGTTTTTTACACTTTAACGATAACATTCTTTTCTAGATATTAATTACGCCATTTAAGCATTAGCTTTGAAGATCCTGCGGTTCATGATGGCATTAAACGCTAACGCACTGTCCAGTGACATAAGTCGTAGAAATCCGCAGGACGAGTATGAGCTCATTCAACGAATAGGCAGTGGAACTTATGGAGATGTTTATAAGGTTTTTACTCTTTTTATTATTGTAGATATTGTCATCAGTTTATTAACCCATTCTCTTTTATATTTTTTATAGGCTAAAAGGTTATCCATGAACGACCTTGCCGCCATCAAGGTTATCAAATTGGAACCAGGTAAGACCAATTATGGTACATTACCCTAAACTTGATACATGCAAATTTCATCTATCATATTTTTATTCAATTTATAAACAATAATTTGATAATTTCCTAAATTTTCTATTTAAATTATTATAGATTAAGATAAAACGTATTTATTACAGGATTGCATAATTGTGTATTAATTATTTCTAATTGAAAATATTTTTTTTCTTTCAGGTGATGATTTTGCTATCATCCAGCAAGAAATCTTGATGATGAAAGATTGTAGGCATCCCAATATCATAGCATATTATGGCAGCTACTTGAGAAGGGACAAATTGTGGATATGTATGGAATACTGCGGGGGTGGATCATTGCAAGATATTTATCACAGTATGTGTTAATTATTTTTAACTTGTTGACTACCATGAGGCTCATCCATGACCAGTGTTATTATATTGTTTTATATCTTATCTTAGAATTGTAGCTTCTATAGTAAAATAAAATAAGTTGTCTATTGGATTTTATAGTAACCGGACCATTATCTGAGATACAGATAGCGTATATGTGCAGAGAGACTCTTATGGGATTAGCTTATTTGCATACTATGGGAAAAATGCATCGTGATATTAAGGGTGCCAATATATTGTTGACCGAGGCAGGTGATGTGAAATTAGCTGATTTTGGTGTGTCAGCTCAAATTACAGCAACAATAAATAAAAGGAAAAGTTTTATTGGTACACCTTATTGGATGGCACCTGAGGTACGTGTAAATAAATAAGTCATTGTAATAAAATGTAGATTTTTGTAATTGTTTTTCTTTCGTTTCATTCTCATTAGGTTGCAGCAGTGGAAAGAAAGGGTGGTTATAATCAGTTATGTGATATTTGGGCGTGCGGTATAACTGCAATAGAATTAGCAGAGTTGCAACCTCCCATGTTTGATTTACATCCGATGAGAGCTTTATTCCTGATGTCCAAATCTGGTTTTAAACCTCCGACATTAAAAGATCGTGACAAATGGAGTCCAACATTTCATAATTTTGTTAAAGTTGCTTTAACTAAGAACCCTAAAAAGAGACCAACTGCAGAAAAATTATTGCAGGTTAATATCTCATCTTTTTAAATGTAATATAAATCCATGTTTACATTCAATTTATCAAATAATTTATTTTCATTTGCAGCATGCATTTTTTCAAGGCGAAATGAATAAACGATTGGCTTTGGAATTACTGCAAAAGGTATCAAATCCTAGTCATATGTTCACTGATTTAGAAGCTGACGAAGATGGAGCAGTACCTAATGTACCACAAAGAATTGCTTCGAGGCATACAGCAAGACCAAGGCCAAGAAGCCCCATATCGCAATTAGATAGTGATGGTAAATATTTATCTCAAGAGTATATTAAATTAATTGATATCAACTATAATAACATTGTTTATTATAAATGTAAATTATAGATCTAATTAATCTGGATGGCAACACATTACAAAGAGATTCTATAACTCCTTCAGTTGATACTAATCCGGCGTGGGATATTATGGATATTATGAATAACGTGAAGGTAAATAATTGGCATACAGTTATGATTAATAAAAAAACAATGTATTTTTATATATGTGTATAATGATTGTAAATTATGATTACACTTAGGCTGTACATAACTGCGATGTTCATCCAGATTGCGGAATTGGTACTGCATTTGAAGATGTACAAGAAAAGTAAGTTACTTGCAATATTTCTTTTTTTCTCTTTCTCTCTTTCTTTCATTATATACTTTAATTTATAAATATATATATATAAAATATTTACTGTCACAAGATGTGGAAAGGGTTACAGCTTATCAATCACTTCCACTAATATGGTAAATGCTGTTTTGTTTGAGTTTTTGATCTAGTTTATTCTTGCATTGTATGTCAAATTTGTTTAAATTAAAATTTGATAGTTTAATGTTCTCTCTTGTTTATTATTAAATACAGTTTTTCACATACATCCACTAATCGTCACGAGTAAGTACTTCGATTAGTAGAAAAAAATATATTTAGGCATGCATTACCAATTTTTGTTAATATATCCATGTTTTATATGTTAAAATTAATTGAACAAAACAGCAATTTTATTTAAATATAACAGAAATTTGAGCTACTCTGTGGCTGATGCTAATATTTGTTTATAGTTGCACATAGCACGTTTGCTTATGCTTCGCATTGTGTAAGAGCAATGATGAATATTATTTTATTTATCAAATTTCATAATTTAATTTTGTTGAAAACAAATTAATAACAGGATCAATTATACATGATTTTTTTTTTTTTTTACTTTTTCAAAAGTGATACAATATTTATCTCTGTATTTTGTATTAGTACACTTGGCGCAAATGTTACCGAAGGTAACAGACGATCACGTCGAAGCAAAACTGGCACAGAGTTATTTCATATGAGTTTAAGGTAAAAGAAAAATATTAAATACAACAATTGGCTTGGTGTGAAACTATGTCATAATTTGACATTATTCCAAATTGATTTCGTTAGAGAGATGTAATTAACAAATATTATCATAAGAGTATTACACTTTTTATATATATAAAAAATCAATAAGCTTTTAAAAAATTAGTTACTTATAATAAATAATATTTCAATCTTTTTCACATTCTTTGAAGATTTTGATTCCATATATTTAATATATGGAATGAATGTTAAATTAACAACTAAATGTTGAACAAATATAATACGAACAAATAATGGTCTTACACATATATAAGCAAAGTTTTAAATCGCATATAAAAAAAAATTATATTCGTAATTATATATAGAGACGAAATATTTCAATCTTTTGATAATATAATACCTTTTTAACATTAGTAAAAAGACTAATGCATGATGTACAATAATAGTTTATGCTGTATGATATTGCATTTTGATTGCATGTTAATGATTGTCAATTTAAGAAATGATTTCTGTTATAAATTTTGTTTCAGTAAGTATAATCATCTTTATTTCATTTATTATTTATCTATCATATTTTGATCACACATATTATATCACTCGTTGTGATTTATTTAATCATTTATTCATTTGCTAAATACACACTTTTAAAAGATCACGACGTTTAATTATATTTAACGAAAAATGTAAATAATTAGAACGATACGAGATTCGTTGTACTGTTTAGAAAATACTTGTTCATCGTGAAAATATTATTTTGTAATAGTAATTACACATATTGTATTAGAATTATTATATGACAATCATTATATCTTCTATCTGGTATACGTAACAATGTATTATAGTTTTGTCACTTAGTCAGATTTATATATTCTTTGTAGTATTAATTTTTCTGATCAGTTTGTAATTTTAATAATTTCTCCCTACAGGAGTCTATTGCAGTACATTGATGAGGAGTTGTTGCTAAGGTATTGGCAGGTAACCCTTTTCCCTTGCACCTTGCACCTTGCACTTATTTCTCTCTTTCCTTATACATATATTAATTAATAATTGTGCATCATATATACATATAGATATATAGATATAGATATTTAATGATAGATTAGATTAACAGAATATACTTGTTCTTTCTCTGTAGATTATATTTTACATTTATAGATTTTTATACACTAATAGATTTTCCTTATTTTTGGTGACGGTTTAATAGAATATTTTATAAAATATTTAAATGAATTCTTTCGTTACTATCGATCCATATAATGAGGGTCATCTATGTATGTAAATGCTTTGTATAAACTATTGACCCATGCTGTAACGAAAGGATTAAATGGAAGAAACGATGATAAATCTTATTAATGAAATACTGTACATACGAAATATGATTCATATATTACATACACTTATAAAAATAATTTCTATTTTCATTTTGATCAGATATATATATATGTATTTGTAAATGTATATCTGATTATTAGTTGCATGACAATATTTACGTATTTAATGCTTTTGCTTTGAACCTTGGCATTAACCATATTGGTGGTGGAAGTTTGTATATTTATTGCAAAAATGTTATGTGCTTATCAAAATGATATACACACGATGTAAAATAATAATAATAATATCCCCAATTTGATTTATATAATATTATTGTAACTAATTGGTGATTCATATTGATCAAAATCAAGATATTCGATTAACAAGCAAAATATTCAGATCTACATTTGATTTTTTGACTTTTTTTTAAAAACAAGAAAATTTATCAATTATTTTTATTATTATGAATAACGATAAAAGACCAATTTTACAGAAATACAAAATGTGTTTATTGTATTTGCAATTATTTTGTAGTATATGACCATAGTTTCATATGTGCAGGGGAAATGCAATGTCGATGGTTGGTGGGCATTGCGATCAGCTATACTCCCTGCAGTAAGTAAATCAACAATGATAAATTATTGTAAAATGTTTTCTTTTTATTCTTACATCTAGTTTTTTTACATTTTTATTTATATGAATATAAATACTAATGTAGAAGGAATTTCAACGATTTAAACTGATCGAAAGTAAATAGAATTTTATTTGTAAAATCATGCCTGATGATGAAGAAGAAATATTATATCACACATATACGTATCATATTTTTTTTTTTTTGTCAATATTTCATTAATTATACTAACATAGAGGTATTGAAGTAGATCAAATCAATGAATGGGGTAAGATTGTTAAGGAGTAAATTATTATTTATAATCATTTGTATAACCAGAAGAAAATATTTGTGTTAATATCATCGTTCCAATATGAGTTTACATTTATCATGGATCGTAAGATCTTTTTTTTTTTTTTAAATATAATTTATATCATTGTCATAAAATTGATATTTGTGCTTGCAAAAGTTCTCATCTTTCTCATTAAATATATTTAAGTTATCTTTTTTTTTTTTTCATAAAAGCATTGCTATATAAAATATGTTTCAAAATACACACTGCTTTATTTGGCTCTTAACACACATTGCTGCATTTTTCTTTATTTATACGATTATATTATTATTATTTTCTTATGCAAATGATATATTTATTTAATGCAAAATTTGTTGAAAATGTTAAATGCTTGTTTAATTTATTAATTTGAAGTGTCAGGTACTAATATATATATATATATTTTCATTGAATGTATATCATAAATGCAACCTATTAACAGAAAATATATTCATTGCACTAGTTTATTATCAACAATTATTGTTTCATATGATAATAATAGTCAAAATATTAATTAACAATTATATATATTTGTAGGGCCACGCTTCCTCTTGGAGAATCTTCGAACGAGTGTGAGGTACATTGCGGATACTACAATAATGTATCTGGTAAGTAAATCAAAAATCATCTACACAATTTAGAAATTATTCTACAGAAATTATTTATTATATATAGGGTCTCAAGCAAGTCCTAGACGTCACAGTTCTGTAGATGAATTATTTGGCCTGGTGAACAATTCCCATGCTTTAACGGCTGTAAACGGACAACGTCAAAGATCTCTTTCAGATAGTGGCCCTAGAGAAGAATCCCCACAATCTAATGGTAGTACCATGTCTTCCTATAAATAAAATATACTCTAAGATGTATATAAAAATTTGCTTTATTGATAAGACTAAATTTTTTAGGAGATAATGAAATATCTAGAGACGGAGAAAGAGAAAATATTAGTCCAGATCTCTTATCGGATACACCACCTGTACCACCGAGAAGAAGGGACAGGAAAAGGCATACACCTCCAAGACCTATAAGTAATGGGTTACCCCCAACTCCTAAGGTTCATATGGGAGCATGTTTTTCAAAGGTAGAATTTAATGTTTTCTTTAATATATAAAAATATGTCTGTGTTATCTTTATAAATAATTTGTTGATATAATTTTTAGGTATTTAATGGTTGTCCTTTGAGAATACATTGTACAGCTAGTTGGATACATCCCGACACAAGAGACCAACACTTACTTATTGCCGCAGAGGAAGGGATTTATAATTTAAACTTAAACGAACTCCATGAAACTGCAATAGATCAACTATATCCTAGACGTACAATTTGGATGTATGTTATCAAGGATGTGCTTATGTCCTTGTCTGGTAAAACTTTTATTTGTCTTTTTATAAAAAATTATCAAAGCAACCCTAGTAGTACAAAATATTGAAAAATATTGAATACATGTGTATTTAATATTAAAAAGACATTGAATCTCTTTTTTTTTTAAATATTAAATACACATGTATTCAATATTTTTCAATATTTTGTACTTACTAGGGTTGCTTTGATTTTATATTTGAAAATATCAAAGTGAATAATATTGTATTAAATTAAATTAATTGTATTTCATAGGGAAAACACCTCAATTATACAGACATGATTTATTAGCAATGCAAAGCAAACAGACTCATAGGTTTTCATTGCATATGAACAAAATACCAGAGAGATTAGTACCTAGAAAATTTGCACTCACTACTAAAGTACCAGATACTAAAGGTTGTACTAAATGTTGCGTTGGAAGAAATCCATACAATGGGTGAGTTGAAGTTTTGATTATCTATAACACATATAATATTTAATTATTTCAAACAAATTATTAATACAGATACAAGTACCTATGCGGGGCAATGCCAGCAGGAATATTTTTGATGCAGTGGTACGATCCTTTAAATAAATTTATGCTTTTAAAGCACTTTGATTGTGCTCTTCCGTCACCTTTAAACGTATTTGAAATGATTATTACACCCGAAATGGAATATCCGATGGTGTGTGTATCGGTCAAGCAACCATATCAACAAAATAAATTAAAATTGGATTTAATTAATATGAACTCCGGAGCAAGCTGGTTTCATAGTGACGAGTTAGAAGACATGGATGGTTCAGGTAATTCTTTACACTTCACATTTTTTAAGATTATTATATTATATTAAAAATAAATATAATAATAAATATATTGTTTTAGCAACTGTGATACCAAGGAGAGAAAATCTTCATGTCATTAACGTGACGCAACTCGAGAAGGATGCAATACTTGTATGTTATGAAAGTAAGCTATTAATATTACAAATAATTATAATAATTTATCTATAATATTAATTATTCACAACGTGATAATTTTTCATTTAGATGTAGTTAAGGTTGTTACGTTACAAGGAAAACTCAGGGTAAGCAAGAAGCAAATGTCGGAACTGCATTTTAATTTTCAGATAGAATCAATTAGTAAGTATATTACATAAGACACGTATAATAATCAATCAATATTTACATACACATAACAGTTGTATGATTAATTATTATTTTCTATTTTTTGTATTAGTTTGTCTACCGGATAGTGTATTGGCATTCCATAAACATGGTATGCAAGGTAGAAGTTTTAAGAATAGTGAAATTACGCAGGAAATAAGTGATCCCAGTAGAACCTATAGGTTACTTGGCTCCGATAAGTAAGTACATAGTAATTTAAATTTATAAGATCACAATTAAATTCAAATTTAAATGTTACGTGTTTGAATATAAATCAATGTTCTTTATGCAACAGAGTTGTAATGTTGGAAAGTCATTTGGTTCATACGGGAACATTGACAGAGACTGAAGGAGCAGATTTATATATACTTGCAGGTCATGAGGCCAGTTATTGAACGACAATTCTCTTACATCTTAATATGTAAATAAAAAAAAGAAACAAACAAACAAGCCTCTTGTGTCGCAAGTGAATGTTAATGATTCACCATCGATTACATACACGGATGCAATGATTTAATCGATAAAATGATTATTGGATAAAAAAAATTGGTAAGGTAAAAAGATTATTATTAGTTTCTCCTCCTGATTAAGAGTCACGAGAAAGGTTGACGGATAATAGTATAATTAAAGAAACATGTACACTAATTGTACATAATTTACTCAATTACTATCTATCTTTGAATATAGTTGATGTTGTAAGTAGGTACTAGTAAATTGGCCAAAAGAGTTTTTAAAAATTAGATATTCTTTTCAATAAGCGTCGATAATAATTGAACGAACTACCAAATTAGATTTAAAAAAAAAAAGCATTGCAATTGCATGTCGCAATTTACAAAAAAAAAACAAGAAAACAAGAAAACATATATATATATATATGTATGTCCGAATGTGCCCTTTTTGCCTGACAAAACAAAGCTTATATTATTTAAATGTCTTTCATTTATATTTTCATTTTTGTATATTTCTTTTCTTTAATAGTATTTAAATAAAAAAAGAAAAGAAAATTAGTATTTATTTAGAAAGTAGATACGACGAATTATAGGGATGAAAAAAAAAACAAGGTGTTGTTAGCTTATATTTTTCAAAAAATAATAATGAATAATACTTTTCTTCAAAGATTTAATGAGAAATTCTATGCAATGTCTATTTACGAGCAAAGCTTGCCATATTACAGATAATATTCTCTATAACGTCTGTAAATTTTGTCTAATAATTCTTACTTATTCGATGTAGTTTACAATAGTATATACACAAACACACACACACACATAAATATATATATATATATATATATATATATATATAATTAAATAATTTAACTAATTATAGATGAAAGAAAATACAACGATTTAGATACAAAATATTAAGGGAATAAATAAATGGGTATAGTTCATTGATTCTAAAAAATAATTAAAAAAAAAAAAAGTAAAAAAGAAGTAACACAACATATAGTATATATATATATGTATATTTTTCTGGCAGGAAATTATAATAAAACGTTATTTTCAATAACACAATAATTATATAACGTTAAAAGTAACATTGAAAATAACTATCAGTACAAACCTCTTTTTTTTTCTTTTTTTTTTTTTTTTTTTTATTCAAGTTTTATTATTATCAATGAAATAATATAAAGCTCAATATATCTTCTTTCCATTTTTTTCAAGTATAAGTTTTGACTTGGTAGGCATATAGGGCTATTTTTGAAAATGTCTAATTTTATTTTATACGAATATTGGATAAGATCATGTCCAGTGTTATTTATCATTTTTAATAATTATAATAATAACAATGCACATTTTATATATATATATAAAGTAATTAATGTTGATGAAAGTAATTTGAAATTATTTTATCTTCGAATGATATATGTGTTTAAATAATTGATCCTCCAGTTTATATATATATATATATATATATATGTATATGTAAGTTTAAGAAAAAATATTCTGTTGATTAACACTAGATTGCCCGAGATTTCTTGTATAGCTATATTGCCCAAAAACAGTCAAAATGACTGCATTGTGAAAAAATAACTAATGTGTAAACAAATTTGTTTAAAATTAATTTTTAATATTTCTTATATTATTTACAGTTATACAACAAGTTATTAGTAAATATTAACAATATTAATTAATTAATTATTATTAATTCTAAGAAATTGTGTCATTATATACATAATTGTTTTTCTAATTGAAAATAAAAAACAGTCAAAATGACTGCCTTGGGCAATCTAGTGTTAATTATGCAGGATAATATTATTATATCAACAGTTTATTATTTAATATTTGCGAATAGCCTTAAATGCAATGTGATTTCAAAGAAGAAGAAAAAAAAAACAAACAAACAAACAAGGAAAAATTCAAAAATGAAATCAATATTGCTCGATAATTAACAATTAAATAATAATAAATGTCAGCCGAATATTGCATTATAATCGACAATTTATGATGATAATGTATTCATTCGATCAGATAAATAATATAAATTTTATGTTAATAATTATTATTATAATGTGATATTGATAAATATATATCACGCTTGAAAATATTTAGGAAAAGAAAATCAACTGAATGAATTCTCTTTTTGTGATTGGCTTGAAGACTGGAAGAAAAAATGAAGTTTCTCAATTGCTGTATTATTGTATAAGAGAGGAGAGACAGACTATGGTCTTGCAAGAAGGAAGAGTGCTGGATTTAATAGAACTTCGTCAAAAGTAAAGTAATTTCAACAATTATCGTTAAGCTAATTGCATGAAGATTTCTTTTTCTTTTCTTTGTTTTTATTTTATTTTCTTTTTTTGGTTTTCAACCATTTTAACTCTGGGTCTCCACAATTAGAACGAATAAGTGATCAGCATTTTAAATGCAACTAGCACAAAGTAAATATGAAAATTAAATACGCGTAATTATTATAATTAAGGTATCATTGTCACGAATCATTGGTAATATATTTTTTTTTTTCATTTTTTTTTTTTATTCAATATACTTTAACCCTCTGTAATGTCATGTTATTTTGACGCACATTAATGTATCTACTTAGTTACATTGTAACAAAGTATATATACTTGTTATTAGTATTATATATTTAATATATTTAAATATATATTAATATYTTTTATTATATATTATATGATAAATAATAATATAAATATAATTATATAATTTTATATAATATATTTTTAATTAATTTTTAATTAAATATAATTATATTATTATTATATTAATATTAATTAATATTTTTTATATATTTAATATATTTAATTATACTATAAGTTTTATATTAAATAAATCATTTCAATAGACATTGAAAAAGAAAAAAAAGAGAATAATTAAATTAAATTAAATTATAGAGGGTTAATTGTATCAGAAATAAATTGGAAAATGAATAAATTTGTATCGATCATCATTTAGTTTGAGCATGATATTAACTGGCATAAATTTAAGTTAATATAATATTGCATTTTATTTACATTACTTTTTTCATTTGTATTTTCTTTTAAATTGTACATCGCTTAAGCAGATAAGAGATTAATAGAGGATAACGTAATAAACATATAACACACATGCATACACTTTTGTGAACATATTTATTAAGTGCACGTATTATTTTATTTATCTACATTATGAAATAATCGAAGATAAAAGATAGATAAAACGTGGACAATTTTCAAAGATCAAATATATACGATCTTTTATTAATAAAGTCTGGCACTTTTCCACCTCTCCATCTTATTTTTTGTTCTTATTTTGTCAATTATTGTGTATGCAATTAGTAATAATTACAAGTTATGATAGAAAGAGAATGAAAAAGAGAAAGACAGGCATACGCAATAATGTATTAAAAAAAAAAAAAATAAATAAATAAAAGAAAGAGAAACGTGTAAAAAAGTATCGTCGAATGTGTAAAGAAGAAGAAGAAGAAGAAAAAAATGAAGATGAAGAAAATAACTTCTCTTGGAAATGTTGAAGAAGTATTTCGGTATTTTATATAAAATTTTGCTCTGTACATAGAATATAGATGACTGAAGAAAGTATTACATATTATCAACAAAATTTATTATTATTATTATTATTATTATTATTATTATTATTATTATTATTATTTTTATTACTATAATTATTGTAATAATATTAGAGAAACGAGAGATACAGAATATAAAAGCTTCCTATACTCGCTCTTGTTCATCATGGCGGAGCATAGGTGGTATAATTATCGTTAATTTGTTCACAATTAGAAAAAAGAAATGTACGCTCTAGTAGCACAAAATATTGAAAAATATTGAATACATGTGTATTTAATATATTTATATATTAATATTAAATATATTAACATATTCGCGACTGCTTATGTAAATTCACGTCTTCAAATTGTATTTCTGGTTGTCGCTGACTTAATTAAAGTCATATTTTAAATTTTACAATTTTAATAACAATAAATTTATATATTATATATTTATATATTATATAAATTTATATTATTTTATAATTATTATTATCTTTATTATTATTTTTATTATTACTTTATTAGTATTTTATATATATATATAATTTATATTTACATATTTATAAAAATTTTATATATTAAATTAATATTTAATTACTTAAATATAATAATTAAATATTATATATTTATATATAGAATATATGTAAAAATTATTGTTTTTTTTTTCAAAATTTCATTATTTTTGTCGCTATTTACTATTAACAATCGGAAAAAAAATATGCTGGCTACGAATGTGTTAATATATATATTTAATATTAATATTAATATATTTATAGATATATTAATATTAATAAAGAGATTTAATATCTTTTTAATATTAAATACACATGTATTGAATAATATTGCAATATTTTGTTTTACTAGAGTGATTAAATTCATTACTTTTTCCCCCCTACTCTTAACTTATGTTTCATTGTAAAATATATCATTGTAATAATAATTATTTTATTATTGTATAATGTTAGTATATATTATAGAGATTTATTATTATAGTGATGCTTTTTTAAGATTATATTTCTTATATCCTTTTTTTTTTTATTATACATTTTCTTTGTTTTCTATACATCATGTTGGATATACAATTATTTTCTCTTAAACCACCTGTGCTGTGATCTGAAATAATATATGCACATATATAAATATATATATATTATACAATAATAATAATAATAATATGTACGCATATATTATTTCACGACGTTGGATTTGTTTTTACGAAAGTATAATAATAATAATGTGAAAAGGAAAATAAATATCATGTAAAAATGCGTGCACGTAAAATTAATTGCATTTAAAAATGATGACAAGATAGAGATTTGAAAGAAAAAAAAAAAAAAAAGAAAAAACAAGAAAATCAATCATTTGCTATATTATTTCCTCTCATGCGTTGCCTTAGCGAGCCGAAATGCCGAATTTAAATGCGAAATGTAAATAAACAAACAAAACAAATGAAAAAAAAAGCAAATTATATTAGAAAGGAAACGATCTTATCCCAATGTTTGTGGAAAGACGACATGTTTGATAAAATTAAGCCTGTAATATATTATAATCATTGCTATGTTGCAATCAAACACCAAATCGAATTAATTATTCAATCAAAGTTTTCTGTAATTCTTTCATTATTATTATTACTATTATTATGTTTCAAGATGGAGGAAAGAAATGAACAAATATATGTATACTTAAAAGGATATAAATTCAAACGACGATGATAATGATGATGAGAATGATGATAATGAGATATATGATGGTGGTAGGATAGGGAAGAATTAAAAAAAAAAATAAAAAAGAAAAATAGATACAACAATGTCTTCCTTATTAATCGTATTTAAATAATAAATAAAAACAAAAAACAAAAAAAAAACAAAAAAAATTTAGTCATATATTAGGTACGTTTTATGGTCGTATGTTCTGCATTTTAATACATACACACAAACACACACACATACGTGCGAACAAACATATACATAAATACATAAATACCACTTAGGGGACACGTATATACATATATACATAAAAATATATGGAAAATATTTTACGATTACATCTTCTTTCTAACTTCTAACAAAGAGTACAAGAGTAATGTCATAGATTCGTAATTTAAATTAAATTAAATTTATTAAATGAATTTAATGTAATTTAATATTAAGTAAAAGTTTGATAAAAGACATTGTTGTAGGAGACACAACACAGAATCGTAATAATAATTATTGTGTTATATGACGGATTTAAATGATTGACTGATGATATATACGTATATGTTGTGTATTTAGAAATAATTTCGTAAAAAAAAAAAAAAAAGAAAGAAATAAACCAAAAATATAAGAAGAGAAGAAAAAATATGACCAAAAAAAAAAAGGAACATGGAAAATTAACAAAAAAAAATATATAATAAATAAATGTAGCACGCGTCGTACGCTCGTGAAAGAAAAGAAAAGAAAAGAAAAGAAAAAAAAGAAAAAACAAGGAAATAAGTTCCTTTTTTTTTTTTTTTTTTTTTTTTTTTAAAGGAACACGTTTACGTGACACTTTTGCTTTTATTTATTAACAAAATTAGAAAGAAAATAGAAAAAGAATGCGATATATATATATATATATGAAATATAAATGTTTAATAAAATTCTATGCGTGCTGTATCGTTTGAGACATCCAAATTGTATTGTAAACGTTACGATGATTATTCGTGCTAAAACAAAAACAGTAAAAAAAAAAAAGACAAAAAACCAAAAAACCAAAAAAAAAAGAAAAGAAATAAAATAAATCAATTAATTAGACATAAACACACAAGAGTACACTTATCGTACATGTGAAATATTTTTCTTCGTAAAAACGTGTCGATTCACACAAGAATTTTTTCGGTGTCATTATTATATAACGACAATAATTTTTAAAGACACAATTCTAATACAATTTTCAATGAATAATATTTGAGAAAAAAAAAAAACAAAAGAACAAATATATTATAAATGTTCATAGATGATTATCGGCATGCGAGCGTATTAGAGCGTGACACAACAGTAAAAACAATAACAAACAAAAAAAAAGAAAAAAAGAAAAAAAAAACATTAAAACACAGAAAAAATAAAACAAAAATATTAATCCAAACGAAAAGAAGATAACGTCAAATTTACTTCTGTTAGTTTAAAATTGTATGTACGTGTACGAGTATGTAGTAGGGTTTAAAAAAAAAAAAAAAACAAAAACAAAGAACATTTCAACGACGAAATAATTCATTGAGAAAATAAAAAATAGGCCCGAGAGAGAGAGAGAGAGAGAGAGAGAGAGAGAGCTTCTTTGATATTTATTAAAATAATAATTATAATGAATAGACCAAACCGCGATACGACGAAGTAAACGAAAGAAAAAAAAGACACAAATTAACACACTATCGGCGGGTCACGTATTAATACGTTTTATGCAGAACGTAAGCTAAGTTTCAGTAAAACACTTACTAATGCTTGTTTTTCTTTTTTTTTTTTTTGCATTGTCACTAATTTTTTTTTTTAGCAGGAATGATGTTTTTGGTTGTTGTTTTTTTTTTTCTTGTAAAGTTTGACCAGTGTTTAGTCATAAATTTATGAATTTTTAAGAAAAAACTAATTATTTGATGAAATGTGCTATTTTGACACTGCAAGTTTCGTGCTTTACAAAGAGTAGCATCAAATTCAGTTTGATTGACATTTTGATAGCATTGAGTTTAAGTTTTTTACACTTTTGAAATATTATTTGATAGCTATTTTGGAAATTTCATTGAAATCCTATTATTAGGTGTGAAGATATAACATGTTTTTCTAAAAAAAAAATGCACTGCTTTCATATTTCGTTCATTTTCGCGTGAGTCAAGCTCACGACGTTCCCGACGATAGTGTGTTAATAATTCCCCCCTTTAAAAGATAACAAAAAAAACAAAAAAAAAAAAAAAAAGAAATTGCATATTAAACCTAAACAAATCAACACAAACGACACGAAACGTTTAATTGTAACTGACAATGAGAAAGAAAGTGTCCATAAAACTATACATACGCAGATCAACACATATCTATATATTCTGCTCACGACCACGAGTTTTAGAACGTCCTGATATATATATACATATATTATATATAAAATACAGGTTTTACGGTCCAAAATCAAGCCTTTTTTGCATAGGAAAAATTTCATTTGCAAAACATTGAATTTTGAGTGTAAAATCTGTATATACTTGACTATATATATATATGTATTTATGGTATCTCATTTTATAGTAAAAATAGTTAACGAAATAGTGATTTATATTAAATCTATTTGTAGAGAAGAAAAAAGAGAAGAAAAGCAAAAGAATTAGGTTCATGTAGTGGTATTACAGCGATAATTGTGTACCTGTCCACATCGACCAGATTGATTGATTGATAGATAGATTGATAGATTGATTGATTGATTGATTGATTGATTGATAACTTTGTCTCTACGATGTACAATGTAGAAACATTGATTTCAAGTGTTTTTTTTAATTTTTTTTTATTTACTTACATATTACTCAGAATAGATTTGTTTTTTTTTTTTTTTATAACGAAGAGAATTGTAACGATTTGAATTTTTCTTTTAATTTGTATTAATTATTAAGGAGAGAAAGAGACGTACGTATTAATCTATTAAACATTGTAAAAGACATTGGAATATTTTGAAAAAGAAATTAGAGAAAATGAAGATGGAGAAAAAGAAAGAAAGATTAAGCATATATATGTATATACATACATACACACGTGTGTAAATAAATGAGTGTGTGTATATATATATATATATAAATATATATTATATATTTAAATAATGCAAAGCAGCTTTGAAGAGGGGGAAAAAGTAATAAAATTATAAAAGATAGAAAAAAGATATATAAATAATATACGTGATTTTGTGTAAAACGTGAAAAAAAAAAAAAGAAAAAAGAAGAGTATTCTTCTCTGAAGAACTTCGTTAGCACGTGAGATTAAGGATAAAAGAAATTCTATAAACAATACATAAAATTTATTCGTCGATATGTTGTTAACCAAAGCTTTAGTGACACATGCATATAGCAACGGATACGAATATTATTCTTTCATGATGGAATATAATAATTATACTATAGACAAAAAAAAGTATGGTACGATATAATGTAACTCGATTAAAAAAAAGAAAAAAAAACAAAAAAAAAAGAAAAAAAAGAGAGAAAGTAGATTTTTTTAAGGAGCATCATCATCATCATCATCCTCCGATATATAAAACGATGTTGCATATTGTGAATGAAGATTCATTATTTAACATTAACTATTATTATTATTATTATTATTGCGATGCATATAAAATATGAATCATTTGTGCAACGTCGTTTGCAGAGAAAAAGTAGGAGGAGGAGGAGGAGGAGGAGGACTCCTTAAATCATATATTAGACGACAAATGAATGTTATTTTATTCTTTATATTCGAATTGCGAGACAAGGATGAGGGAACGACTCTCCTAGAAATGTATAACAAATAACAAATAATAATAAACAAAATGAAAATGAATAATAATAATAAGAAGAAGAACAAGAACAACAAAATATATAGGACTGAGCGTACTAATGGAAGAAGAAGAAGTAGTAGTAATTAAATGCGTAAAATTACTGCAGTTGTACATAATGTGTATAACGAAATTTTATCTTCGACTTACATATGAAGCTTTGATTTTAGACATTTTTTATATAAATACAGTATTGTGAAAATATAATTTATGATTTCTTATGTATAATTTACAACTCTCTTATATTTTTAAGCACGACTATAGTTCTAAATCTTTACTGTACATAGACATTCTCATAATAAAACCTACCTGAAATTAATATATATATATATATACATATATATATATATGTAGATGAATTTCCAAGGAACAAGTATGCCGTAAAGAAAGGGAGATAGGGGGTGGGGGTAAAGATAAAAGAAAAAAGGTCAAATGATTGAAACTGATAGTACACACAATTGAAATTTTACCAAAAAAAATTATATTACTATATACATTAACAGCACATTACGATACAACAATGTATAGAGTCCTCTTTCTCTTTAATTCTTAACTTTATACAAAATAACATAATCTATCCTGAAACACATGCGACAAGTAACATCATCAGTTACTTTCTTCATAGATACAATATTATTTCTTTGATTTTGAATAGATTAACGCTTACGTTGTACATTACTAAGTTGAACACAATTTCTTTCTTTCTTTCTTTCTTTCTTTCTTCGAACAAAGAACAAAATTGATACTCGTTCTTAGATCAGGTTCTCTCTAATATAATTAGATGAGAAATTTTTCATTGATAATAACTGAGAAAGAAAACATTCATTATATAAATTTCATTTCGTTCAAAAATATTATATAAGAATATCGCGTTATTAGATTCGAATAATAATATAAAATAATTTAATTTAGAATATTAATGATCTTGAAATTAAATAAAATAAAAAGAACGTCACGTTTTAATATCTCTTGTTAAATTAATGATTGTACTTTTTACACGAAGTAAGTAAAAAATAAGGCAGTACTTGTTTTCGTTCTCAATAATACATATAAAATAAAATTAAACAATAATTATATAATTAAGCACGAAATGCTTCGTCATTCGTACGTTAATAGAGATCAATTCTTGAAATTTCAAACGAATCGAACGATTTTTCTAGCTATAATAAAAGAACAGGAATTAATTGAGATAAAATTTCATTGAAATAAAAAAAAGAAAAAAAAAACAACAACACTAGATCGTCGATTACTTGGAATTTCTCTTGGAATTTTGAAAGACAGGGGATAGAAGAAAAAAAAGGGATTTCTTTTTTTTTTTAAATTATACTTAAAGTCTTTTTCATTCATAATCAAACAAAAAAGGATTATTCTTATGCTATTATTTAAATTATGTCTCAACGTGTCCTTGCAATTGACAAACTATTTTTTTAACCCAACCGGCCTGACTTTGTCCAGCAGATACATCATCGTTATCATTGCTGGGAATATCATCAGATCCTTCATTTTGAGCTTCGTCATTCATTATGCACTTTCGTTCAACATCCCTTTTTATGAAGGACGACCTAGCGGATGAAGTTTTACTTTCTGGACTATTATTATTTTGTGTTCTCAAGAACATTGACTTGATTTTTAGGTAATCAGGTTTTTGTGCTACGTTTGGTCTACCAATCGTACTATCTTGAACAATACTTGACACCGTTGACGACACCAATGAATATTCTGATCTTTTTTTTGCAGGAACTGGAGGTGCCACTTTTGGTTTATTACCAGATGATGATGTACTAGCTTCTCTAAAGTCTGAACGCATTAGGAGGACATCATCAACATCACTGAATATTGCACTGTCCCGAAAAACTTCGTCAACATCAACGTCAACATAATTTTCAATGATTTCGAAGGATCTTTCGTAGAAACTATCAGTTTCGCTTTCCCGACGATTAGTTTCTCTTTTGGAAGATTCCTCCCCGTCTTCTTCCTCTTCTTCTTCTTCTTTTTTATCCCTTCTATATTCTTTCGAATTGTCATCTTTTTTCGTTGTTTCTTCGGGAACGTTGGATGCTTGTTGACCATTACGTTTGTTTTCAGCAAAAAGTACAGTAGGGTCTGCATAATCGGATTGAGCTATACGAGCACCCAAACTAGAACTTCCTTGTTTGTAATACAACGATGGTATTCTATAATCTGAAGGTCCACCAGCAGATACACAACCAACCAGTTCCTCAACGTCCGAAGAACTTTCTCTAGAATGTTTAGATTTGCCTTTTCTCTTTGATTTTACGTTACTCAATGAACGGAAGTATTTTGTTCTTTCAATCTCTTCGCTGCATTCGAGGGTTTCAGTACTGAGAGTATTTCTGAGACCTTGCAAACGACTCCCAGCTTTAGACAATACATTTTTGAACATGGTAGTACCATTGGCTCTATAAATTTTGTGATCAGGATGAATGTTAGCGGTGGTAGGTGAAACCATATGAATTTCAGAATAAGCGTCGTTCAAGGTATCATCGAGCGAACAGAAAAATGTTGAGGTTGATGTTGAAACAGATGTTGGAAATTTAGCAATTCTACCTTCGGGTTGACAACTCGAAGCATATCTTTCCATGTCTTCGAGATTGATCTCAGCAGGTTTGTCCGAGGCTATCGTGAAAGGTCTTTCGGTCATTGGTTTTCCATCCCTTTGAAGAAATCGAGATTTGGTTACGCTAGGTTGAGGAGAATTTGGATTGATCTGAAAACTACGAGGCAACGATCCACACTTTTGCGGAGAAGTTGGTAAACCTTCACAGAGTTTGGTCAACCAAATAGCCGGCCTGGTTGGACTGTCACTTCCATTAACATCTTGTTCCTCTTGAAGACCTTCCCAAACATGTTGAAGATTATCGTAGTTACCGAAACCTTTGGATTCGTCAGTTTCTTTGACGTTCTCCTGTTGATTATCATCAGTTTTATCTTTTTCTTCTGAACATACTTGAACTTCGTTAGCCTTTTCCGAATAATTCTGATCGTTACTTAATACAGGAGGAGTTTCATTCGGATCGTCGTTTGTAGATGTTGAGTTCTCTCGAATTCTCAGAGCAGTCTTTATGATTTTACTTTCAGTCACGATACTTTGTCTTTTAAAAGCTTCGAAAAGAGCCCTCTTCTCGTGTACTCTATTTACGTTGTTCTTTGTACTACTCGTTTCATGTACACCAGTTTTACTATCCGAAGATTTGAGGTTATCATAGAGTAACCTGAGAGCTGGTTGAGGCGTGTCACGTGCACTGGACGAAGAAAACGTATTCCATGCGTTGTTTGTTCTTACCAATCTTTGGCTTTCGCGATGAGATGAACGTACGCGATTGTTCGATGTTCCGCCAACGTAATTTGCATTCTCACAATCGCTTTCGTCCGAAGAGTCAGCTGAAATTCTTTTGATAAATCTTTGCTGTTGTCTAACGTTTATGCTGCTACTAGTTCTCTGCTTTTCTAACAACTTTTGGAACTCTTGATTCTGCATTAGAATATGACCAACTATTTCTTCAACTGTTTGGGCCACTGGCGTCGTTGCAGTCTGTTGTTCATTGTTCTCTTTGGTTTCAACTTGTTGAGAATTCGTTGGTTTGCTTTCCTCGTTGCTAGAAGCATTGATCGTACGATCAGATTCTACCTGAGTTGTTCCTATATCAACCATGTCCTCTTTTTGATCTTCGTCCGATTGATTCAGGCAAACGTAAGATTGAAATCCTGGCTCTGATTTTCTTCGCCATCCAGTAAAACGATCCTATGAAAAATGATTCAAGTATTAAATATTTTATTCTATTATTTATCATTCTGAACACAATTTATGGTATACCTTAACTTTGAGAGTGCGTCCATCGGAACACCTGTTAAGATTTTGATCTCTCGAGTCGTTAACTTCAGTCTCGTGACTAGGATTTTTCCGTAAAGATGCTGGCGAATCCTGAAGAATCGACACCTATATTTTTACTTTGTTGTCTTAGATTTAAAGTGTTCATGTTAAGAAAATGAATTTTTACCTCAGTAGTGATAGCAGGTGACTCAGGTTTTCTTGTACCCTTTTTGAACTTATGTCTGATACCAGTTTCTGATCTTCTTCTTTCTCTTTCTTGCTTACGTTTTTCTAAATATTCCGGTGGAGCCGAGTACAATTTTTTCGCCGAGCTTTTGTCGGTCGGAGAATCGTCTGTTTAATTCATTTCAATTAGTACAAATTAATGAACCATCAATTAAAATCTATCGCGTCTAATATTTTCCAATAACCATTACCTTCGTGTTGAGTCTGACCAAGTTGTAGAAACAGCTGCCTGGCGTGAGAAGGTATAACAGCATTGTAATTCTCAAGGATTACCCTTTTTATTTGCAATGTCCACTCCCTTTTTTGTTCCAGGTTGCGTGCCTGAAGAAATAAAACAAAGCATATTAATTTTTTTATTTTATTTACATCATTTTGCGTTTAATATTATATTTTTTTCTTTTATTCTTTACCTGCAATGTGTATTGCAACCTTGGATTGTCAAAGGGTATCACATGGAAACTTAATGGTTCTCCTGGGATGCTCTCGATCAACATCAAGTTGGAACACTGAAATAATATTTTAATATTAGTATGAAATTTTTCGAAATATTTTCTTGATCAATACATTTAGTACATCACAACCGACCATGATATGAGCTTTGTAGACCAATAAACCATCCTCCTTCTTCTTCGTCAGAAGTAACATCCTGTCAAAGAGAAATGCATGTCTCGGTGCTTTGGCTCCTCTCATTCTGAAGCGACCTTCGGCGATAAGTTCACCACTGGTAGTTAAATCGGGTCCTGGCCATCCATAAAGAAGTGATTGAATTTCTTGAACTCTTACAGCGTGTTCGTGTCTTCTCTTCATCGCATTAATGTGTTTTGCTATTCCAGTCATCGCTGCTAGTGCACCCTCGATCGCATTTCTTCCTTCAGCTTCGTTTTCTCGAGCGTCACAACCTGCTCCATACTCTTTCGATAAATTCTGAAAATTTCATCGGCAATTGTTATTCATCAGAATTGTCCAATTATACTAATCAATCGATCGATCGATCGATTTTTTTACCTCTAGCAGCAGGTGATACTTGAGAATCCTTTGAACAGGCTTCAACAAAAATGATCCCAGAGGTAAAGCGTGATCTAAAGCTGCCTGTCTTTCTCTAAAAGCTTTGGCTGTCTCCTCTTGTCCCATCAAGTCGGTTAACACAGAGACAGTTCTACAATTTTAACATATCGTAAAGTTTTTGTTGTTGAAATTTTTCCCATTAGGGATTTGCGATGGATTAAAATTGGTGAGAGTTTTTACCTGGGATAATTTGTACAATATTCGGTATAGACTTTAAATCCTGAATTGTGCTTGATGAAAGTGTTCGCGAGACGAACCGGATCAAAAGAACATTTTTCGATTTCTTTGAGAAATTCTCTGAAATCAAATATTATATATTTAATATTTGTATTCTTTTCGTAATCTGTGTGTGTTAGGTTTTTTTTATTAAATAATATACCTGTTGAATTCGAAAATATCTTCGATGTTGCTGAATAAATCACTCAGTTGTAATTGATGTACAAAAGACGTGGGATTGTCTCGCCAAAAGATGAGATAGCCCTGATTACAAAATATATTCAGATTTATGCAGATCGTTGAAGAAAAACTACAAATAAATATTTAACAAATATTTACCTGTATGACTTGTCGCAAGTGTTCGACATATATTGCTTCGGTATCAATGATTTCAAGAAGTACTCTTTCCACAGGATTACGATGAGGATCGCAATAACGTGGACGATGACAGGGCGTATTTCCTTCTGTGCTGTCTCTTCTTTGACCATTGGTACCATTACCAATACGACAGCTAGCTTCGGATACCGTAACAACTCCGCTATCACCTGAGCCTACAAATAAATCATTCGTGTTAAAGACATTACAAATAGTTTTATTGACGTTTGAATAAATTCAAAATGGTACCTTGAGAACTGGCACAAGTGTCAGCTAAAGATTCGACTGAAGCCAAGTATGGATTAGTTGCACATGTGTTTCCCTGATTGCTACAACCACTGGATGATGTACTAGAGGCTATTGAACTACCAGATAATGGTCTTCCACTTCTGCATCTTCTTTTGTACCTAAGTTGATTAAGTCCATTGGCATTGGCGTTTGTTTCTTGTACATATGAATTCTTCTTATCGTCTTGCTCGAGAACGTTGATCGACAATCTACTTCCATCTTTTTCTTTGTCCACCTTGACCTCCTCATCCTCCTCTTCGTCGTCATCTTCGTTGTTGTTGTCTACTCGATGCTGAGTGACCACAACGTCTACTACCGTACTTGTTGTATCCGTTTCTTCCGTTCTCTCACACATCTCGTCACTCTTTTCTCGATGACTATTACTATTACTGCTACCACTACTACCAGTACCACTACCACCGCTACTACCTTTCTTAGTTGCCTCGCCACAAAGCTGACCGAATATGGAACCTCGTTGGGAGTGTGGTACCAAGCTCAATCGTTTCTGCAAAGCCGCTGGTATATTACACGATGCTGAGAGGACTACGTGATCGTGATCGTAACCGTTGCCACGACGTGCAAGCTCGTCGAACATGCCCAATAATTGTGGCACCAGGTCCGTACTCGTGCCTGAAATTTCATTTCAATTTTAGATTCTTTTATTCGTTTAAATATTATTTTTCTTAGGCTAGTTTTTAATTTAATACATATTTGCGAGCTTCTTTTGTCTCAATTTTTATGATATATTAGATTGTTTTTGTAGTTAAGTTCAGTTTGTGTTATAAAATACCATAAAGTTTATATTAGGTTGGCAAGAAAGTAATTTTGGTTTTTTTTAGTGTGAAATATATTACTTTTTTGCCAACCCAATAATATATAGCTTATATACTTTCTTTTTCATAAAAAGATGTTGCAATTCATTTGGTTTGCACCTTCCCTTTTAAGGGGAATGATTTTCTTAATAAAATAAATAAAATTACATTTAATTTCAATATTAACGTGCGCGATAGAAGAGAAAACCACGTATGTATGTGTATCGATAGATAAACTAATAATATAAGAAAAATATAAGATAAATGACTCGATGAGAAGTAAAAGGAAGATATGAAAAGTGAGATTTAATCGCTAATACGATCACCGGTCAATTAACACGGTAGTCCTTTATCGGCGCTAAAACATTGCCGTTGAATATATAATTCGTATTGCACATCGTTTCTTTTTGATATGGCACCGAACAGAGAACGCACACGCATGGCTGATTCTCTCGTCTCTTTGCGGCTACGATCGTTCGGAGAGTCGGTTGGACAAACAAACGAGCAGGATGATGGTTTCCAATTTCCTTGGCGGCAGACGTGAAATCAACGTTCTCCAACTTGGCGGCGGCGGCGACGGCGGCGGCTGCAAACCAACGGACTTGCATCGATGCGTTTTTCTTGCGTTCTTGCGTTATCCTTTCCTCTCTAATGTTAGATATACATGTACTACTATACCCGGCCATATTTGCGATAGCAACATTTTTTTTTTTTCTTTTACTATTTACAATGAACGCGAGCTTCCATACAGTAGTAGATTATTTTTCTTTAAATTATTATTATCTAATTTGTGTCTTTTATCGAAATTATTTATCCATGTAATCGATTAGTACATTTATTTTTTTGTTTGCTTTTATTTAATGTTAATTTTGTTAGTAGAGTACGTCGAGATTGATTTATTTTAAATTAAATCACTGTCCGCCATATTTGTAACAGACAACTTTTCTTCTTTTACTACTTACGGTGGAACGGTAGGAGAACTTTATACGGGCTGTTTCCTATATAAATTATGCGTTTTCAGATTTACGATGAGTTTTTTGTTTTAAATTGATTAGAGGTGTAGTTAAGAAACCACCATGTAGATCTATTTCTGATGCAGAATGTTAAAGCATATATATATATTCGAGTGCACGGACGAACGATCTTCTCTCATGGACTTTCTTTCTCTTCTCTTCGTTCTGGTTAACGGCCTCGATCTTCAGTTATTCGCGTGTTAGAATAGATCTTCCCTATGATATATATTGAAACTTTAGTAATATATTTTTCACGCACATGTACACACACACACACACACACACGTGCGCATTTCCTTAATTTTTGTTACATTATACAAATCATCGATGGATCATCAATCACCCTATTACTTTTTCCTATTACTCAAATGTTGATAACTTTAACATGAATATATATTTCAACATCGTGAAATAGATATATTTCTAAGCTTTTAAAGAAGATAGATTTAGAAAATCTAACGTCAAATTTAACGATGCAAAACCGACAACGAGTATCGTTCTAAACGTTCGGTCATGCGTTGCAATATTTTACACTTTACCAGAAGAAGAAGAAGAAGAAAAATAAGAACAAGAAATGGGGGAGAAAGAGGAAGAAGAAGATGCTGCTGCCGTTGATGATGATGCCAACTTTGAGGAAAAAAAAAAAAGAAAAATTGATAGAAGGCGCCAAACACGGATGCATCCGTGCATTTGCTCGATCGAGTCTTCTAAACGACGTTATCAAGATGGCCTTGATTTAATTGGACGCTTTCGTATGTTTGAGTACGTACTCATATATATACATTTATATATAAGTATATAAGTATGTATCTAAAGTATCGTTCGTTGTATACACCTAAGAGACGAGACTTAGTTTCACCGGCATGTGTATTAGCAAAGAAACCGGCTACGATTTAATGACGTGAAGCGAACTATCTGTAAAAGTGCAACAACTAGAAGTCATCGATGCATTTCTGCATTTTATGCGGCTAGTTTTCCGCGTGTTATACACCACGATTAAAATTTATTCATGCGATCATAATCCATCTTTTGATATATGTGTGTATTATTAATAATCATTTATATACAATTTATTTATATTTCATTTTTTTCTTTCTATTGAAATGACAGAAATTATATTTGTATCTCGTGTTGCAAATTTGATTTGATTCTCTTTAACACTAGATAGATATACCACCATTTTCTATCACACTAGTCAAAATAACTGATGTATATAAAAAAAAATGCTTTTTGAAGCTTCCAGTCTTTATTTACTCTTAAAAAATAACGAAATTGTTTAACAATAATACATTTAATAGATAAATGAATTTATAGATATTTTGAAATAACAAAACGCTTAATTATTTACAGATTTCAAATGTTACATGAAGTGGAAATTTGGAATTAAAATGGCTACTACTCTGGTATATCTAGTGTTAAAAAGGTTGTTACATTTAATAGCTTATAGAAGATTTAGAAGACTAATAAATTTCTCATCTTTCTCTTTATTTTCCTTATTCTTAAGGTTGAATGCAGCAACAGTCTCTGGTTTAGGAACGTGCAGTCGATGCACTTGGCTGGAGCTACTCTAATAATAGTACGAGAGGACGAAACTTTCGTCGTGTTAGTTTCTAGCAATGCATGAAACCTTTTCTAAATGATATTTAAAAGAAAACAACAATAACAATAACACATCTATGATAACAACTTTTTACATCAATTTGTAAAATATCTTTCAATGTATTGGTATAGGCAAGAAAGTAATTTCGGTTTCCTAGTGTGAAATAAAACTCAGTTGTTTATTTTTACATTTATTTAAAATTACACGAGGAATTTGTTTCTATAGAAACTTAAAAGTGTCAACTACCAAATCTCAAAAGACAAAAATTCTAACATTAATATATTCGCGGCTGGAATATTTTTTCCGATTCTTATACTAAGTACCGATATACTAAGTAACAATTCGTATATACTAAGTATTATATATATATATATATATATATATATATAACATACTAATAAAGTAATAATAAAATAACAATAAAAAATAATAAAAAAAATAATTATGAAATAATATAAATTTATTTTTATTAAATTTAAAAAATGTAAAATGACGTGAATCACGTCAACGTTAGCTTTATCTATTGGTGCTAGCCGAAATTACTTTATTGCCAACCCAATAATAATAATAACCAACACGTAACTTTTTCTTATAACACATATACATCGTATATATATATATCTTTGTGTAGTATTATTAAAAGCGACAAAGATAGTTTCAGTTTCTTCATCGGTCAAGCGTAACAGGCATCCCGTTTGTTGGTGTATCATCGTCATACGTTTTATACGTGCACGCGTATGCGTCTGTGTGTGTGTGTGTACGTACGTGCGTGCATGTTTGAAATTGCGGGTGGAACGGCCGACGTTTGTGGCCACTTGAATTCTCCCCCCTGTCGTCCCCTCTTCGTATTTCTGTTTCTTTCATTTATACCAAAGCAGAGGCGGATCCCGTATTGCTTTTCGTCAATGAACGACGTTTTCCTTCCTCTTCTTCTCTTTTTCTCTCTTCTTGGCTATTTTTACTCTCTCTCAATCGTAAATCCTCAATCCCCCTCCCCCCCTCCTCTTCCTATCTCTTTCCTCTTCTTTTTCTTTTGGTCCATCCATTCGGCATCATCCCAAAGCGCCAGTTTACTCGTCAATGACCGAGAATATTATTACGCCATGAAAGAATAATCTTTGACCGATTGATTTTGATTGATTGATTGATCGATCGATCGATCGATCAATTTAACTTTTTCTTTTTTTTTTTTTTTACAAATGCAAAACATTAGATAAATACCATAGTTGACTGATAGTATTATTGGGTTGGCAAGAAAGTATAATATTTCGATTTTCTAGTGTGAAATTAAACTCAATTGTTTCTAAATTTAACAGTTGTAAACAAAATTACACAAGATTTGTTTCTATAGCTACTTAGAAAGTGTCAACTACCAAACCTCAAAAGAACAAAATGTTAACATTAACAAAAAGAATAACGAAACAAACATAACGCTATTTTATTTGGTGCAAGCCGAAATTATATACTTTCTTGCCAAGCCAATAAATAGAACAGTAGTAAAACGTCAGAAAATGTAGCTATTTGCTACTACCAAGACTACTGTTGTGTATTGAATAGCATTGTCTGACTCACAATCAGTTTACCGTTACATCTTAGTTTGCCGTCGTTGACCCGTACAAAGAGAAAGATCGAGCAATAAATTAAGCCTTTCTCAATCCACTCGAATTCCAACGATTTAGTCTTTAGTCTTATCTTCATTCTTACAGCCATATTACAACTAATTCTATGATAGATCATTAGAATATTTTTGTTTCATCATATTTATCAAATTTATTATTCATTCTCTTATCATATTTTCTTATATGGAAAAAAAATTATATCAAAATTATCTTTAAACATCTCTGTATGTGTATGTGTATGWTTACATGTAATTTCTTAATTATGTTTCTAATTAACACTAGATTTTACCAGACCACCAGTCATTTTGACATTGGTCGGGCTATTTTAATTCTAAATTTCCACTTTGTTATTTAAAAATGTCTATAAATCCATTTATCTATATCGGTCGTATATATATATATATATATAAAATAATACTATAATAATATAATATAAAATATAATAATAATATAATAATATTATATAATAATAATATAATAATATTATATAATATATAAATATAATATAATAATTAAAATATAATATAATAATTACATTTTGACTAGTGTGGTAAAAATAAGTATACTGAAAAGAAAATGATGGTATATCTAGTGTTAATTACACTTTACTTCTTTTGATATAGTCATTTACGTGTTTTTTTGCTTTTTGTTTTTTTTTAATTCTCTTTCTCTTTCATTTTCTTCTTTTTCTTCTTCTTCTTCTTCTTCTTTTGGAGTTTACAACACTTTGTGGTTTATTCGAAGCAGACAATAATTTATATCAATTAATTGGCCAGTCGAGTTTTAATCTCGTGCGTTTCACCTCGCGAACGACTTCGGTATTACGTAATCGAAAGGTTATGCAAGCGAATAACACTTAGGTGTTTTTATGGGGGATGGGGGATGGGGGGGGGAGGGATAAGGGGAATTTTATGAGAAAGGCCCTTCTTTCTCTCGCGTACCTTATCTATCAAGAATCTCGAGTACACGATCTTTCGTGGCACGGCTTCACCATACTTTGCTTTCTAACTATGTTTCTTCGTACAAGGAGTCAAACGAGAAAAAAGAGAGAGAGAGAGAGAGAGAGAGAGAGAGAGAGAGAGAGAGATGAAAATATTTATTTAAATCGAATGGAAGATTCGAAAGAGAAAATTCTAATCAATAATTCATATAGAACACCTTCGTTATGTTTCAAAATATCAGATTTGTTGAATATTTAAAATTGAAATAATGCTAATTAGGATAATTATAAATAAATAAATAAATAAATAAATTGAACTCCTTTGCAAATGATATACCTCGGTGAATCGAAAAAATCAAAGGCAAAGGCAAAAGCAATGTTTTTTCAAGAGCCCTCGAATAAGGACCCTTCTTATTCTGCTCGAAGGGACATCACCTACCTCAGAGGCGTGCACTCTATAAGTGGCAGTAAAAAAATTCTTCGAATATTTTACCGGCTCACATCATAAAACTCACAAACCACTAAGTAGGTTTTCAATTTTCTAAAGTGGCCTGAAATCCTGTTCAAACATTCAACATGTTCTTTTATCAAATCCGGATCAAAAGAAAACTTATATTATATTATATATATATATAGATATAGTTTTACTATAACAAATATTATAATTTTATTATATTGTAATTTACATTTATAATTTTATAATATTATAATATTTATATATATTATTAATTCCGACCACTATGACACTCATATCCAAATTGAATACGTCCAAAAAGGGTTAAATGAAATATCGCAAGATAACAGACAATTCCAAAATTGATTAAATAAAAAAAAATTGATGTAAATTGTAGCAAAAAAAAAAAAAAGAAAAAGAAAAAAAAGGGTTGCAACATTTGAACAAAAAAATTTCTTTTATATTAGAATTGTTATTGAAGTCCCAATAAAGGTGAAAATTAGTCTAGAAAGGGAAAGACGAATGTGACATAGTACGAAGAAGAAGAAGAAGATGGTGACTAACCCATAAGAGAAGAAAAAGGAAAGAGAAAGGATCGTACAAAGGTTGGAATGCACTTGAGCTTACTTGCTCGTTTGAGTCTACTTGTTTCCGGGTGCATCTCTCCGGTAAGAGATAAGAGAACCTTACAAAAGGCTACTCGAGGAATTCCAGAGCGAAGGAGTCTCACGTTCAAGCAACGTGATCCTTGTACTTGTCGCTTTACTTACTCTGCCATATACGTGAACGGAATATTTTATTTATTTTTTCTTTTTTTTTTTTTTTTGTTTGTTTCGCTCACTGTCTATCTATCCTTTTCTAATATAAATTTACTAGTTTTTTTTTTCTTTTGCTTTTTCATCCTTCCAACTTAGTCTTTATGTTACTCATCCTTTTCTACTATTTTCCTTTTCTTCTTTTTCCTAGTCTGTTGAAGGATTACGTGACGAGGAATAAATATCAAATACAATGAACTTGATTCTAATATTTTTAGTGTTATTATTGTTTGCTGTTGCTAAGGATAAAATAAACTTTCAAATATAATCCTAGATTTATCCAGTCAATGTGATGAATAAAGAACCTTGAAAATATTTGTTATTTTTTGATTATTATTATTATTATTATTATGGATCATGTTTGAGTTGTGTTAGGAGATATCTAAGAATGAGTCGTAGTAAATTGTGAAAGAATATTAAATGGAACAGAATGATTCATTCTAGAAAGAATGATTTCATTTGGGTTCCACAACGAGGAGGAAGAGAGAAACGTTGACTCTTCACTCTCTATATCGTGGTTTACTCATGAACACCATTGTTCTATCTTTCGTAGATGTTTATGGTACGGTCAACTAATTTTTTATTTATATTTCGAGATCGATTAAACTATTTAGAAATATTTAAAAATGTTAATAGTTTTTAAATGAATGTTTTTATCGAAGAAAAAACTTTAGAAAAAAAGGGCGTACAATTAATACTTTAATGTGGAAGTAGGAATACGCAGTCAAACGTCGTCAGGGGCCCGGTATTTTTCGAGAATATTTTTCAAGAATTAATTGAAAAAAAATACTTTATTCTCATTCACGAAAAAATTAACATGGGACAAAAAATAATAATTTAACAATAAATTTTATTTTATAATATATATATATATAAGGTTATAAATAAAATAACGGGCAATGTTTTTAATAACACAATAACACACATGTTGTGTGAGCGGCCATTAAAGTGTTAATATTTCATTTAGATTGTTTAAATTTGTTCTAACGATATCCTAAAGTAAATATTGAAAAAAGATAAAAACAAATAGTGTCGTTTAAATATACTATACTATAAGATAATCGATGGTACACGACAAAACGTTCTAATTAATCTTTGGAAGATATCAAGTTGTCGATATGACATAATTACGGTATATCAAAATGTTCTAATTCATCCAAGATAGTTCATAAATTGCATTGGCGAAAGAGAGATCGGACAAGCGGAATAATTTACCTATAGATCAACTAGATAAGATAATCTTGGATAGGAGCGACATTAGAAATTCAGGAAACCTTGATAAAGTGGTTAACATCGATTAAACCCATGACGCTTCTACTTTGGCATTCGACAAGGTATTTCCATCTCTTTCTATCTCATTCTTGCCTTCAGGAGCAAAGATCGGCAAAGCAACCCACGCAAGAACGAGAAGCGGCTCTATTAAAACCCTCCACCATCACCACCATCACCACCATTACCACCATCAGTGCACAGGAATTTACTTGTTAGAAGACGAGTTTGCTAAGCTTTAATAATCTCATGTGACTTTCCATACACTCTGAATATTCGCATAATCTGATTCTATACATGTATACATCATTTACATATATATGTATATATATGTATATGCACATATGCATACGTGTATAACTCAGACGTATAATGATAGCTAATGAAAGCCTTGCGATCATTTTGCCTTTGGACAATTTTCATTCGCAGAGATAATAGAACGTTCATTAAACTTACATAATCATTTCATGGAATCGTATCACAATACGTTTCTTATTATTCTTATCATTTGTCAAATGTAATTTTAACAAGAAATGATTATATTCTTGTTTTTTATTTGTAATACGATTATTTTTATTACTATTATATTACTGTAAAAAAAATTATATACGTGTCATATAAATACATATATATTTTATAATAATATTAATATAATATATATTATAATAATATTTTAATATAATATATTATAATATAATATTAATTATATATTAATTATATTATAATTATATAATTATATTTTATTAATATTAATATATAATTAATATATATATATATANTATAATTATATAATTATATTTTATTAATATTAATATATAATTAATATATATATATATATATATATATATATATATATATACGTATTTCTTTTTATCGTTCGAATTGCATTCTTTGCAATTTTTCGAATTGCATAAATTTCATGAAGTAATACGCAAAGAGAAAGAAAAAAAAAATCATAAAACATTTAACGTAATTTACCAAGAAAAATAAAAAAAAAATAAAAAAAAAAGAGAAAGATATTTTACGATGATGTTTCGTATTTTCAAGGTATGCAAGAAAAGAAAGGTTGCGTTATGCAAACACAACCTTATCTTATCGTTTAACTTTAATTGTTCCAAATGAATAAACGCAAATGATATTTAACGATTTAATGATTTTTTTTTTCTTTTTATCTTAAATCATTATAAAATGATAAAAATATGTTGTATCATTACAAAGAACTTGTATTCTATAATAAAATTCTAAATCGTTAATAGCTAAGAGACTTGGAACATTAGAAAAAGACACGAGAGACTAGGATCGTACGTTTAATTTGCCACTTTAAATTACACTCGAGGGGAACAATGAATAAGAACACACATGCACACACACACACACACTAACACACACACAAACTTCTAGGAAGATAGAAATCGTTCCACATTACCCGGTGTCTTATAAAATTCACTTTTCTTTTTTTTTTTTTTTTTTGTAAACATTACTTTTCTCTTTCTAGATTATTATTATTATTATTATTATTATTATTTTTAAAGGGATTATAAATTTCAATCGAATATACACAACAAAATAACACCTTAATCAAAATACAAATAAAACAGTATCGATATTTGATAAGAAAGAAGAAGTAGAATAAGTAGAAGAAGAAAGAAAAAGATAAAACGCTTACTTCTAATCTTTTGGCCGATTCTTCTGATCGATCCAAAAAGACGCGGACAATTTTGATCTCTTCTTTCCGAATAATTGAACATTTAATTTAATTTTCACGTGCGACACATTGATCACGATCACGAACGATTAAAAAGCACCAACGGAAATAGGAATACATATTGAAAGTACATATGTCTTTTCAAAATCACAAGGTTTGTACAATTTGTAGATGATATTTGTCAACGCAATGTCGAATTAGATTAATTTTTTCTTAAGATTTATCTTTTCTTTTTTTCATTTTTAATCTAACACGTTTATTTATCATTTTTTTTTCTTTTTTTTTTTTCTTTTTTTTCAATAGATACGAGATACAAATTAGAAAACAAACGTACGAGAATATAATACGTGCATTTATGTAAAAAAAAAAAAAAAAATAAAAAGAAATAAGAGAAAGATTTTCTTAAGAGAAACCCACGACGCGCACACACACACACGCGTAATTCTTAACTGTTGTGTGTATAAACAGGTAAACACTGAGAACGTATAGACTTTACTGTTCGAGCAACAGGTAGATACTGAATGTGAAGTCGAGGATGGGAATGGTACGAGCGTGCCACTCCGGATGGACGAATCCGAATGTGGAGGAGCGAACGCAGCAGCTATTGGTAGTCTCGTTAAAGTCCGTTCACAATGAGCGACCATTCATTGCTTATTATGTCCAAATAGATTTATTTCTATTATTACTATTTCATTTAATTGATCTTACAATTAGAAAAAATGATTTATTTCATATACTAGAAGTAAAACATATTATCTTATCTTTTCTTTTGGTAGTCTCGTTAAAGTTCGTTCACAATGAGCGACCATTCATGCTTACTATGTCCAAATAGATTTATTTCTATTATTTCTATTTCATTTTAAATTAATCTTACAATTAGAAAAAATTATTTATTTATTATTTTTTTTTTTTATAGTAAAAATAAAATATATTAGATTTTCCTTTTTCTTTTGAAAAACAAATCATTATATTATAATAACAATTAAAATATAATAAATATCTCTAGTCGATATTGAACGATAAAACTAGACATTTCTAAGCAGTACATCAATAAGAAAAAAATCCCAAATGTTCCTAGATGAGTTTAGGAATTCTAAGTTCATATTCTAAAAGAATATGAAAGAAAATCAAAAAATAAAAAAATAAAAAATAAAAAATACAAAAATCATAGAACAAGAAAAAATGCAGTTGAACGTGTTGTGCAAGGATGAAAGAAATGGAACACGCATATACGATCTACGATCTATTGGTTGGAGGTGAACAAGATCTAGATAAAATTTCGTACTGGTTCGCAGCAGCTCGCCTGTTTACTACTTATGACGTGAACGTGAGATTAGAAACAGAACTATGTTTATTATCTTTCTCTATGTATTATTTCTAGTAGCGCATAAACGAGCGTGTATTCAAAGAAAAAGGAAAAAAGATACATTCTGATCGGTGTCAGAAATCATTAAGCTGCTATCTATCCGTATCTGGTAGAATCAACTGTCGTAACAGAAGCATAAGAGGGAGGAGGGAGGAGAGAGGAAGGGGGAGGGAAAGGGAGGGAGGAAGGTGGTACTTCATTTTGAAATATGTTAATTCGACGTATCAAGTCCTGTACCATTAATAATATTGGACTCTCGAGTGGCACGATTCTAAGAGCTCCTACTCATTGATAAATTCTTACCACTAATAAGAAAGAGTCAGAGAGAGAGAGAGAGAGAAAGAATGAATGAAAGATTGAAAGAGAGAACAGATAGCTCAATTTTTGTTTTTTATAGTATTTTCTAATTATTATAATAATAATAATAATTGTGCTCATAATTATGAAAGTAATTTAAGACAAAATTTAACCAGTTGCCATATCAATATATACAACCATATATTATATATATTTATTTATATAATTTTTTATATAATTTAATTTATAAATAATTAATTTATATAATTTAATATATAATAATAATAATAATATAAACTCAGTGATTGTGTGTGTTTCGACAAGTACAAAATTGTACCGCAAGACACCGCAACCATGAAGTTAAATCGTAGAGCAAGTGGTTAACAACAAAATGAGTTTATTAGTTGTTGAACCGTATTTTTTATTATTTAAATATAATATAAAATTCATTTAGTGTTCAAATATAATTATCGAAATATCTCGAATCAAAGGATATATGATTTAAAATTTTAAGATCACTTTCATTATTTATGAGTACAATTTTGTATTTAACAATTTTGTGAAGGAATGAAGCAAACGTAAGATATCTTTTTCATAAAGTTTTCTCTTCCTTCTTCCTTTACCTAATTATTTTCCATTTCTCCTCCTCGTTTTACATCCTTCCGCTCGTAATTTTTCTCATTCGTGCTAGTATAACCGATCTGGAGTAATCGTTTCTCTCGTATCAAGTTTCCAGGAAGTATCGAACATACCCGAACAAGCCAACTAAATCATTTAATAGATTTTGCGATAATATTTCTATCATTTTTTTTATTTGTTGTTGTTTTTTTTTTTTTGGTTTGGTTCGAGTCACACTTTCTTGCAACTATTTCTTCATTTCAATGGAAATAAAATGTTAGTATATAATAAAAATATTATACTAATTATTACAGAGTCAGATAGATATGAAAAAACAAAAAAAAATGTGGGAATCGATCTATAAAAATGATCTAGAATTATTTTTTGATTAATCCTGTAACGTGGACAGATTATGTTATATATATACATATACATATACATATATATTTATATATATATAGATATTTAGCATGATCGATCTTATCTTACACTTTCTATCAGTAACCCCAACTTATGATATTTCATTTCAATTTCATTTTTCAAACGCACACACACACACATATGTATGTTTATTTATTACTATAAATTCTATTATTTATAGAACTGTAAAAGGAATGATTTTTCATTAATGCCAATTTTATTTTCCGATATGCGATCAAGCGAGTAAATTGAAAGAGTAATATATGAATGTGCATAATATATAATATGTGCATGGTATGCATGTATTTTATGTATACACACATACAGGTTATGCAAATCTTGTTAATACCTTCTAGGGGAAAGGTTAACTGTACAGATCGTAATGATATGTATATATATATATATATATTGATTACTGACAATAAATAGGTCGAAGTCGTCCAAATTGTATACGTCCAATAGATAAATGGATTTATAAACATTTTGAAATAACAAAACGTTTAATTATTTATAGAACTCAAATGTTACATGAAGTAGAAATTTGAAATTAAAATGGCTGCCCTATTATATCTAGTATTAAATAATTAAATGCATTAACATTATAATTTTGTAAATAATTATTTAAAGAAATTTCAAATGTACGGATCTGAAATCATAAGAAAAGAATTTTCTTGACAATGGCAGCAGAACTAGTTCGGTGTGAACAAAGTCTTAGCTTGTGAGCATACTCCTTTGACGTTTCTCTAACAGAGTGGGAGAAAAAGGGAGAAAAAGAGAGAAAGAATAAAAGATAAAAAGAGAGAGGGGGAATTTCAATCATCGCAATGAATTACAACGAGCCAGTCACTGAGTGTGACTCACCAGAGCACTCGGTGCTTTAGCCGCCCGTTGCACCAAAGAGAGAAACAGAAAAAAACACACAGAGAGAGAGAGAGAGAGAGAGAGAGAGAAAGAGTCATCCTGATAAAAGCTTTTCTTCCAGCCACGCCATTCTGTTAACAAGGAATTTCAATTCATACAACAAATTCTTACTCGAAATATCAAAGAACATCGACAAACTACAAATTAGATGAATTAAAAGTTTACAGATCATTTTTTTTAGTAATTTCTTTTTAAAGTTTTACTCACAATGTATAATTGAACAAAATTATGAAAAGTTTTAGTATAGGGTTACGTCAAAGTTGTATGCGTATGTATGTCATGTGTAAATATTTGTTAATAAATCGAAATTCACCGTTGGATTGGCTACGCAAGTCGATCGAATTTCTTTTGTCGAGTTTTGACTTTTCGAATAATAAATTCTATTTATAATAATAATAAAAATAATAATAGTATCTCGGAAGCCCGTTAAATCCCAGTGATTTATGTTGTTGAGGTTAAGGAGTATACATTTTTCACGAGAGATTTCATCCAACAGGCGCTGCCATTTTGAATCGGGGTAATGGAGATTTCAATGACTTCCGAGTACTTCATTCGTATATAATATTTCTAACATAAGTATCTTTTACATATGTGATAAATAACTCGCATTCTTTTTCAAATATACTTTCACGTAAAAAAGTAGGTGTTTCAAAGAGTGTTGTTATATACATTGACATTTTTTTCCCAAAAACGTCATTAACACCAAATATAAGTCAAAAAGGTGATAATAATCATCGAAAGGAGAAAAGAAGAGTAATCCGATACTTAATGGCGTTCTTTCGTTCATGGTGTTCCTTTCTCACACTTTTAGTTGCTACTTTTAGCTGAGTTTCATTCCTGACCGTTGTTAATCCTCAATAAGCATTGAATCGTATGGTGATACTTATGGGACAGTATATAGTTAACTAGAAGTACTGGTACCAGTCAGTTATGTGCTGTTGCTGCTGACTTGTCAAACGTAACGTGACACTCTTTCGTTGCCATTACTTACGTTCATTCGGGGTCAAAACTTATATCGTAAAAAGATCTTTTCTCTTTTTTATACTTTATATTTATTTAAAAATTATTAGAGGGGTGGAGGAAGGTATGGGGTTCTATGAAACTTTTCTATGAAACCAAGTAACAAGTAACTATGTTAACACATTCGTGATCGTTGGTGTGAATTCACGTCTTTTCAAGTTCTATTCCTAGTAAATTTTCAAAATTTGATAAAAATAAATTTATATATATAATATTTAATATTATTTTTAATATTATATAAATTAATTTAATATTATTTAAATTATTTCAATATAATATTTAAATAATTCTATTTTATTATATATTATTATATTTTTGCAGGTACTACTCAGTATTAAAAAAAGAAAAAAAAATATGTCGGCCGCAAATATGTTAACATTTTTTTAACAAAAAAATATATTTTAATTCTATTTATTTAATCTTAAACGAACGAGACACATCCTCCTAATTCTTTTCATCGCGTATAAGTAGCACCTTAATTCTTTTATGGTTGGCACAAGCAAGCAATGATTTCTATTTCCTCCTCCATCACCTCCTCCTCCTCCACCCTTTTCTCCTTTTTCTTTCTACGATCAACGCCCTCTCACTCGCATACCGTGCCAATTATTCTCAGCACGGAAGTTCTGTTCTCCTAAGCGTGAGAGATCGATGCTAAAAGACTCTCTCTCTCTTTCTCTCTCTCTCTCGATATTTAACATTACTACCAACACCTACTAAGTGTTCTTAAAATTAATCAAGAAAATGTTTAATATTTATTTTTCTAACATTGAACATTGTTTTATATTTTTTTAATTGCACGAGAAATGACCGGCACTTAACTTGCCTGTGACGCCATGGGGGCCACCGGCCATATGACAGTGACCGCCGTATTCCACATCGTAGCGCTACGGATAATCCTGGTAAAATTGGCATGGCACTCATGTTAAATC